GCTGTCGGACAGGAGTCGTTTTTGGCGACATCTGTCCGAATTTCGGATCGTATTGTAATTTAGGTTCACATTCGCATTTCACAAGCTCACAGGTAATCTCGTGACGTTCTAAAGCTGATGTGATCCCTTAAGATCTGATCCATCGATACGTGATTGACTAGTTGAGAACAGGATCGTGCTAGCCGTACCCTAACAAGCTGTCGATCACATCACAGGACATGAGTACATATAGGACAGCAGTATGGAGATCACTTATCGCAATCCACAATGGCAACCAATCTTCAGTTTATCCCTGGACGCAAACAAGGCTCGGAGAACCCTATCCTAAATGGCTTCAGATACGTCTTCGTCAAGCGAAGTAACGACACCTCCTACTGGAAATGTTCGGAATTCCGAAAGGGTTGCAGAGCCCGCATCCGTACCGTGGACAGACAACTGATCACTCCTACTCCTGACCACACTCACCCTGTCCACCATGCTGAAACGACCGTCCACGTCAGCAAACAGAACTTGAAAAGAAAGGCTTCTGGTGGAGATCAACCGACGAAATACCTCGTATCTGAAGCAGTCGGTGGATTGGGTTACGAATCTAGAGCAAAGCTTGGCTGCCAGCTGTCATCCCTCAACAGAATGGTACCCTCTACCGCAACCTGTTCGAGGAGATAGACACCTGGGCTTCTGGGGGCTACCAACCACAATCCATCCTCATGGACTACGAGCTCGCCATTCACAACGCAGTTGCTTCCGTGTGGCCCTCCACTACCAGACGAGGATGTAACTTCCACTACAAGAAAGCCCTCCTGAAGCATGTTAAGCAGACCAACATCTGGGAGGAGTACCTGACTCCAAACTCTCCTGTTCGGGATTTCTTCGCGATGACTGGAGCTATTGCCTACGTACCGGAGACTGACGTCCCTCAAATCTGGAGACACCTGAAGCCCCTCCTTCCTATAGACATGGCTGAGTTTGCTTCATACTACGAAAACACTTGGATCGGGACATCAACCACCAATCCTAACTTCGCTCCCCACATGTGGAATCAACACGAAGCTGCACAGATGAGGATTCCTCGCTCATCCAACATCGCAGAAGGTTGGCATCACGGATTCCATTCAATGCTGTCCTGCTCGAAGCCCACAATTTGGAAGTTCCTTGATTGCCTTAAAGCAGAACAAGCCCTTACAGACGTGAAGAAAACCAAAAGAGACGGGCGGGAACTACCTGAGCCACGTGCACCCAAATGGATCCGTTATGATCGACAACTTCAGAGAATTGTAGATGATTACGACAACTACAGCAACCCTATGGATTTCCTTAAAGCTATCCGAAATTTGACTATGCTTTAGATTTGATTCTGTGATATTGTATTATATTGAATTAATTTATAACATTTAAATAACATTGAAACTATTGTCCAATTTATCGACATCAAATTAAAATAAACTGTGGTAGTAAACTATGGCTCAGATCATATCTCAAATTGGACATGTTACGTATACAATTTAGCAAGTAACAGTTTAGATCATGTCTCTAATTGGAAATGTGTCGTATTGAAATCAGGTCACAATTTCGGACAGATGTCGTTTTTTTCTGGTACCCTGATTCGGACAGATGTCGCTTTCGGACAGATGTCGCTTTCGGACAGGAGTCGTGTTACCATAATAATATGCTCTACTGAAATTTTGGTCTGCTTTTAAATTAGTTGCCGAAAAATTTAGTCTCAATAAATTTGGTTTACAACAATTTTAGTCAAAATTTGGACTAAATTTATGGTAGACTAAATTTTTCGTTCTTAAGGACCAACAAATCACAATAAATCATAATTTTGGTTACCATAATTTTAGTCACAAATTTCGCAAATTTTTAGTCTATATTTACTACAACAATTTTGGTCACATTTTTCGACTTTTCGAAACCATTTTCCATTCCGTTTATTTGATTTTTCCATTATTTAGCTAGTTTTTTCCTCCGATTTCGCATATAAAGTCAGACCTTATAGTTAAGCGTTAGGCATGTTGATTAAATGATTTGTTGCAATAAAGAAATAAAACAAATAATTTGTAAAATAAAATGCTATCTATCAATTCGGTAATGAGCACTCGTCTGAGCATTACAGATTAAGCTGCAATGCATTACTCAGGAATTTCAATAACACCAGATCCAGAGTCTGTGACTCTGTATCACTAAGTTTTTCAGTACGCTGTTCGGTTTCTTTTTCACCCTTTTTCGACTTTTATGATCCTTCAGCCGTTTCAACAGAACATGTTGGGATGGATCGATTAAAAAAGGAATGTCCAATGTAATGTCCAAGAGGAGCTCTAAGTGCAATAGCACTTTGGTACCGTTTTGTGCTTCGTAGTTTCGCAACGGTCTTTCCTCCCAACAAAGCAGTTCAGTAGTAGGAACGGTGATGTCATTATTTTAATTATAAGCAATGTAAGCTCAATAATATTCATGTCATATATGCCTACTGAAATTTTGGTCTCCTTTAAAATTAGTCGCCGAAAAATTTAATCTCAAAAAATTTGGTTTACAACAATTTTAGTCAAAAGTTTGACTAAATTTATGGTAGACTAAATTTGCCCTTCTTAAGGCTTTAAGGCTTTAAGGTATATATTATACAGATCATCTCTGAATGTGCATTTTTAGCTAGCACGTTAAAGCTGATTTTAGCGAAAACAAGTGACCCCTTCTACAGAGGAATTTTTGTCTCCCTTTGAATCAATCAAGCCAGATTATTTGTTGTTTAAATACTGAGATCAAACTATCAATTTACAGGCTATCGTCAAACATGTTGCAAGGCGTCATCTTCAGTGACATAAGCCTACAAATTTTTAGTCAGTAAAACCCAAAATTCCTCTTTTAAAAACTCTTAAACTGATATAAAATTAAAGTTAAGATGTTAGGAGTAACTGTAAGGGAAGACCCAAAAGATTTAAAGTCTTGAGTAGTAGAATATACTTCTAAACTTTTAAGACGAGAATTATCAATAAAATCCTCCCTTTGTCGATAAACCCATGCAATTCTACATTGATTCTGTAAATTTCATGAAAAAATATTGAAACCCTATTGAGTTCTACTGTTTTTGAGCGAAATCAGTTTCGCGAATATCGCAAACTGAGATATGGGTGATTTTGTTGATTTTTGCGATTATTTGAACACAGAATCCACAGTTAGGTAGATAATTGCAGAGAATGTGTTGTTTAGGCTTACCTTTTATATAAATTTGGTTTCATTCAAAGATATTGATATTTGATCAATTTGCTATGGGTCAAAATCGATCAAATTTGGTGCGTATGCCCAAATATGGACATATGGTTTTTGGCTTACAACACAGTCATTTTTTTCCAATCACTAGCGTCTAGGGGATCAATAGCGTCTAGCTACAAGTAGAGCACATAAAATCTGGGGTTTGAGCATGTTAAGGAGATTTGGCATAATGGGGACCAAAAATGGGCGTGGCTGTCCCGCGGGCACCCAGAGTCTGGAATCCCCTCAAAAGTTCGGTCACATGCCCTGTTGATCAATTCCTAGATCTCGAAATTAAAATTTCACAAAAAAATCAGCGTAACCCCCCCACAAGTAGAGTATTGGAGTGTAGACGTCCGTAGGATTTTAAAAGCCACTGCTGCGATGTTATCTTCTTATTATTATAAGTATAACACTATAAGGAAATCTCCCCATTTTTTGCTGCTAATTGAATATCTATGATATATAAGATTGTGCATCATGCAATCAATCTCGGGCTATAATTCTAATACTCAATCCCCGGGTTAAAGTTGTATCAAGTACAATCTCACATTTCTTGTAACTGTGCATTGTGGTATAAAATATACCGTACCATATAAGCCAAACCCTCCAAATCTGTAAACTGCAGTACGCAGTGAGTCACCGAGGCGCTATTATATATTATATGGTAGCATCTCTCCGCATTATATTCAATTGTGTCACAATGGAGAAATGTATCAGAAATATTTTATACCACAATCCACATTCACATTGGACATAAGTAGGGGAGTACTGGAAAGTGGTTTTCAGGGACCCCTGTTTTACGATGCGATAAACCTCAGATAATTGGACACACTGATTACTTCTGCTCGCGCCCTTATCCCGAAGTACGCTACCTTTTCATAAGACCTAATATTAAGGATTACGTAATATTATTATAAATTGGCAGAAACTGCTCCTATAATTTGGGGGAAATGTGAGGGGTGAAGTAAAATATACTGTATAATCTTACGTATAATCATCTTAAGCGAACTCACAGGTATAATGTAATATTGAGATTGATCTAGCCATGATCTTCGAGATTGATCTAGCCATGATCCTCGAGATTGATCTAGCCATGATCCTCGAGATTGATCTAGCCATGATACTCGAGATTGAACTAGCTATGATCCCCGAGAATTGCTAGTAGCTAAGCAGAAGAAAAATGGGACATGCAAAATGTGATGGAGGAAATCGGTGCCTGTTTTTTTCATCGCATATCATCTCGGTAAGATGACTAAATGAGCTTAAATGCCTAATTGTGATCATGCTCAACAAGTTTATTGTTTAGATAAAAACAATCGGTCACACACGCCTAGTAGTCATATTTTATTAGGGGCGGATTATTACACTCAGCTATCAATGATAAATTGTACACTGTTGAGCTTACTCTATTGTTTGTATGGGGTGAGCCGGAGCAAAGCGTTACACCCAGCTTTCAATGATGAATTGTACACTGTTGAGTTTAGGGCGTGCTGATGTGAAAAAAACTGGAGTTTAGAGCGTGGTGACGTGAAAAAACTGGAGTTTAAAGCGTGGTGACGTGAAAAAACTGTTAATTAATGAAATTTAGATTTAATTGGTTATGTGCGACAGCAGGAGTTCGGTTGAGACCTTCAGATAGGGGTTTATTTAACCTAAGATCGCTTGTTAAATCCCCACAATTTAGTATTTAATATTTTACTGAAGTTTATAGACTAATTATAATGGTTGAGTAACAAGTCCCCCTTCAGGAGGTCTGGTATACAACTCGTCTCCCCGGAGCTCCTTCTCCCACCAGCCCAGCAGGTCTTCCTCCGCCTCCACAGGGAACAGACCCGCAGTACCGCTACAACAGTCTCCCTACAGAACCAGTACTAACACTGGACCTGGCATGAACCTTCCTCCCAACATACCTACGGTTTGTAGCCTTTTTTAAATGTCAAAATTCAAACATATTTTACATCAATGTATTACAGTTACATGTACACAAGACCGAAATATCTACAATATCTAATACAGAGTCTTCTTGCGAAGACTTATCTTTGAATCTTCAGACTTCTTCTAATAGTTTTTTGAGGTATTCTAGAGTTGTTGCTGTCACTTAAAGATGAGGCTTACGTTTCTTATTTTCAGAATTCGCCCTTATCCAGTAGAACGGGTAGAAAAGGATCAGCAGGAGTAAACCCAGGTCCTCCTATTTCCAGAAAATCTAACAAAGGTACTTTTTAAATAAATTTATGTTATTCCGTCTTTATTATTATATCCAACGATGGCAGCACAGCACAACTTCATTTATGTAACATTTATGATACTTTTATGATACTTACTTTTATCGCTAGTGTGTAAGCCTGTAAGGGTGACCATTTAGGGTATCGAGCTTTTTAGCGACCCATATAAATATTGTAATTCCATTTGATAGAAATTAACATTGTGTGACTAAAATTTGAAGTTTTTCCCTAATTACAGTTATACTTGCAATTGCATAAGAGTTAACAATATATATTTTATTTGACAGTATCCAAGAAGTATGTTAATTTGCAATTCCAAAGTGTGAGTTCATTGCTGGCCGCACAATTTTAGTAAATAGGGATGACCATTAACATGATTAAAGCATGAAGACAGGGTCCGGTAACCGGTTGGGGCTTCTAAATTACTAATTAGTTAATTAATCGACTAATTGCACTAATAGGCTACAGAACACACGGTCATGAATCCGCCCGTGCTAGAGCCGGTAAGATCACCCGTTTTGTTTGAAAGTGATCCAACATGTTTTGATACATCATTTCAACATGTTTCAACGTGTTTCAACATGTTTAATACAACAATTGAACGTGTTTATAATTTGACGTTACGAATGGTTCCGTGTGGATTGTGAATTGATTTTGATATTTATGTCATGTTTATTTTAAAGTGACTGTTACGTTATTGATTGTTTTCACCAGTGTTTGATGCGCCTTGTTCAGCAAGATTTTTGGCACATGCCAGTAGTATTTGTTAATACTACAATGAAGTGTCCCATTATAATATTTGTATTTTTAACATAAATCGATCGACGGTGGCTTTCTCAAAATAACCTCACGTATGATCTACAGATTCAAGTCCGGCATCACGACTTCCTCGAAGAAGTCGTAACTTGACCCCGGAAGCACACGAGAAGAGGTCCCGACTGGGGAGTTTCCAAGAAGCAGAAGTACAAGAGGACCACAAGAGGTCTCTGTCAGAGAGCCAGGTGGTGCTGAACCGGCCAAGACCTGCCAAACTAGCTGTCAAGAGAACTAGCATCACTCTGAGCGTGGAGGAGGAAAAGATAAGAGGACCTACTCCAGAGATAGTTGTAGAGAAGACGAAGAAAGAAAAGAAGAAACCTCCGAAACCTAAGAAGAAGCTCGCCAAGACCAAGAGTTTGGAGGCTAAGACGGAAATGCAGTTCTAAATTATTCCGCCCAAGATCCTGAAGGTGACATTGATGACACTGACACTGAAATTGTTCATCGTTCAAAAAGTTTCACAAAGAAAAGCAAAGTGAAACGGAGTAGCTCATCCATGTTTTCTGGATTCCGAAATAGAAGCAAGACATCTGACCAGAAGGCTGGAGAAGTAGGAAGACTCCCTATCATCACCAGTAGCTGGAAGGGAATAAGTTACAAAGACAAATCCTCCAGTATAGACCGGCTAAAAGTGAGGTTGTCTAAATCAAGGTCCTCCAGCCTAAAGAGGATGCAGAGTAAGCGGTCCTCCACCTGCAGCATAGACACAGACAGTCAACTGTCTGCCAGTCTGACAAGTATTTCTGGTCCTCGGGAGGTCTCCTCTCTTGATCGTCGTGCGAGTGTCTCTGTTAATCCTCCATATCATGATCCATTGTTTGACTCGACTAATGCGGAGTTAGCCGATGCTCTAGGTCGCCCTCCCCCTCCTCCTCCTAAATACTGTCAGGGTGCTCCCAATACGTCTTTAAAACAGCCTACCAAGAAATCGTCGCTGTCTCGCAAAACAAGTTCTAAGAGCCATACATCTGAAACCAGTGTAGAGGTTGAGTCTGCATATGCTGAGTTCGGGGACTTTTCAGATTTGCCTCACCGAATGACTCCTAATATGAATAAGCCCACGAAGTTGAGCCTCAGGGCCCCTGAGGATGCTGAAAGTCCTAAAGTTGAACCCGACAAACGACCTAATCTTGGGAAAGCAAAAAAATTTGAATCTTTCGACACTTCTGAGCTTGATTCAACAGTGGATGCAGTTGTAATTCCGCGTAGTTCAACAGGAATCCCTCCTCCGAAAGCTTCCTCTCCAATAAAGCGAGAGGTGCGCAGGTTCGTCGTCAATCAAGACAGAAAAGCTTTGATATTGCCATCGAATCTGAATATTCTTGTCTTGGTGAAATTCCCCGACCGAACAGTCTTGAGCTCGACAAAGGAGTTACAGATGAAGACATCAAAGAAGGAGCAGCAAACTTCCACAAAACTGGCACCACAAAAGTTGACACTCCTCGTCCTGGTACATCCCCTCGTACTGTGGCATCTTCTCGACCTATCGCCTCCCCTCGACCAACGCCGGTAGTAGAAGAACCAGTTGGCTCAATTTATTGTGAATTAGGGGATGTGTTCCTGGATAGTGCTGCAACCCCCACGGCAGATTCGGAGGAAATAGAGGAAAAAATAGACATTTCAAAATATCGCAAAAACTCTCAAAGTTCAGCATACGACTTTTCTGAAACGGACGACAGTTCCAACGACAACGAGGAGCCGATATACGCTGTGGTGATCAAACCTCGGATCATATCTAAAAGTTTGGACCCCGCACAAGAAGACCTCAAGTTTGTGGAAGTGAAATCAGACTTTGGGTTCGGAGACTCAGTTGAGGAAGAAATAGAGCATGATGGAGCGCTAGAGGTGGGGACCTTGGAAGACAAGGTGGGGATCAGTGAGGGCGAGATGTATTGTCCAACCTCGGATTCAAGCTCTGGATGTCCAGCAAAAAGCCCTCGTCCAACAAAAAGAAGGCTGGAAGGTGAAGAAGTGGAAGGTAGAAATTGTGTGACCTCTTCTGACTTCATCTGAGTCCTAAATTGTCATCTTCTTACATTGAGAAACGTCGACAATCACTTATTCGACCCAAAAGTAAATCACTGTGCTCCTTTTTTATTATATTTCAATCACTGATAAACTGATTTTATTTTTACGTTACTGATTATATTTTGGTCATAGACTAGACGGCATAATCATGTCATAACCATGTCATAAGTTCATGGTTATGACGCCGGGCCTGTCTGAGATGGTTATGCCGTCGGGATTCTAGTCTATGCCCTATAATTTTGATTAATTCAATACCATACGGGGGAAAAATATTTGATAAATTCCTGATAAATGATTATACCGTAACTAAGAACTATTCGTGGACTAGATGACATTACTGCAAGTTTTCGACATATCGTCCACTCAGCTCGAATATCCTAAATCGTACAATAATTTATGGTTAGCAAATAGATATGGAAAACTATTTTTGGTTGGAGCAAATATACTGCTTTTAATATAGTACACCGTGCAGCTTAGTGCATGTTTATACTATACTAAATGTTTGTACTACTACCAAATGTTTGTGAAATCTGCTTGCTTTTTTTTCTTTTTTTTTTTCATGATGATTTTACTATTCCGTTAGCCGTAAAATTGCTGCAAAAGAGCCTAAAAGATTATCAATAGCTGCGTGTGTAAAGTTTGAGTGTTTCTGATTTTCTACTTTTTCGTATTAAAACTTGAATCTCGATGTTATTAGTCAGCTTCGATTACTGGTTTATTCTCTATTTGAAATCGACTATCCCTCTTCCAATTTCCTGAATTCATCAGATTCCTTGAATAAATTCCCACGGCAATTTTATAACCGCTATTTAAGTTGACCTTCAACATCTTCTGCTTAATAAGTTAATAGAAGTTTGAACACTATTAATCAGTCAAACTCCATGATCTCTATTTTTCTGTTTCAACCTTCTTCTTGTTTAATGTTTAACCGGGCTCTTGTTCAACTCTCTTCTTCAACCCTCTTCTTCAACCCTCTTCTCAACCTTCTATAAATAAGCCAAAAGTTTACAACGTAATATTATGTGAACGACCTCTTATGTATTACCTATTACTCCCTACCACTACTACTTCCTCTACCCCACCCCATCATATCACTCCCTTGTTACCTTGTCACTAATACCTCCTCTCTTGCCAGGACACAGTGCAGTGCCTGGGGTAGTGAACCGTGGGGCTGTTTCCAGCTCAGTTACTCGCAACAGGAGCTTCACAATGGACCAGGGGCCGGGGATCATTCACACCCGACATGGAAGTAGGCAGGAACACTTGGAGGATAGACTCATGAGAAGCTGTTCGGGTAGGTTTATAATGCTGGAGTTTATAGACTCCTAGATATAGGATGAGACTCCTAGATATAGGATGAGACTCCTAGATATAGGATGAGACTCCTAGATAATAGATATAGGATGAGACTCCTAGATATAGGTGAGACTCCTAGATATAGGATGAGACTCCTAGATATAGGATGAGACTCCTAGATATAGGATGAGACTCCTAGATATAGGATGAGACTCCTAGATATAGGATGAGACTCCTAGATATAGGATGAGACTCCTAGATATAGGATGAGACTCCTAGATATAGGATGAGACTCATAGATATAGGATGAGACTCCTAGATATAGGGTATTTAAAGCTCTGTTTAAAGTTACTGACGTATCCCTAAAGTGATTTATTCACATGAATTGCGAACATCATCCCAGCAATTCCAATATTTTTTACTCGGCTGGATTAGGTTTGCTGAACCTCCGTGATACGGCCAATTCTTTTAATATTTACCCTAGCATTGTGGATAAGATTGACTGACTGTAGCTAGGGCGAGCAACCCACATCCATTCCATAAAACCCGTATCCTCAATAACCAATATCTAGGAAAAAACAAAATGAAAAAATCTCAGTCTGTAAAAGCTAGGTCCCCCATGAAACCTTCCCCGATCGGTGAGGCGTGTCACGTGACATTATATCTGATATCTTGGTCGTTATAATGGATTAATTGTATTGATCATCATGGGACGACTCAATGCTCAATCGTTTTACCATGCTTTAGAATTTTGCTCATTCAATTACGTACAATTCATGATTTAGTAAAAGTGATTTAATACGCTAATGTGTCCTGATGTAAAATGTAAGTCTGATATTTTGTATATTTTGTATATAACTGTTATGTATATTATGTAAAATTGTTTGGCACAATTTGTATAGAATACGGATGCAGATTGGGTCGGTGAACCGCAGATCGCTAATATCATACCACTTTTGCCTAGTTAAACCCTGATATTGCACTATAAACCCCTACTTTTGCCAAGTTAAACTCTGATATTGCACTATAAACCACTAGTTTTGCCAAGTTAAACCCTGATATTGCACTATTATAAACCCCTACTTTTGCCTAGTTAAACCCTGATATTTTACTTTAAAATTAAACCCCCACTTTTGCCAAGTTAAACCCTGATATTGCACTATTAAATATTATAAACCCCCCACTTTTTCTAACCAAATTCCAGACATGTTTTTCCCAGTTTCGGTGACCACCCCCAAGATGCAGCGGGGCGACAGAGACGATGCACGTGCTATGACGGTCAGCGCGGGGGTGTCAGGAGGCGCAGGGCCGCCGTCAGTGCCGCACAGAGCGCCGCCAGCACTGCCGCCTCGCACTCAGCGCCGCCGTGTAGAGGTGAGACAAGCAGCGGCTGAGCGTGTTACAACTTGCATGGTGTGTTTCTGTCCTGTCAGGGATCTTACATATCAATCTTTCATATACCAATCTTACTTAATCTCACAAATAAACTCAATCTTACAAATAGACTTAAATACATTTATTATCTTTTGCATCTGAATATTCTTTTAGTTTTTCTGATTGAAATTCTGGCATGTGCCTGATCACTCTGTATTGCCTTGTACTGCAGACTTGCTAAGCCTTGAGGGTACTTGTACTGCAGACTTGCTAAGCCTTGAGGGTACTTGTACTGCAGACTTGCTAAGCCTTGAGGGTTATTGCCTTGTACTGCAGACTTGCTAAGCCTTGAGGGTTTGAAACAGTTAATATTATTCTAACGGGATGTTTCTGTTAAAATGTACCATATAGTAGGCTCCTTTTTCTCCAGGCAATGTACGACTGTGAAGCTGATGATATTGATGAGCTGAGTTTCAAGATAGGAGATATTATTGTGGTTGTAGAGGAGATAGACGACTCTTGGTGGGTGAGTTCCAATCTTTAACTTACACAGTGCTAGAGGGATACATTGTTACATTGTTACACTGTTACACTGTTACACTATTACACTGTTGCACTGTTACACTTTTACAGTGAATCAACCTTGAATCACTTAACAATTGTTCGATACTTGAGCTATCATTTAATTTGTTGACGAATATTTTTAGGGAACGCCAATTAAATCTCTCACTTCTTCAGTTCGGTATGATCGACGGTGACGACACTCGGAAGGGAATATTCCCGAAGAACTTTATTCGCCCCTACGAGGGTTCACGTTGACGAAACTTCAACATAGAACTACACTGTACTCCTAACACTGTATCCGGTGCAAATTAATACATTGTACATTGTACATTGTATTTTGTTGCAAATACACGTACTGAGGGTATAACGGTGCAGTGAGTGGTGTACAGTGGATGGTTTTGACGAGCTACATTGCATTGCATGGTGGGAGTATGGTATACCATCTGTTGGACTGAGGCTTTTTGGGTGGTCTTGCGGAGGACTTTTCTTTTTAATTACTGAGACTGACCATGATGTATAGGTGAAATCACCGTGGTGAGGATATTGAAATCTTGGGATCTGCAAACATGTTGTAATTGTGTTTCTGATGCTATGATAAAAACACGATATTTCTTGACTTCTGCGTGACATGTCTGGTATGTTAACATGTGACTGTGTGTAGCCACCGTTTTCCTTGCCCTTCCTTTATGTGTACGTTTATATTAATGTTTCCAATAAATCCTTATGCTTCTGTTTGACACGCCCGTTTTTTCTCTCATTTTTTAAAATGGGCTGTTTCCCTGTTAAAACTAACGTTTTATTTTATATTGCAGAGTTGCAACAACTTTAGAACTAAATTTTGATGTAGCGCTATCCGATTATTATTTCAATTATATACATGTGAGCAATTATTTGTACAGTTGACTTTATAGTAATACTCTGAAAATTACTCCGTCCCGTCTGGGCTATTGAGCAAACTTATTTCTTATTACGATGTTAACTATAATTCAGCAAAATTCACAATTGACAAGCTGGACAGTGTTCAATTGTGGACATTAAAGTTGATTTTATCCAAAGATGATATATTTTCCAATTTAACATCTGTGTAACCGTTTCGGAACCTCTATAATTTTGTTGGTTTTAAAATTAACATTAGTTGTTTAAAGTTGCCATCCAATTCACTCCTCCTCTGTTGTCAATATGCTGCCCTAAATGTACGCAGCGTATAAAATCGCGTGGTTTTCTCACAATTGGTGGTTCACTCACTGTTCACACAGAATCGACCGACTGAAAGTTGTGCTGTCATTCACCGCCATTTGCCGTTCAACCTCACCATACATATCTTCTACTATGATAATTGCAAATAAATATTGCTACCTTTATAAGGGGTAACGGCAATTTCTTATATGAAATAACACAGAACAAACTGAGTTTAGAATAGTGTACCGTTAGACTTATCAAAAGGGCTCGACTCCTTGAATCATTAGTTAGGAATGGTAAGAGTAATAAACCCTGTGAATAAATTTGTAACAAGTTTTTCGACAGGAATGTGTTGTCCATAGTCCCAGGAACCTAAAAATTTGTAGAGCAATTTTTCTCTAGGCACCCAACATGGCTTTAACCATGTTAGGCGTTTAACAATCGTCAAGATGCATCATTCAGTTTGGAGGTATGCTGTGCATTTAATTTTGTAGGTCGTAGGGGAGCTGAGGATGCAGAGATCTTGGGATATTAGTGGCTCTATATTCCTATCTTCCCCGTCGTTATTACATAGAATATAATTCATTTATTAAACCATCACTTCATTATATATCATGATTGTAACTCTTCCATTTTCACATTTAGGCAAATTGAGTTTAATCCAATAGTAATTGCATATGACTGTTACCATAACTTACCATTACCAATACCATGATTACGACCCATGAAAACATTTTCACTTCAACCATAGTTGCTACTGAGTTTAACCATTAACAAGTGTTCCACCACTTTCATAACAGCACATAATATGTAAATTTGTCAATATTTAGTTATTATATTCAGTCTCATCATAGGACTATTTTAGGGCCCTCTGCTTTTTGGATAACTGTTTGCAGCGCATTCTAAATTGGTTTAACTTTGATAAGATTTAAATTTGAACTCGGACTTGAATTATGAATTCGTTAACTCGATTCCACATTTTGATTTGTGTTCTTTTATATGAACTTTCTGTAATTTTAATTTCAAATGACCGTTTTAAGTCTACTCTTTGAATTTTAGTATTTTTATTTGTCTTCGATTCTATGTAAATGGTATGATAACAAAATACAAATAAGGCGCTTTAGTAATTATTAGTAACCCTCCCTCCAACTTTAACCACAACCACCGTGCGACATACGTCAACTAAAGTGCTTTCCCTAAAATTAAATCACGAGCCCAATTAAACAAAATATTGTTAAAAGGCCCCATGCAAATTGCAAGGGTTCACAATCCCATCACAGTGCTGGCAAGCACGACCGGTGCATTTATTGTGGGTATACTATGTACCCCCTTTACTATTATACCCCCTTTACTATTATACCCCCTTTACTATTATATATTATATTATACCCCCTTTGGTACACGTTACAAGCCTCTTTCGTGCACGCGAAGCGTGCACTCCGGCCGGAGGCGGCGGCCGAAGGCCGCCGCCTCCGGCAGGAGTTTTTCAGGCATTAAGACTCATCGGAAGTCGTTCAGCAGATTTATTTTTAGTTCAAAACATTCTAATTTGATGTCAAAGATGACAGGAATAAAAAATAGTTATGTTGAGATTTTTAAGAAATTTGCATAAAATACTCGCCAGCACTGTTATACGAAATTCGGTAAAAAACCCAAAATCGCCATATTCAGGTGCCTTAAAAACCATGTTAAAATCAAGTTAGAGATCTGAAATTTTTCAGGGCGTCTAGACGTTGACCAAATCGACTGCAAAAAAAGTTTCAGCTTTTTAGCTTGCTCCTTCATAAAGATATTCGTCATTGAAGTTTGTGCTTTTTTGAAGAATTATTTTATAAAAACGTCAATTTTGCGATTTAGTATTCTCTGGTGTTGGGCCATGCCTTGGGTTGTGGAGCTTAGTTCTGCTTCGTATAGGTATAAATTGTGCATTAGGCTAGTTTTAAAGTTAAAAATCGAAAAGTTGCACACGTGGGGACACGCCCAAATTGATAGAAAATTGCTAAAATCACTGAAAATTGCTGTTTTCGTCATTTTCTGTCAACTTTAGAGTGCCATTGTGATTACAGTTCTTCTTGAAATACTTTGAAACTTTGCATGCTTATCAAATTATATATAAAACAATTACATGCAAAAATTTACGGCGATTCAATATTGGATGCGCACGCAACGTCCGCTCAAAGTTTGCACGTGCGAAAGGTGAGAATTTTGCTCATTCGTGATTTCCAACAAATTCTGCTTTGCCACGACAGTTTAATGTCATTATAAATGAATTTAATGCCAACTTGAATGAGTATTAAGTGGCATATTCAGTCAGTGATCGACCGATATGCTTACCTAAACACAAGGAAATGTTTTTAAAGGAAAAATTTCGAAATTTTTGAAACTTCCTCCTTATTAATGAAGATATCAGTTTATATTGCGACTTTATAAAGATATCAGTTTATATTGCGACTTTATAAAGTACCCTGACATTATAATCAAAAAGAGATGATATTTTACCAAAACCCATAATCATGGGTTAGGTAGAGTGGACCGCTGCCAGTGTCTCTCTTTCCCAAACAAAAGGAAATGATATTAATTTGATTGACCGTTCTCAAATGCAAAATGATACCGAGAATGAAATCGGTCGCTCGCTTTTCCCATTCATTTACAATTGTATTTGTAATAGATTAAGAAGATCTACCCAAAGGCAGCTGTACTCGGCAATAAAGATTCAATAAACTTCAGCTAATTCAATAAGTAATAACTACCACCCTTACCCCGAAATACTAGGTATCGACCCGAACGCAACCCAAAGAGATTTTTACAGCATCTGATTGATGTATCTAATCAATCGAAACTTATTACAATTCGTAAGCCGTGAATGAATGGGAAAAGCGAGCGACCGATTTCATTCTCGGTATCATTTTGCATTTGAGAACGGTCAAGCAAATTAATATCATTTCCTTTTGTTTGGGAAAGAGAGACACTGGCAGCGGTCCACTCTACCCATGATTATGGGTTTTGGTAAAATAATATATATATTTATACCCATGGGCGCGATCAGATTTCGACCGTTCTGTGTATATTTGTAAATGCTGATTTTAATGGTAAGTATTTAAAGTTAAGGTGCACAAATTTGTACTTCAAATCTTTATTTATCTTCACAATTACTTTAAAACCAAAACTAACTCGAATCCTAAAGCATAAACAGCTCAAATATTATTGTTTTACTTACCTGGGGCTGGGTATCCTTGTATCACGTTGCGACCCCCACGGTCGTTTCACTATGGTGTATCATGTATCGTCCTGACGATACAGGGGGAGCCGCGCACTTCGTGCGCGGCGGGTCATACAACGTATGACAAGGGTATCCCAGGCTATCATGTTCGAATAAAAATTCGGCGGAATGACAGGCTGAGCGCCGCCTAGTGGTAGTAAATTTGTAGGTTTATAACCTACCAGGACGCGCGCCGAGTTGGACTCGTCAAAGGTCCTAATATTTGGAACAAATATTTTACGAGTATCACCCGTTAAGAATTATTTGATGCGCGGCCCAGCTAGCAGTGCATCGTGCAACAAATTATGACATGATCGATTTCTTGATCTTCGGCTTCCTTGTTCACTTTTTCGAAGTTACTATCTACCTCCACATTTTGTAAAAATGTACACTGAAAATGAGATGCAGGACCGAGGTAGTCTTGACATATGTTGCATGCCACTTTTCGCGCCGATATTTGGATACGAAACATGACATGTATTAAAGGTGGTATATAAATAAAAAACAATTTTCAAAAAGCGGGTATTACTGATGTTTTAAGCATGCAATATTTATTGTTACACGTTGCATACCTCTCTCGTGCACGCGAAGCGCCGAAATTGGAAGTGCAAGCGTGCATTCTGTCCAGCCGGGCGCCGCGCGCGATCAAAAGGGCCGGTTGCAGCGTGTGTCAAAATATTTAATGCACGATAACCCATTTGACGAAGATGGCCTGTACTGTGATCATATTTCATATTTGTTGTTTTTACACAACTTTTGTAATCATAGATACTGAATATATGACAGATATTTTAATATTTTTACTGCATAATGATTGACCATTGTTAATGGTTTGGCCCGGCGCGCGTTACTTCGTAGCACTTGCCATCGAGAAGAAAGCGGCGCGCGCTACTTCGAAGAAATTTAGACGAGTAACATCCGTCAAAATAATGATTACAAATGATTTTTTGTTTTTGCTTATTGTATGAAACATTCATGATTTGCAAATTATCTGCTAAAATTTTGTATCACGTCATGACCCCCATTGCCCATTGTCGTTTTTACTAAGTGGTATCGTGGCCAGTGACGTAATGAAGGGCCCCGCCGACCCTGCTGTGCAGGGGGGGGGGGGGGCCTTGATTCACGATGTCAATCCTTCGCATCTCGCCGATCTGCATTGTATTACGTGGTGACCCCCACGCTACAGGGGAGCCGCGCACTTCGACGCGCAGGCGGGTCATACAACGTATGACAAGATCTGCATACATGTGGTTGCGAGAAGATGCGCGGCGCAGCCCAGTAGTGCATCGCGCTACAAGGGGGCCCTTGTAATTTGTAAGTGTAGTTGCGCGTATGCAGATCGGCGAGATGCGAAGGATTGACATTGTGAATCAACAGTAGTGCATCGCTAAAATTTTAAGGGGCGCGCCAAATCACAAATCGTCCTTACAATTACGGTACTATCAAAACTGCGCGTTTTACTCTAGAAACACACTTTTTTAAAGATTTTACTATACCCGCGGCGTATCCACTAAAATCATTTAATTTGTTCAATTTTAGGGAGGAGCGCCAACAGGGGGGCGCACGAGTGCGCGGCTCCCCCTGTATCGTCGAAACTCTACAGTGAAGCGACAGTGGGGGTCACCACGTGATACAAAGCAACGCTACGCCACTGATTACTGGGCCGCGCTCAGCCTGTCATTCCGCCAAATCTTTATATTATTATGTTAATGAACATAATAGCCTGGGGTCCTCAGGTAACGCCACTGATCGCGGCCACGATACAGCTGCGCACTGCCACTCGTGTGCGGCAGCTGGTATACAACGTATGACAACTAACATTTTAAAACCGCAAAAAAAATCTGGTGAGAGTTGGGTTACCTGGTGAGAGTTGGGTTATATCTTGGTGACAGTAATGGTTTTCAATGTTCATTTTAATGTCCGTTCATAATTTTGTCCGACAAGGTATTCAAGTCAAGAAGCTGGAAGAGAATGCCGCGCATGTTACCTGGTTGATAGACGTTGTATAAATTTTTCGCGAAGATAAGACTAAGAGGTATACAACGTGTCGATGTGGCAATTATGAATAACCTGGGGACCGCAGGCTTTTATATTCAATTTCATAAACACAAATTGAAGATATATAGCGGAATGACATAACAGGCTGAGCGCCGCTCAGTAAAATAGAAATATAAGCGGAGATGCACAAGAGGTTTGCATTTCCGATAACGAACAAGTTTCCCATCCAAGCTTTGCCATTACAAGCTTTAATTGCCAAACATTTTTTTCTGTTTGCGAAAAAAAAAACAACGATAATTGTATCAAAACAATCACAAATTTAACAAATTAATTTCGACAAAAACTGAAAGATAAGAGTTCGCCAGTCCGGCCACTTAAAAGCCACGATCCTTGAACCACTGAGCCACAGCCTCGCCGTCTCTCTCCAGCCACCCGGCGCGCAGTTTAATGCTCTCCAAACTCTGTTTTATCGCTCTTTCTGCCGACGGTGCTTTGTTCTCGGAGAAGAATTTCTGAAAATATTTCCTTTAGTTTAACATGAACTAAATGTTACCCTATCAGTTATCTGCAAATTTTATTTTATAAATTGAGTTACTGGCATACATTTTGTCATACGTTGTATGACCCGCCGCGCACGAGTGCGCGGCTCCCCCTGTATCATTGAAAGCGACAGTGGGGGTGAAGCGACAGTGGGGGCCACCACGTGACAGAGGCACATATTAGGTGCGATGGGTGCGGGATCGCACAATTTACCGTTTTCCGCACATTTCCGCATAAATTATTGTTTTCCGCACACTTCCGCACATTTTGTAATTTTCTGCATATTTCCGCATAATCTAGCATTTTCCGCGTAATTTCGCATAATTTTGAAATTTTCGCGTTAAGATTTTCGAGTGTAAAAACCAAAATATGTTAAAAGTCGGGCCCTTTTAGGACCGTGACTCAGGCCCTTTTAGGACCGTGACTCAGGCCCTTTCGGGACCGTGACCCAGGCCCTTTTGGAACTCATACCTCGGCCACGTGACCCAGTTAACACGTGACACAGGCCCTTTCGGGACCCTGACCCAGGCCCTTTCGGGACCCTGACCCAGGCCCTTTCGGGACCGTGACCCAGGCCCTTTTGGAACTCATGCCTAGGCCACGTGACCCGGTTACCACGTGACCCAGGCCCTTTCGGGACCATGACCCAGGCCCTTTCGGGACTGTTCCCCAGGCCCTTTCGGGACCGTGACCCAGGCCATTATGGAACCCTCGCCGTTACCGTACTTCGATAATACCTGCAGCCCTTTTTATCGGGTAATGAGCTCTATTCGTTGTAGTGTTGGCTTTATAGTGGGCTTAATGGATCTTGGATCAAATGGTTTACAAGTACTGACGATCAATGCCAACAAGCTTGTCACATATTTGCGATCACGCATGGGATCTGATCAACTCTATCAAGACTCAAGAGGCGTCTTCAAATAACTGTCTCCTGATCTCTACCAGATCAAGTCACTGTTCTCAGATAACTGAATCTCAATATAGGTTCAATTATGGTCTTAGTAAAGAACTACACCCTCAGTTACACATAAACAGACCTATTTTTGATAAGAGCGGCGGTTATACGTTTAGAATTTCCAAAGTCCTTCAGAAAATGCAAAAGAAAACCGCACAATTCCCGCACAAATTTCGAAAAAATCGTCGCACATTTGCCGCATAATTGGTAAAAATTTACCGCACCTTACCGCACATTTTACCTTTATAGTCGGGTGCGGTACCGCATAATTTCGATTTTTTTACCGCACCTAATATGTGCCTCTGCCACGTGATACAACATACATGGCCGCATACAAGTACGTGAAGGTCAACATTCATCGTCATTATTCAGCGACTTTTGCACTTTTGGATAGCGCATTTTTGTGAACGGGTGATACTCGTAAAATGTCTGTTCCAATACACAATATAAAGTCCAACTCAGCGCGCGTCTTGGTAGGTTATAAACGTACAAGCCATCTATGCCATACTGCATACATTGATGACAATTGATGTTGAAAAATGCCGGGTAATTTTTAGACATTATTGACATTTCGCCTTTAATCCTGGACCAGGCAAAAGTCCTGCTCACCTTGGGACGTTCGCTAAGTTTCTCGATGTAATTCGAATTATATGACTCTAAATGAGTCTAAATAACACAATTGACTCGGGTAAACTTTTTCACCAGTGGGGCATTTCTCGGAATCACGCCCTTTTTGACCGCACCCATATCGCGACCCCCACTATAAATAATCTCGGCTTCTGATTGAGATACAGACCTCAGCTATGATCCAAAATGTGCCTAAGATGCATGTTTATATTAGTGTTATGAAGATACTTAAGGCCTAAGAGACTTAGTTTTGAGAAATCGCCAAAAATCCGATTTTACTACACTAGCAGTCTCGAGAGTAACAATTATCACACTTATTTCAAGATATCTCCGCTTCTGATTGGAGCTAAGCGCTCATCTTGGGCATTAAAATGGTCAGAATCATCATATTGAGTGGGATAGAGCATGGTTTTAAAGTCTTCAGACTTCAGGTTGTTGAGTTATTAGTTCAGATCCCATTTTTATGCTCTCGCGACTAGCGATTGATGCACTTATTTCAAGATATCTCTGCTTCTGATTGGAGCTAAGCGTTCATCTTGGGCATTAAAATGGTCAAATTCATCATTTTGAGTTGGGTAGAGCATGATTTTAAAGTCTTCAGACTTCAGGTTGTTGAGTTATTAGGCCAGATCCCATTTTTACGCTCTCGCGAATAGCGATTGATGCACTTATTTCAAGATATCTCTTGAAAACGCTTCTGAGTGGAGCTGTGGAGATAAGCGTTCATCATGGGCATTGAAATAGTAAAAAATTATCAAATTAAGTAGCATCGAGCATGGTTTTAAAGTCAGGTTATTAAATTATTAGGTTAAACCCTATTTTTATGCTCTCGCAAGAATGGTCACTGCAATGGTGAAAATATTTATTAAATGAACTGTAATTAATCGCCAGGAAAAAGTTGTTTGCCAAGAAATATCAGTAAAATGTCACTAAAACCTCTAGCACTAGGAACATGCTTTACCCCACTTAATATGATCATACTGACCATTTCAATGCCCATGATAAGCACTTAGCTTCAATCAGAAGCTGCGATATCTTGTAATAAGTGTGTCAATCGCTACTCGCAAGAGTGTAAAAATATGTTTAAACCTAATAATTCAACAACCTGAAGTCTCAAGACTTCAAAACCATGCTCTACCTCACTCAATGTGATGATTCTGACCATTTCAATGCCCAAGATGAGCGTTAAACTCTACTCAGAAGCTGAGATATCTTGAAATAAGTGCATCAATCGCTACTCGCGAGAGCATAAAAATGGGATCTGACCTAATAACTCAACAACCTGAAGTCTGAAGACTTTAAAGTTTAAAACCATGCTCTACCCCACTCAATATGATGATTCCGACCATTTTGATGCCCAAGATGAGCGCTTAGCTCCAATCAGAAGCGGAGATATCTTGAAATAAGTGTGATAATTGTTACTCTCGAGACTGCTAGAATAGTAAAATCGGATTTTTGGCTATTTCTCAAAAACTAAGTCTCTTAGGCCTTAAGTATCTTCATAGCACTAATATAAACATGCATCTTAGGCACATTTTGGTTCATGGCTGAGGTCTGTATCTCAATCAGAAGCCGAGATTATTTATAGTGGGGGTCGCGATATGGGTGGGGTCAAAAAGGGCGTGATTCCGAGAAATGCCCCACTGGTGAAAAAGTGTACCTGAGTCCATTGTGTTATTTAGGGTCATATAAGTCGAATTACATCGAGAAACTTAGCGAACGTCCCAAGGTGAGCAGGACTTTTGCCTGGTCCAGGATTACTTCAGCCTTGTCCATTAACAATGAACTCACCCCCAGTGCGCGCTATGCTGCAGTTCTTCCTAATAACTAATTTCTCCCCCCGCATTGCTACTATTTCAAAGAAATTTAGCATTTAAATGCGTATACTGGTATAGAGTATAATCTGTCGAGATTTCTCCAGAACAGGAAGAAAAGATATTCTCGATGGGATGTAATGTGGTTGACAGAATAACTGCTTTAAGTTAATCGAGTGGCTGCTTCTATTTTCGGTATTATCTTTAATGTTGTCTCTTGTGTTAGTTGGGCCGTGCAATCGGGTCATTTTGAATAATGATTGGTTCAAAAAAATTCGTAGTTAGTAAACGGATCAGATATCGCTAAATTTGTTCTTGAATTGACATGACATATATGATCGAATAAATTAATATAATGTCGCGTGCGTACGCAAGTGCGCTAAAATGTACTTTACATGCACTAAAGTCGCATAGTGCTAGTAGTTTAGTTGATGTTGGGCGCGAATGACCCGTAAAAGCGCGCAATTGTCTTGAACGCCCGGTAAAAACAAGTTTTCTGGGTGCGTTCACGTAAATCTTACCTCAACGTCTTTGTACTTTTCCATGTCTACGAAACTAGCACAGGTAGTCTGAACCAGACGTTGGAAGAGGAAACCACCGGAATACCTTAGAAATATTAGTACAGGAATCTAATTTTAATATTCCACTCAAATATTAAATAAGTAAAAACTTGAAGTTCTTCGTTTCAATTAACTATTTTAAGTCAGAAGTACAATCAATCTCACTTAATAGAAAACTAACCGTTCCAAAAATATGGGGTATTTGTTCTTGACAAACGCCCAAGTTTGGTCTCTTCCTTCCCACCCAGCCTTAGCAACGCCGCCAATAACGAAGGGAGTGTCATTTGAACGTACAGCATCGCTTAGTGAGAAGTCTAGTGTCTTAGCTCGCAAATCAGCGTCAGGACTGGAAATAAACATATAGATAATAGATCTGGACACTGGTGGGGAGTTTATAGTGTTGTGATCACTAAGTATTGGGCCATTTAGAAGAGATTTGTAGACATAATAGTTATAGTGGTGTGATTATTTGTTCAGTCAATAAAAACAAACAATTTGATTAGGATAACCATCTAATCTTTTACTTGAAAACCTTCATTCAACGAATACACCTATCATTCAATTAACTAATTGATATTTGATTGCTCTAACCCGCAGCCAAGAACCCTCTGGATCCTGTCCCTTTCTTCGTGCAGGTCCGTTTTATTAAACAAGGTTAGTAAGTCCTGATATTCGTCATTCCCGCCATTGGCCCGTACTGTGCTGTACACTGATCCTCTTATATCTGCTGGTATCTGTTTTCCTCCACTGTAAGAGATATTGTACACTTTCACTTTCACTTTCAACATTTGCCAATTTCGTTTTGAACGTATATTAAACATGTTGTAATAAGGAGTATTATTGTTGTAATAAGGAGTATTGTTCTGTTTCAGTAAAATTAAGGCAACTATTCCAGGAGAGATGACATACAAATAATATTTAGAGGCAAAAACGAATAACCCGAGAAATAACCCCATAGTAACTAGTTAGTACCCTGAAATTAACATAAAAACGCTGTAGACGTGATAAGTATGTTAGTTAGACAATTCCCTGGGGACTAGTGTTGAGTCAGTGATATCAAATATCAACAGTAAGTTGACATACTGTCCGACATACGACACCATAGTACATACCATAGTACATACCTCGGTCACGAGATATATTTCATACATTTCTAACAGAATACGGAGGTTAACATCTAGTGTTTAGTCGTAAGTCACTATAATATTGTATAAGACATCAGGTCATAAGGTCGATGAGTCAGAACGTAAATAAGTTTAAACTAAATAGTTTAAACTTATTTACTTTAATAAACTTACTTATATTTTGAAACAACGCACCTGATATGCTGTTTAAACATGTCGTTACACTTTTCAATAACTTCAGTGTCCCCACTGTGTCCCAGAGTCCCTATTAGCATGCTCCGTAACAGTGCGTCTGTGTGCCCGTCTGTTTCCTTGTTCTCCCATCCCACCTCAGTGAGAATCTTAGAGAATATCTGTCTCCTCATCGCTTTGAACTGAAGATGTTTTGGTGAAGGAGTACAAGTGAAGATTGTAGTGTGACAATGGAAATGTTCTAGAAGATGAACATTGTTCAAGATTCTCATAGTGTAATATGATAACCGCCTATCTGCACTTATAACATGCATACTGCAGGGAAAACACGACCTACTTCCAGACATAATTACAGATAATAATTACAGGTAATTACATAAACCAGATTCTCTAGTAGCAGTAACATAAACCATAGGATTGTTATCTGATTCACTTGATTGTGGGCCCTAACCTCTACTAATTGTTATCGCTGTTACATTGTTACAATAAGCAGTGAGGGGTGACAAAGTGCGGGGAGACAAAGTGGGGGTGACAAAGTGCGGGGAGACAACGTGGGGGAGACAAAGTGGGGGAGACAAAGTGGGGGAGCAAAGTGGGGGAGACAAAGTGGGGGGGAGACAAGAGGGGGGGAGACAAAGTGGGGGGGAGACAAGTGGGGGGGGGACAAAGTGGGGGAGACAAAGTGGGGGAGACAAAGTGGGGGAGACAAAGTGGGGGAGACAAAGTGGGGGAGACAAAGTGGGGGAGACAAAGTGGGGGAGACAAAGTGGGGGAGACAAAGTGGGGGAGACAAAGTGGGGGAGACAAAGTGGGGGAGACAAAGTGGGGGAGACAAAGTGGGGGAGACAAAGTGGGGGAGACAAAGTGGGGGAGACAAAGTGGGGGAGACAAAGTGGGGGAGACAAAGTGGGGGAGACAAAGTGGGGGAGACAAAGTGGGGGAGACAAAGCGGGGGAGACAAAGCAGGGGAAGACAAAGCGGGGGGAGACAAAGTGGGGGAGACAAAGTGGGGAGACAAAGTGGGGAGACAAAGTGGGGGAGACAAAGTGGGGGAGACAAAGTGGGGGAGACAAAGTGGGGGAGACAAAGTGGGGGAGACAAAGTGGGGGAGACAAAGTGGGGGAGACAAAGTGGGGGAGACAAAGTGGGGGAGACAAAGTGGGGGAGACAAAGTGGGGGAGACAAAGTGGGGGAGACAAAGTGGGGGAGACAAAGTGGGGGAGACAAAGTGGGGGAGACAAAGTGGGGGAGACAAAATGAGTGGTGCAAAATGAGGGATGAAAAAGTGACAAACCTGTTGATAACAAGGTAGATGGTTGAATAGACCTCCCAAATCAGATAAGTTAGTGTTGATACTACTGAGAACAACGTAGTTCCTCTCAGTACTGTAAGATCCCATCAAGGTCAGTAGATTCGCGGTACTCGAGTAACCTGCAAATTGAGGGGATTTGGGAGCAATCTATAAATAACAAAGGAAATAAGTATTTCAAGATGGCAACTAAGGACCTACAAATGGGTAGTTACATCCGTAAGAGCGTAAGAGAGTTCCCCCTATGGCCTACACTAAGCACATTGCACAAAAACATAGTTATTGCACACACATATATATCCTATGTATGTGCAATAACTATATTTTCAAGCGTATAAATGTTATAGTATGTAACATGATGTATATGCCGTCACCCATTTCTGAAGAAAAAAAAAACATAAACAAAAAAAGTATATAACAATGTAAAACTAAAAACTATAATATAATTTCCAGCTAAATGCTAATTAACAATTAATTACCAGCTTTAGCCAGAGCGAACAAATCCTGCTGTATCCCCAGTCTGTCTGCAGATGACAGAGCTTGGTTCTTAACAGCTGGTAGCAGTCTCTTCAGAAGATCATCACTGTACTTAACCCGGAACAGTCCTGCACATTGGAATTTTAAACAATTTTTAAGAACACGTACGATAAACACGTACGATAAAACGAATTAGTTGCTGATAAAAAGTAGCTTCAAGAAAAAGTAGTAGAGAACCTCAACCTATTCTTAACCTAGACAAACAGCTTAAATTTCACAAAATCTCCTCAACTAATAATTACCTATTTGATTAGGATTAACTTTGACCCAGTCGCCAGGCCTGGCTCCCTCCAACACGATCTGCCCCTCTCGTCCGTCCAGCAGATAAGTCTGTGGCGTGTCACGTGACTGTGTGACCACAGTAACTGGCACCAGCCACTGCTGGTCACTGGAGTTATCTCCGTTAGCGCAGAACTTCTGTTGCTTCAAGTTGAGGGTGACACTGTCAGAGGTCTCCACTACCTCCACTGTCAACATGGGGTACCCTATTTGTCCTGTCCATGTTGACATTACCTGTAGGAGAGATTAATTAAGTAATTATAGTCAATTAGCAAAACAATACATTCTTATATGGGGTTTAATCCAGATAATTTGATTTCAGCTATTTAAGTGCCCATTATTTCTCAGTAACAACACCTTCAGGCGGTAATTGGGGACCAAAGAAATTAAAAATGAACCTTCGTGTAACATTTCACTAAACGTTATAACAATTCAAGTTAATGTGGGCAAGGAGGAAGTAGCTTTACATTCTGACCTTGTTAACAGGTTGTCCACTTGACTCCTCAAGGGCGGCCCACAAATGCTCAGTAAGAGCGTTCTTGTACTGGTGACGTTTCAGGTACAGAGCTAGTCCCTTCCTGAACTTCTCTGCTCCCAACCAGTTGTGCAACATCCTGATCACGCTGTTACCTGAGTGAGACATCACGTAAGGTGGGTGTGACGTCACGTGAAGGTGGATGTGACGTCACGTGAAGGTGGCCGTGGGTATGACGTCACGTGAAATTGGGTGTGACGTCATGTGAAGGTGCGTATGACGTCACGTGAAGGTGGGTGTGACGTCACGTGAAGGTGAGTGTGACATCACGTGAAGGTGGGTGTGACGTCACGTGAAGGTGGGTATGACGTCACGTGAAGGTGGGTGTGACGTCACGTGAAGGTGGTTGTGACGTCACGTGAAATAGGCGTGGTCACTTCGCGTTTGGTGTGATGTTTTTATCGGTCGTTTAATTAGTCACAGATTAAAGAAATTACCTTTACAATAAGAAATAGCATCAAAGATTTCATCCACCTCTTCAGGATGACCTACAGGAACTTCAATAGGATGAGAGTTATCTAGAGCGTCCAGTTCAAGTGCACGTGAGAAATCCACTGTGAGGAGATATTTACGTTGGTTATTAACATTTAACATTTAACAAGCACCATATAAGGTGACGAATAAAGATGCAATAAAGTGTTTATGGTTAGTGATAACACTTGAAAATAAATTCTTCTATTTCACACAAAATATTGCTAACTATTAGTGGAAATCTGTTTGCAGATCTCTAAATCTTACTGTTGACGTATTGGAGCCAAATGTCCCAAGAAGGGAAGCAGTGATCCACGCAGAGGTACTCGATCCAGCTAGCAAAACCTTCGTTTAGCCACAAGTGAGTCCACCATTGCATGGTGACCAGGTTTCCAAACCACTGATGGGCCAACTCGTGACCAACTACCAGGGCAACCCACTGTTTGGTTCCAGAAGAGGTGTTCAGTGGATCCACCAGTAACGCAGTCTCCCTGTAGGTCACCAAACCCCAGTTCTCCATCGCTCCTGAATTGTAAATATTGTTGTCATGTTGCTGTCTTCTTAATAGGTCTCAAGTCAAACGTATCTTTAAAGAGATTTGGTTATTTTAAATATTAAATTTGATGAAATGATATGTTTAATCAGACTAAGATTAAGAATGATGCAAGTTATCGTGAGATACACACCAAAACTAAGAGTAGGCACTGCTATCATGTCCAATTTGGGTAAATCGTACTTAATTTCAAAATAGTCTGCGTAAAACGGCATACATTGGACCGCAACATCCAGGGCAAACTGACCCTGTTCACTTTTACCTAAAATAATAAATCTATTACTGAATCATTAAAAATCAATTAAGTAAACGATACCTGCAGCAAAGTCAGGAATAGCAATGAGATCCATTTTGGGTAGTGGGTAGGGTATTTCAAAGTAATCATTATAAAACGGCAGAGTCTTAACGGCAACGTCTAATGCAAACTCTCCTTGTTCTTTTTTACCTGATACAAGATTTTGCGGATAAAGATTTAGACAAGCTCATAAATATCATCTATTACCGGCTATTACATACAGCACGACCTTATGTTATGATAAAGGGAACGTATTTTCTAAGATCGACTCGAGAGCATTGAAATCGAATAATATCAGCAGTTAATAGAGATACAGCTAATATATATGTAATATAAAGCCTGAAAAGAAGTAAAATAGAGGTGAAAATTCTACAAACCGACTGGAGTGTATACTCTGATAAGAACATCGTTCTTATCTCGAGCCTCAACGTAATCAAACTCTCCGACTACAAAGGCAACCAGATAGGTCGACATTATTGGCGTGCGATCGTAGGTTGTTATCTTGATACTATCTTGTACTTCCTTGATGAGAAAAATTAGTAGAATTGAAAATGTATCAATAAATAAATCAAATAGCGCAAATATAAACCATGATCTAATTATGGAATTTAAACTTAAAATATAAAATTACTTCAAAAACAAAAACTTACTAAAACCTAAGTTAAATATCTAAAATACCTCTTTAACTGCAGGCATGTTTGACAGAGCCACAGAAGCTACAGGAGACACCAGTGTTACATCAAATGTTGCCTTGATAGCAGGTTCGTCCCAGCAGGGGAAGGCACGGCGAGCATCTGTTGATTCGAACTGTGTGACAGCAATGGGATGCTTACTTCCATCGCCAGCTGAAGAAGAAATATGTAATTGATTCTATTTGAAGTTAAAATAGTATGTTGGAGAGATATTGTTACTGTATAACTATAATTACTGTCATTATAATATTCATTGATCTCAAAGCCTTTATTTATGTATGGTGCCATCCAGTGAGCTAAATTCGATTTACAAACTAAAATACACAAGACTTTTTAAATTCAGATTGCAGAAAGCAATCATAATCAGCCTCACAGCCCAAACGACACAGTTTAAGAAAGTTTTACCTGTATAGCAACTGCGATAAAATCCTCTCAACTTATCATTCAGAATCCCAGTAAAGTTGAGGTGGATCTGTCCAGAACCTAGAGGCAAAGAACCAGGGAAGGTCACAGTTAGTGTCTCATCTTCAGCGTTAGTTTTTATGTCTGATGAACTAACTGTGTTTCCACCAGAAGTGAAGGAGGCACTTTGAATTTCAATCTCAGCACTGTTCATCTTGACAGCATTTACAGACTCTTTCACCTGGAATTGTAAATGAGATAAGACGAGAATAATAACAAATAAAACGAAAGAAATATTGCATTATATCACAGATAGTTTGAACGAATAACAAAAGATAGGGATAACAAACCTCAACATCGATAGTCTCTTTGCCACTAAAGGAGTTCTTCACTAGATCCGGATGAAGGTAAAGGGTGTAGTTGGAAGGAACCACAGTAGAGGGAAGATGCTCAAATGGTTTTCTTTGACTGGCAGACATCCTGAAGCTTCTTGCTAACCTTATAATTGTGACACTTTTAGAGACTGACCTGAGGCTGGATAGCAGGATTGTACTCATGTCCTCATACTAGAACTGTGTAACATGAGTCTGGCAATGTTTTAGTATAAACTTGTGGAAAAATACATTATATCATGAGAATTCACAACATCCAATAGTTTAACTCTGTCAAGATAGCGGCTGGTACATAATCATTCCATATTTGGTAAACCTCTACTTACAATGTAGGAACTTATCAACAGTAAACTCAACCACATTTTCAAGTTTGTGGAACAGTCGACAAGACTAGAAAGGGAAAACCTTTTTAGATAACCTCCTAGGATTCCACATCAGGAACTACACTAAACCCCACACTAGACCCAACCCAGGCCTGTCCCCGCATAGAAACATATCTCTTAGGCTTTGACCTTGCTCGGATGTCCTTGTCTGCCCACAGAAGTACTACAACGGAAGTGCAAGTGGGTTCGCTCTGAGCCAGGTAGTGACAGCTTCAAGACTCCAGAGGTCTGTTACGTTGATATTCATTTTTTATGATTATGCATAGCCAGCAAGAGTTGCACTCTGTGGGCACGGTGAGAAGGCTTACCGTGTACCAATGGAGGCCAGCGTCTGTTGACTGTAACCGTAGGAGAAGAGCTATGAGGGATAGATGAGAGTAATTGCTCATGATTTATGATTGTGCTCTGCCAATTGCATCACTTGATTTAATTTATAATATATAATATTATTGGACTCTTTCGAGGTTCAATTAGAAAATAAAATCATTATCACTAGTAAGTTGTAACTGTAAAAAGCTAGGCAGTAGGCTGCAGCCAAACATCCAAAGTTAAACCAGACCAACAATATTGGAAGATGATTACACAGGACTTTACCTTTTTCAAGTAAATTGAAGTAATGCAATATGCAAGCTACACGGCTTTTCAATAATGGAATCCTCAGGAGCACCCTGATAGCGGTCAGGGGTGAGAGAGGGAGACGGCAATCGTATACATTGCCAGTCAGTGTAACTTCGTTTAACTTGATACCTGCCACCATGGACTATGAATGTTTCTAGACACTATCCTTTTGATATTGAGATAATGGTATCTCAGATCACGTGTACATCGTTCCTTTTCTATGACACAGTAATTTATTGACACTCACAGCTATAATTTTAATCATTGAATCAGTATTTTTATCTGTGCTCTGCGTAATGCATCACATGAATCAGTTTTTAATCTATTCACTTATTACACATTTGTGCTCTGCTTTAGCATCACTTGACTATTTAAAAAAATTGTTTGTTCAGGCCATGACCTTATAGCCAATTGGCCATTGCTAAAATTGAATGTAATTTATTCAATATTTTATATTTATCACAAAAAAAATAATGGAATGAAAATCATGGCTAGCATATTTAAAGCATATAAAGCACATATAATATAAAGGGGACGGCGGATGATAAATGTGAAGTAGAGACTCCATCGGGATTGTTCATTATATCAGCATCTCAATGAGAGGCTTCTATGCGAAGCCTGCAGAACACTAAAAACCATGGTACTAGAGCAACAACTTTGAAAATTCGTTGATAGTAGTATATTTTAAGAATTGTCTGTACAAAGAAACGTGCATGTCATCAATCCCAGCGGGTGTGTTAACGAATTCTGTACCATCTCCAATCGAAGCAGCCGAATTATTGGCCCATCCGTGATTGATAGCTAGTAAAATAAAACCGGACCCAGCGAAACGATCTAGAATCAAAATTATTATAAATGATAAATCTTGTTTGGTGTAATGGGCTGCTAAGTACACATTAACGGGTGATACTCTTAAAATATCTGTTCCATATATTCAGGACCGTCGACGAGTCCAACTCGGCGCGCGTCCTGGTAGGTTGTAAACCTACAAAGTACACATACATTGGGGTGTACAGTGGCGTAACGAAAGGCCCTGCTGACCCCGCTGTGCAGGGGGGCGCCGTCTTAGGGGGGCGCCAAATCGTTGTTTGAATGTGGGACAATTTCGAAAACTTAACTAAAGTACTAGCAAAACTGCGCGTTTTGCTCTAGATACACACTTTTTTAGAGATTTTACCGGCGTATTCTTTAAAATCACCTAATTTGTTCAATTTTAGGGAGGGGCACCAAAAAGGGAGGGGGCGCCAACAGGGGGGCGCTTTTTTCGGCAGGGGGCGCCAACAGGCAACGTTACGCCACTGGGGGTGTACTTTAACAGTATACACATAATGTCACAATGACCCTATATAAAAATAACCCTTCAAAAATTCAATATTTTTAAAATCAACCTTGGCCTTGCGGCTCCAAGTTCAAATCTAAACTGTCTATATTGACAAAGTTCTTTCTCGCCCCTCTGTCTCCCCGGAGAGAAATTACCGTCGTTCTTAAGATTTCGAAACGAAGGCGCTTCCTAATGTATCCCACAGCTCATCTGAGTACCTCTGCCCTGTGTGGTATTCCATCTTACTAGCCAGCTTCTTTACTAGCCTTTCAGCTTCACCACCCATTCCACCAGACGTTGAGAAAACTAGTATACTAGCTTGATACTTTAACTTGGTACTTTAACTAGTATACTAGCTTAATAGTCTATTGTTCGCTCCTCTCACGTATAGAAAAAAGCTTGCAAAGAGCGCGGCGCACAGGGACTGGTGTGCCATGAGGTAATATAAGAGTGTACTGTCAACTGTTCGAGATATTGATTTATATAGTATATACTACTATTTTATACAAAGTTTTGGAAATCATTCAAATAGTATATTGTTTTGCAACTTCAAACAGTGTTTTGACAATACGTACACGTATTTTGTTTGAAAAAAGGATTGCTGTAATTTTTTTTTTTTTTTTTTTTTTGAATAAAATTATTCAAACAATATACACATAATATAGCAATGACCCTATATAAAATCAACCCTTTAAGAATATACAAAATTCCCTAAGCACTCAAAAATTACCCTTGGCCTTGTGGCTCCAAGTTAAGATCTAGACTGTTTATATTAACAATGTTTTTTCTCGCACCTCTGTCTCCACGGAGAGAAATCACTGTTGTTCTTAGGATTTCAAAGCGAAGGCGCTTTCTGATGTAACCTACAGCATCCGAGTACCTCTGGCCAGTGTGGTACTCCATCTTACTGGCCAGCTTTTTTACCAGTCTTTCAGCTTCACTACCCATTCCACCAGAAGTCGAGAACACTAAAGGTGTGAAGCTTCCTTTCTCCACTTCAAGAACCCTTGCGTTGTAACATCGCTTTTTCTCATTTTCATGGGACTGGTACATTGCTGTAATACAAATTTTAAGTTATCCAAATATTTAATAAATAGCTCAGTAACTGTAAAATACAATTATTTTTAAATATTGAGATTGCATAAATTGTAACATGCAAAGTAAAATTAAAAACTTACACATTTTGTTTTTCTTTGGAGGACTTCGCCGCTTCGACGCGCCGCGCAAACTAGCATTCTTGCTTCGCATCGAAGATCGTTGCTGTGCGAAACAAACTAACGATTTTGATGGGTTGACACAGTCAATCAAGTTTTTCTTAAATAAATTGAAGTATAATATAAAATGTTAATTAGGTTAAATCAATTTTCCAAAAAATGTTTTTAAAATTGAGCAAGCTTTTTGGTTCAGATATACTTTACAAAAATATAAAATATTTTAGTTATTTACTTCACCTAACCATGTGCTTTCGCGCCACTTCGGGCGCGCATGTTTCACAAGTCAAGAAAAGCACCTATCCACGAACCCCGATGGGAAAGTTCGTGCGCGCGTGCGCAGTGCTGACAACAGCGTCTATGTAGCGCAGGTAGTCTTGGCACTTCTCCCTCCAGTATGCAGTAACCACTTTTCAGGTTTCTATAGTGCATAGTGACAGTGTATAGGGGTTAATTAGGTATAAACTAAAATACAGTTGTACTTAATTGACGATGTCAATTCATGGCAGCTCGGCACGGCACAGTAGCGCATCTCGCCGATCTAGCGCGGCACAGTAACGCATCGCGCTACATGAAAGCTGTACTTACACCTACATTCACAAGCATGCAAGCTCACCTGGTCCAATGAGCGGGAAACAGAGGACAAGGTCTGGTGACGTCATAGTCACGTGACCTCATAGGCTCATAATCACGTGACCTCAGACCCAATCAATGATCAATTAGGTTTGGGCATGGTCAGCCCCCTGTCAGCCGATCTTGAGGTGACGTACGACACCTCGTTTACGAAATCAATGTCTGAAAGGCTACACACGTCGCATATGAGGACAAAAGCATGGGTAATTTTGGCACCACTGTAGAGTGGTGCCAAAATTTTTGGGTGGGTTCATGGCTAGAGCCCTTTTTACCGCCGTGAGGCGGGCGCGCGCTACTGCAAGCGCAAGGGCTCTGGATAGAGCAAGTTATTTACAAATATAAAATTAAACAATAATTACGTTTACGGTTTAATTTCAGTTGATCATAAATTTGAAAAAATTATTCCGCGTGTAAAACGTATATTCATAATTGGGGTTTTACGGTTTCATTTTAAAAATGTTTATAATTGAAAAATTTTATTTCGGGCGCCGCGCATCCTAAAAATTTATTTATTTTAAAATATGCGATAAAAATCGAGCGCTAGTATGAATTTTTGACAGGTAGCCCTGTGACTACTGACTAGTGACTCATAACTATTATCGAAGAGTATATGGTATTGGATCCATTCTTCATTCTTGTTATCTTTATAGTTGTTATCTTTATAGATGTAATCAAACGTGTATTGACAACATTTACACAAATGATATAAACAAGGTTGTTGCCTCAGGTACAGTATCTGACAGAATCTCGCATCATCTGCCAGTTTTTCATATTTTTGAAGACCTAGCTGTAACTAACTCTGAACCTCAAGTTAAACATACCCAATATTATGATTACAGTGAATCCAACGTTCGAGTCCTTGTTTCATCCTTAAACCAACATTTCTCTGAGCACCCACCAAAAAACTTTATTGAATTTCACGACACATTCAAAACGAATCTAGACAAATCATGTAAACTCAGTAAACCTAAAGTCTCCAAAAGAACGCCAATGACAAATCCGTGGATAACAGGAGGATTGATCGCGTCTATAAATAAAAAACATGAGCTGCACGACCACTGGCATAAAGCGAAGAGAGAAAAATGTTTGCATAATCCAGGTAAACTTTGTCGTGAGATCAAGGAAGCCTGTCACTGCAATCCTTGTAATGATGCCAGGGAAAAGCATGCTAATTTTACTGACAAACGTAGGAGAGTTAAACACGTAATAAGACTAGCTCAACGCCTCTACACGTGCAACAAAATTGAGGAGTGTCAGGGTGACAGTAAAAAAACCTGGCAGTTAATTAATAAAGTGCGAGGAAAGCAAAATAAGCAAATGAAACCGTCATTCATGATAAACAATGAGCGTGTTATTTGTCGACGAGTTATTGCTCATGAATTTAACAAGTACTTTGTGTCAATCGCCTCCAATCTGAACGAGGTCTGTGAGAGGAGGATTGATGAAGATCCTATAATTGCTAAATCATTCACTGACTACTTGCCACAGTCCTGTCCGTCAAGTATTTATCTTGCTGAATGTACAAGCTCTGAAATAATACAAATTATAAGTGAATTTAATAACGGTAAAGCTAGCGACATACCGGCACATGTAATGAAGCAGTGTAGTCAAACTATATCAGAACATCTTGCCAGAATTTATAACAACTGCATGAATGAAGGTGTCTTCCCTGATCAACTGAAAACGGGTAAGATAACCCCGATATATAAAAAAGAAGATGAGGAATTACTAGAGAATTACAGGCCAGTATCAACATTACCAGTATTTGGTAAAATATTTGAAAAAATTATTTACAGTAGATTATACAACTTTTTCTTATCTCGAGGAATAATATTCGAAAATCAGTTCGGCTTTAGAAAAAACCACTCGACAAGTCATGCTCTTAACTACTCCGTAAATCACGTCGAAGAAAAACGGAATAATAAAAACCACGTATTAGGAATATTTATCGATCTCTCTAAAGCATTTGATACCTTACCATTTGATATGCTACTTAAGAAACTTAGTAATTACGGAGTTAGAGGAAACGCACTAAAGCTGCTCTCCAGCTATCTAAATAATAGATACCAGTATGTTAGTGTACTTGGTGAAGAATCAGAGCCTCTCCCAGTTAAACTAGGCGTACCTCAAGGATCCGTTTTGGGCCCCTTGCTTTTTCTTATCTATATAAATGACATCTATAGATGTAGTACATTAGGAAAATTTGTACTATTTGCAGATGACACAAACATCTTTGTAGCTGCTGAAACTAAGGAACAAGCATACAAAATAGCGAATGAAATTCTCGACTCTGTGTGCCAATATATGCGCCATAACCTACTGCACATTAATGTTAAAAAATCTTGTTACATGTACTTCTCGCCTACTAAACGTAAGACCATTGATAATACTGAAAATGACTTGAATCTAGAAATTGATGGGATCCCGATCAAACAGGTTACTGAAACGAAATTTCTAGGTGTAATTATTGATGACAAACTGAGTTGGACACCTCATATCGAGAAACTAACTAAGAAATTAAACAGCATATGTGGCCGTATTTATCGAATAAAAAACTCCCTCCCCAGCCAGCTGTACAAACAGATATACCACACTCTTTTTGAATCTCATCTAGGATACGGTATAACTGTATGGGGTGGTGTATCAATTAATAAGCTTTCACCACTATTCCTTGCACAGAAGAAATGTGTCCGAATCTTATTTGGGGACTCGGAAGCATTTAGCGACAAGTTTAAAACTTGTTCTCGTAGCAGGCCAATCCAGTGCAGTATAAACAAGAAAGGTCAAATATCAAATGAATCAACTATACCTCACATTAAACCGTGTTCTATATGTATCAGCTTGAGGAAGACTGGTGATAAACAAGCAAGGCCACATCGCTGCCAAATACTTGGGGCAGAATTCCACTCTAGAGAATCAACAAAACCTATTTTCCAATCTAAGGAACTAATGACAGTACATAACATATATAGATACAGATGCATTACAGAAACAATGAAGATAGTGAAGAGTCATCAGCCCATATCCATGTATTCTCTCTTTAAGAAGTCTGAGCTCAGAGATGACAGATTTGTGACACCACACTCATCTCACAATTTCGCATATAAAGGGGCAAATTTATGGAATAGGTTTCTTGAGCAGTCAAATGCACGTGGTAAAATAGGTTCACTAGGTTCAATTAAATCCCGATTGAAGCTTTCTATCATGAAGGCTCAACACCAACCTGACAATATTAACTGGCAGGACTTAAACTTCAACACTTTCCTATGAAAAGACCCCCATTTATATTTATATATTTTAGATTTTACACCTGTCACTCACATCATATATGCACCACAAAGAAAAAAGATTCATTCAATCATTACATTATACACTCACTCCACCACACATGCACACAAAACATTAAAGCAGGTTACACGCGGGTGTAACGTTCACTTTATCCGAAGGGAAAAATAATACTTTACGTAACGCGCGATTTACGTCTTAATAGCTAAATTATTCAAGTGCTATTTGTCAGAGCGACACAAATGCGCGAGCGCTTGCGCAGCTCACCTATCCAACACTCTTGTTTACATCGTATCAGGCAATGGTTCAGTTTAATTATGGTAAGGGCACAGCCTGTCAAAAACCCTTTTCGCATGATCCGTCGACACCGCCTGAAGGTGAATGCTTGAATTGGTTTTGGACCTCTTCAATGCTTTTAATTTATTTATTATTGTTATTTGGTATTATGAGCTGATATGTATATATATATACATACGGTATCTAAAATTAAGCGTATAGCGAGCATATTTAACAATTTTTAAGCAATAATGTATTGCGAGCAGCTGTAACTTAAATATCGCATAAAAATCATATAATTATAACACAAAACTAAAATTTTATTGGAATCTAGGTTAAACTAAGATAAAATTAATATCAGCCCCTTCGCCACTCTCAGCAGTCAACCAGGGCTCATAAAAGCTTAACAGCGCCTGGGTCCGTTCACCAACTGTGCTAATGTGAGTGGCGGTGTGGTAAAACCCATTTTAACAGCGTGAATATTTCTCAAATATAAGCGCGCTAGCTGCTAGCATACTTGTATCATTTAATTTCTAATCAAATTTATTCGGATATATATTTATTGATTATGTATTGAATTGGTGATAAATAATAAAAAAATTATCTTTTCTCAGTTCATTGTCATTCTCTCAGCTCTCATTCTCTCAGCTCCCCCGTTTGCCGTTGGGAGTACATGATTCAGATTAGATATAGAAAATTCAAGTCAAATAATAAGTAAGCTGTGGGATGTACTATATAAGGAAGCGTCTTCGATTTGAAATCCTTAGAACAACAGTGATTTCTTTCCTGGGAGACAGATAAGAAGTGTGAGAAAGAACTTTGTTGATATAGAGTCTAGATTTGAACTTGGAGCCACTAGGCCAAGGGTGAATTTCAAATGTTTCTAGCAATATTTTAGACGGGGAATATACTGAATTTTTGCATGTTTGATTTTATATAGGGTCATTGTGATATTATGTTATACCATTTGAATACTTTTACTTTTTTCAAAAAGAAAAAGTAAATGTCATGAAGATGTAACGGGTAACCAGGTGAGACCGAGCAAATAGTCGTCACCAGTGCGTGGAGGGTCTACTTGTAGCTGTAGTCTACTGTCTACAGGTATGTCAACCCGCAGCGCACGACTATTAGCTCAGTCTCACCTATTAGCTCTGTCTCACCTAGTTACATCTTTATGACAGTAATTGAAAGTAACCAAAGACAATTTTGTTGTTATATTTGTCTGACAACATACGTCTTCGAATTCGACAACATCGCTTGCCTAATCTCAATTATCGAATCTGATCTCTAAAGCTCTGATCTGCATTTGCATTGTGTGGCTGACAAAATAGTCACTGTTAGGATGTACTTTCAATGATCAGGAAGCAAATAAACAAGTGATTAGTAAATGATCTTCAACATAACATAACATTATAACAAGTAGATAATGAATACAAAAACGAATACAAATGTTGCAACATTACCATTTGGCGGTTTTTTTGTGCTCTCTACAGCTTTTTTGGCCCCCTCTGGAACTTTTTGTATACAGAAATATTTTTTTGTGTCAACTGATCCATCAAATACTTATAATCTGATGGTGCCTCCCTTGCACAGCAGGGTCTGAGCTGTGGGGCCTCTGTTACACCACTGGCTCCTAGTAGTTTGACTTGCTACAATAGAGAGAGGTATGGATTAATATCCTTAGTTCATAATATTAATCCTCATTCCTCAACCATAACAAGCATAAAGAGTACCTAATATCACTGCAGAGGGAATAACAGAGTATCTGACTGGAAAATGTAGAAATCAATGAATATCTAGAAAATAACCCTTTTTAGCTAAATGTCCTAAACTTAGAATTTGTATTGTAATTTCGATCAAAGCAGTAGAATTTATAATGCAGATGGGGGCTTCTCTGGGATCTAACACATCCTGAAGCAGCTCAACACTGTCCCAACACACTGGTTTTAGGATGTCTACCCCGGCCCCACGCCGGAACCTGCATGGTCAATAAAGCAGTCAAGCCACATGTTATGTTGAGCACTCTCAATCAACAAATGTGGGAACTCCCACGATGAAAGACATAAAATTGATCAAGAAAATTAACAGATATAAATAAACAGACATGAATTTGTATAAACAATTTTATTAAGAGTATGTTATTGTCCACTTGAAGGGGACGGTTAATAATTAGTTTAATTATTTGCTATTTTAGATTTAATAATTATGTCAAAATTCTATGATATTATGGTTACTAACTAAAAGTTCATATTTTAAAATTCAGATTAGCAATGGTTGCTGAAATTGATGACTCTGACGTGCCTTATGAGGAAGAAGTGTTGAGGAATTCCTACAATGTCAAATCCTGGATGCGGTATATTGAACACAAAGCAAGTGGCCCCAAGATCCCCTTGTACATGGTGTACGAGAGAGCTTTGAAGGAACTTCCCTGTAGCTACAAGATATGGTACAAGTATCTGTGTCTAAGAAGGAGGGGCACCAGGGGTAGATGCATTGATGATCCAGAAATGAACAGAGTTACCAACTGTTATGAGAGAGCTCTTGTCTTCCTTCACAAGGTTTTTACTTGATGTACAATTTTCGATATTCAGATGAAACATGGTTCTACTATACATTCAATGGCCAGTACAATTGATAAGACTTATTATCTAATACTGTCTAAAACATTTTATTTTTCAGATGCCCAGAATATGGATAGACTACTGTCAATTCACAGTTGATTTGAACTACATTACCAAAGCAAGACACACACTTGACCGAGCCCTGCGCTCTCTTCCGATCACCCAACACTGTCGGATTTGGCCCATATACCTGAACTTTATTAAAAAGCACACCATTAAGGAGCAAGCACTCAGACTTTACAGACGGTACTTACAACTTGCTCCCGATGATGCTGAGGTTTGAGAAGCTTTCATGTTATGTTGTATTTACAGCATATTTTATGCTGTGGGGTTATGTGTCGAATTTGGGTACAATTCATTTGATGTCCAAGTAATAAGAGCAAATTTGGTATCCCGATATTTATTTCAAACTATATAGTAATTTTATTCTTTTTTCACTGCCTATGTGAATTTATCTGCTCTCAGATATTGATTGATTTTCTGTTGTCTGTGGAGCACCTTGACGAAGCAGCAGTTCTCTTAACCAAGTGTCTGAACAACGAAGATTTCCAGTCGAAGAAAGGTTTTCTTCAAGTTTTAATATTCTAATTTTGATATTTTGTACATTTTTTCTTTTTCAAAAGTTTTTAAATTCGAAACCATTATTTAGCTTTTTATTATATTGAGTTGTTGTTGGTTAGCATTTAATTAGTGAGTGACATTACGATAAGCTAAATTATTGATAATACACAGGTCAGTCTAAGCATCAGATGTGGGTACAGTTGTGTCAGCTGTTGAGTGAGAATCCCAACAAGATCACGAGTATCAAAGTGGAGCCTATCATTAGACAAGGACTTCAGCGATTCACTGACATGACAGGTGAGTAGTTGAGTTTTATTAGTTTCAACTTTTCAGATTAAAATATCATTTTCTGGTTCACTTTCAATTTTTGTTTCATTTTAAGTACCAACTTCAGTTTCAGATTCATGTTACTTCAAGTCAATCTTATCTCGTTAGACGTTCCTTAATCCATTCCATTCTCGATCTCCACATAATGTTGACTATACAACATCCAGGTAAACTGTGGATATCACTGGCAGACTACTACATCAGAAAACACCAGTTTGACAAAGCACGTGATATTTACGAAGAGGCTGTGAAAACTGTGATGACCGTCAGAGATTTTGGCCAGGTTTGTTTTGCTCCTTCATAAAGATATTTGTTAAATGTTAACTTGCACTTCTTCAAGATGATCTGCTCCGAGCAACCATGTCCCTCTCATCATTTGTTATGGAGTCTCATTTTGTTGATGCACTCTAAATCAAATTTACAAGTTCCGTTTAGCAAACAAAGCATCTACGCTCAAGCATCATTGTCTCTCTTTGCTAGGTGTTTGACGTGTATGCGGAATTTGAAGAACAACTGATAACACTGAAGATAGAAAACAGGAATAAGAACGGCAAAACACCTGATAATGAATTAGATCTGCAGCTCAGACTCAGGCGATTCGAAAAGTTAGTTACTCTTGAAAGTTGTACTAGCCCTTTACGATTTTTCGTTCTTAGTCTTCATTAGATTTAATGTGATATTGTCTTCTGTGTGTTTAGGAATATTGTGAAAATTATCTTTGGGAGTTCGTGATATTTATGAACAGATGAATGCGGGATATGTAATTATGAAATACTCAATATTATCGTTATCCGCACTATTATCCGTACTACTATCCGTAGGTACTGTTATCTGCACTAATATCCGTACTATTAATTATTATCCGTACTGTTATCTGCACTAATATCCGTACTATTAATTATTATCCGTACTGTTATCTGCACTAATATCCGTACTTCTAACCAGGTTGATGCAGAGAAGACCACTCCTTCTCAACTCTGTTCTCCTCCGTCAGAACCCTCACAATGTAGATGAGTGGCTAAAACGTGTCTCTCTGTTTGAAGGTTGGCAGATCAGTAATGTGCATTAGTTTATTCACTGTACTTTCTTACTTTACATTACTTTAAGGACATGATCATTGATCAATACTTTAACATGATCAATACTTAGTGTTTCACCCCCGAGTTTGAAAGCAGAAAACAAGACTACTAATCGATCACTCCTTTGAAAAAGCAAATTGATTAATTAATTAATTAATTAATTGCTCGTTACCCAGGGAAGCCGCGTGAGATAGTTAACACCTACACAGAAGCGATAAAGACAATAGACCCGAAGCTCGCTACAGGCAAACTCAGCTCCCTTTGGATTGAGTTCGCCAAATTCTACGAGGACAACAAACAGCTGAAAGAAACTCGCGTTATATTCGACAAAGCGGTCCTCGTCCCATTTGTCAAGGTGGACGAGTTGGCGGACGTGTGGTCTCACTACATTGAGATGGAGCTGCGCCACGAGTGCTACGACGAAGCGCTGAAGCACGTGCGCACCGCGACCACGCCTCCTCCCCACAAACCAAGCTACTTCGACCGCACGGAATCAGTGCAGAACCGCGTCTACCGGAGCCTCAAACTGTGGTCAATGTACGCAGATCTGGAGGAGTCACTTGGAGACTTCACTACCACTAAAAACGTGTACTACAGAATCCTAGATTTGAGAATCGCCTCCCCACAGGTCATCCTCAACTTCGCGGGACTTCTCGAAGAGAAGAACTATTTCGAGGAGTCCTTCAAGATCTACGAACGGGGGATAGGCATGTTCAAATGGCCACTTGTCTACGATTTATGGACTACGTATCTGACTAAGTTCGTGACACGTTACGGAGGAGACAAGCTGGAGAGAGCACGTGACCTGTTTGAGCAGTCTCTGGACCAGTGTCCTGAGAAGTTTGCTAAGTCTATATTTCTGTTGTATGCTAAGTTGGAGGAGGACTTCGGGTTAAAGAGACACGCCATGGCGGTGTACAACAGGGCCACGCAAGCTGTGCTCAAGGTTGGTTACTATCTGTCATTTTAACAGGTGTTGTAATGTCACAACAAAGTAATCGCTTTATTGTTCTTCGTGCTGATTAATGATGTATAACTTCCTAATTCAGAACTTTTCTTAAGAATCCCATGGCTAATGACTAGATAATTGTGATTTTATTGATTATCAAAGCAACAAAGTGAAAAGTAAAACAATACTAAATCACCAATAATCAGGAGGAGCAAGCGGAAATGTTCCAGATCTACATAACCAGAGCAACAGCCTGTTTCGGAGTGACCCACACTCGTCAGATATACGAGCAAGCGTTGGAGACACTACCCGACACTGACGCTCGTGTCTTCGGACAGCGCTTTGCGGAACTGGAGACAAAACTTGGAGAGATTGACCGGGCGCGCAGCATCTACATTCACACTTCACAATTCGCAGATCCTAGACAGTGCAGTGAATTCTGGAGGGTAAGTTAACAACTTTAAAAGTGTTAAAACATGTTGTTATTGTTGATGGTGTGTGTAGTTATTGTTGTTATTGTACTTTGTGAGTGCGGATACCACCCTGATATCTCTACTAGTATGAGGTTTACTTTACACTCAAATTGTGCAATTATAAAGTAGGTAATTGACTTATGTTTAAGTAAGTTAAATCTAACCCCTGCTCCAACAGCTATGGCAGACATTTGAAGTAGCGCACGGCAACGAGGACACATTCGGGAGATGCTGCGTATCAAGCGGAGCGTGCGTGACAAGTACAGCACCCAGAGCAGCTTCAACCTGCCACCTGATGCTGACACTACAACTGCGGCGGCGGCTGATCCCATGGCACAGTTACAGAAGGACGTACAGTTCGTCAGAGGTAATGTTTTATGTTTCAAATATTTAGGGTTGGTCACAGTTTTAGTGTTTTGAAGTTAGTTTTTAGAGAATGTGAGTTTTAGTGGGACTGTCACATAATATTTTAAGATTATTGTGATAGATATTATACTACCTAAACAACTATAAATTTAAAATCATAACTTTCCTTGAATTAATCAATTGTACTGATAAGCTTTCTAATATCTCTTTCATTTCAGGAAATGAACAGACCCAGGCAAGCACTGTACAGAACCCAGATGAGATAGCTCTTGATGACGATGACGAAGACGAAGACGATGAAGATGAAGATGATGAACAAGAAGAGGAAGAAGCAGGAGAAGAAGAAGGAGAAGATGGTATAGTGAAACAGTGTGTACCTGATGAAGTTTTTGGGAAACTTGCAGAGCAAGTCAACCAAGACGAGGACGAACTGCAGTGAAAGTGGAAGTGAAAGTGGAAGTGAAAGTGAAAGTTAAAATTTATAAGCCCATCAATATTTGACTGCCCTTTTAAGCTTTAAATTATTGCAGCAAGACGTTTTATTTTAAATTTTAAAACACAAATTTTTTAACTTTTTATCAAAACTTCATAGTTTCAATTATAAATTGACCTTGGTATTGAAAGATGTGTAACCATATATTCAGTATATTCCGCTTCTAATTCGAAGTTTGTTTGTGCTTTATTGTGCATAAAGGCTATATTTAATCATCGCATTATCTTTTATTTTAATGGTCGGAATTAAACCTTAAAACTTATGAGTCAGGGAGTGTGCATTTTCAGCCGAAGCTGTTTTAGTATATTAGTGTAATCATATATTATATGTATAAATACTAATTTAAGTATATTTTGAATTACCGAATTAGTGTAGTTTTGGATAATAAACCTTCAATTCATTTAGGTCTCTGATCAGTATGAGTTTATGTCTATATCGGACAAAGACTCTCTCAAAATGGCAAGTTTTAGAACTAATTCTTTATTTGCTAAATGAAGTTAAGTATCTAGCAATTCTAAGTTTATCCAAATATTTCGGTTTGTGACATTTTGACGGCGGTTTGTGACATTTTGACGGCGAATATGCAAAGTTTAAGTAATTTCCCGAATCCCGGCCTTAGTATTCCAAAAAGTGGGTAGTACTGTAATAGAAATCACTGCACCCAACATTTTGAAGTCAAGCAAAGTACGATTTAAAAATAAGTTAATTAAATACTATACTGATAAACCAATGAGTTATCTCTCTGCAGTTTAACACCAGTGATACAGCAAGTTGCTCATTACAATGACAAGTACGTCGCCAGAAAGAAAAGGTGGCCTGAACACGTTAACAATATGAGAAAAACAAAGGTCCTCAGGAAGATTCTTAATGAAGTAGAGGTAACTTTCAAATTCACTCTCACTTTCACTTTCACTTTCACTTTCGCTAACTAAACTGGCTAAACTCACAAATTTACTCTCACATTATGCTGGCAAACAAAGCCCCCTTTTCGGAAGGCTTGTAACTAAATACATAATAGACTGTCGACGACTCGACTATCATGATATTGAAACTTGTAGCAAATCTTCTCTGAGAATTTCCAGCCAATCGTTTAGTGTGGATCAAACAACTATTACACAATAATCTATTATTGATTTTGTAATTTTTGTTACAAGTCACTAATTTTAAAGTAAATTTGTTTTGACAGCCGACCCCACACGACACGATGCTGGAGGAAGCGTTGAGATTCAGCGAAGGGGAGTTTAGAGCCCAACTATTACATCTTAGAGGTGTTTATTTTATTTTATAACCATTACTATTAGCATATTTAGTGGGTTGTACTTTTTTAATTTCCTATATTGTCAAATTAACTGTCAGTTTGCAATGTTTGCTATTGTTATCATGATACACTGCAATTTCTAAAACTAACTACATTATTTTTAGCTTTCAAAATCTAGATTTCAATGATGTACAGTTTAAAAAAATCAGATCACAGAATATGACTCTTTCTAAGTATTTCTCTCGTTATTAAACAGATTTATTTTCTTTTAGAGGAGTGGGGTAAGATGTACAATGTCCGGGAAGAAACAGCACGTGCAACAAGTGCTGCGCAGCACAAGGAACTGGAAAAAGAGCGATGGACCTTTGTGAAGCAGTTAAACGCGAAACAAGCTAAAAAGAGGCGCAAGAATAACAACAAAATACCTATGATACATTCTGAAATGGAACGGTTCGTTTTTAATTTGTAAATTCAAAATTAGAGGTTTTATTGACGACACTAACTGAGCTTGTTACAATTTGCAGAAATTGTACACAAAACATCAATGCGCGTTTCGTTGCTTTAAATGATTTGTTGTGATAAGCTGACATTAACGCTCATACTATACTACCGTAAAATATCGATCAGGGAATATTTAGAACTTTGTTATTATCGACGAATAAAACTGCGTACGGTTTTAAGTGGTACTATATAATGACGAATAAGGATATTGTACTGATGTTAAAAGTTGAAACTAGTGAGCTTATGAAAAATGTCTAGGACATTGTTCGTTTTCCTAAATCTAAGCGATGATGGGCGTTATTAAATTATTATACTTTTTAAATTTGTTAAAAATTAGAAAAGTTTATTCACCCAATGACTCCGCAATTCATTTTTTAGAAAAAACAAAATGAAATAAAAATCATGAGGAGTACACAAACACACGCTAAATATTATATCAATCATGTAATTGGTAGTTATGTATTTATTCGGTATGCCATAAGGATCGGAATCTGTCAAGCAAAATTGTGATAAAATGATCACAGGCACATTTTATATTATATAGAAACATATTATCATGATGGTCAAATTATGAAGGAAAAATATTTATTCAGACAGTTAATTTTAAAAATATAACTTGAAACATCTTCTTTCATATCAAGGCGATATTGTCTTTTTCGTAAAATAATTCACAAAATAGAGATGAATTCCGATATCAATCGAACGAATTTCAATTATTTCAATCATCTTAATCATTAATCAATAACCTTTTTTTCTTTTTTTATGATCATCAATCTTCTTAATCATTGAACATCTTAATCAATAATATTTTTTTCTTTTTTACATTTTTTAAAAAGGCGTGACTTCACGTCACGCCTGTGACGTGAAGCAAAATTAATTATTTTAACAAACCATCTTAATCATAGCAAATTTAATTATCGGCCTAAATCAGAGTTTTAAAACAAAAATAATCACTTAATGTGGAAAGAGGGTCCAGAAATCAAATTGTCCAACCGTTCCTTATGTCATAAATGATCAACCATGTATAAGGTAGTTATGATCAGATCTCTAATTGTATATCATATATTATTCTTTGAGCAAAATAACAAACTTTGCCGAGTATGTAGGTAGTCCTGATCAAATCTCTGCATATCCTCGTCTTCTTTGAGCCAGATAACGAACTTTTCCATAGATGGTGAGTGGCAGAAGGAGGACTTTTGTTATGTAGTTTCTGTACCGTGCTCTCAGTTCCGGTTTACGAAGGATCAGGATGGTTGGGAACACTGCTGCGTTTATCAAGGGAAGGGTGAATTCTAACAATACGAGGAGGGGTGCTGGGAGGATGTTATACACCCAGATATCAACAATCACAAATACACACCGATATAACAATCGCTATCTGCAGATAGCGATTGTATTCACCCCAGTCATGACCGTCTATAACTATGGAGGTATTAGGAGGCGAGTTTGTGGTACTCATATTGTTTGTCCAGATCATTGTTCTGCGGGGTAACTTTACGAGGTTTTGGAGGGAATAGAACGAACTAACTATACGATCCAGAAATGAACTGCGAAAAATATTAGGAAACTTGCTCTTTTATATAAAAGTATCTCTAAGGAAGATAATGCAGCTTGAGAATCTCACTTATAGTAGCTACAGTGACATTTGGATTGTAGTGACTTTATTTCCTATTATTCATCTATACCAATATTTGTATCCTAAAAACATAATCTTTTGTATCAAATTTCGTATTAGGAAGATAATTGATAATGCACCATGGAAATTTCACGTATAGTAGCTACAGTGAGTTCTGGCATCTGGATTGTCATGACTTTATTTCCTATTAGCAATTAGCATTATTTATTTCCTATTTATTCTAATACAAGAACGTTGAGACAAAGATGGGTAAGAAAATGTTATTCGATCACCAATTTACAAAAAAAATATACCAATTTTAGGTCTTTGCTGTTTTTCCAAGGTCCAATGTTAGCATCTACGCCGCTACAACATCTTGATCGCGAAAGATGTATCGCCTTCATCGTTTCACAAATCATAATTTACATGAACAGTAAAATCGCTATTATTTACTTAGGTACCAGACAGAAGGCAACCCAAACGAATGGATGAGCTCGAATAATTTACTTAACAATATTCCGGGACTGCCAAACGCTCACTGCTCAGTCATTACAACAGAAATCAATAATCTAGAATTGTTTTAAGCGTTCACCCTGACAAACTAATAAGCTGAGTCGTGCGACTTACGACTTCTTCACATATATTATATTGTTTTACAATCACAGTGCTGACAAGCTCGACCATCAGCCTGTATAGTGTATACCCCTTTTACAATTTGTATCCATTTGTATTCATTGAATATTCAATAATAGCAAGTCAAAACAAATTAAATTATGATATCAGCTGATAAAATCGTGGCTGATTATTTAACAATTAATCGACACTGAATGGTAAAAAGTGAATACATAGTTGAGAACAGATGTTACTTTACATTTACATTCAAGAAGCAACTAATAGTAATATCAAGATTGCGGTATGCTTTTAAAGAATCCTATATCAAATAAAAGGCTCGATAGTCGATGGTGCTGTAGATGTGTCGAGTAAGCATCAAATGTGTTAGTTTATGTTAGATACAAATAATAACTAAGACGAGACAGAATATTTTATTACAGTCAATAAAGTTGGCATACGATGCAATAATATGACGTGACATGATACGCATCGTTAACACGAAACGAAACCGCGCAAAGTATGAAATGATCTACAACCAAACCACATACAGAGCCATCGCTGTAGCGAGCAATCTCGGAAAGCTCTTTGCAAGCATATTGCTGAAAAGATTGATATCATTCCGTGATCAATGTGATCCTGATACAGCCAACCAACTAGGTTTCTGTAAAGACGCACAGACAGCAGACCACATTTTCACACTTTCAACCTGCGTGGAAAAGTATGTCACCAAGAAACGCCAAAGGCTATACACATGCTTTGTCGATTATGCCAAAGCGTTTGATTCCATCTGTCGTGAGGCACTCCTATACAAGTTGTGGAAAATGGGTATTCAAGGGAGATTCTTTGAGTGCATTAAGTTCATGTACTCAAACTCCTCAGCCAAAGTGAAGCTACTAGACAAGCTGTCACAGAAGATCGACATATTATGTGGTACCGAGCAAGGACACCCCATGTCCCCTGAACTGTTTAAATGCTTTGTCCACCAGCTTTCACATGATCTCAACAACATCGAAGGAGTGAAAGTCCCTGTCCTAAATGATACAGATATAACTCATCTGCTATGGGCAGACGACCTTGTCCTTCTAGCCCTCAACAAACACAGTCTTCAACAAATGCTTGATGTCCTAAACAATTACTGCTCAGAATGGGGCCTGACAGTAAACATTGGAAAAACTTCAGTCCTTGTGTTTAACCCAACAGGAAGGCATCTGAAGGAAAGTCATGAGTTCAAACTGGGAGAACAACAGATCCCCTCCGGGAGAGAGTACTGTTACCTTGGCATTACATTTACTCTGAGCGGATCACTTAAGCTAACACAACAAAAGCTGAGGCAAAAAGCATTAAGAAGTTATTTCTCTTTGAAAAGCTACATTGATACCCGCCACATCAGGAAATCTATACTGTTCAAGCTATATGATACACTTATTGTACCTGTGGTGTCGTATGGTTGCCAAGTGTGGCTGCCAAGCACAGCTCTGTTCCGCAACTTCCCCACAAACACGAGCACCACACCAGAAACAGGAAACGTGTGTACACTCATAGCCAGGGACCCTCTAGAGAACTTTCATCTGTCTCTTTTGAAATGGACCTTAGGGGTGAGGAAGTCAACATCCAATGCTGCGATATGGGGTGACACAGGCAGGCATCCACTAGGCATCACGCTATCAAAGCAAGTGTTTAACTACAAAGAAAGACTTGAACAAATGGTTGTAGACGGTCGTGACTGCTTTGCTAGACACGCTTTCGAAGAGCAGGCGACCCTAAACCTGAGCTGGTTCTCCACTCTCGAGCAGATGCAAGAAACCATCGAGGCATCAGAGAGAAACCAAGGATTAAGACCAAGCCAGATTAGAAAGAGTTTGCAAAAGTGGTTTATAAACTCATGGGAAACAGAAAGGACATCTAACAGAAAACTATCATTCTACAACTTAGTGAAGAGAAAGTTTGCTCAAGAGACGTATCTAGCCCTTGATCTTAAACCTAACTGCTCAAAGAAGATCGCGCAATTCAGAAGCAGCTCCCACCGCTTTAACGTTGAAACTGGTCGCTACGGCAAAAAGCGGTTTAACATAAAACATCGGGCCTGCAGACATTGCTGCTCAAATGACGATGACTTGTTAGATCTTCTTTATGAGCTACCAGGGGCCTATCCAGTGATAGAAGATGAGCATCACATCCTCTACGAATGCCCCCTATACGAAGACCTACGCAAAAACCTGCATCAACGAACGAGGGACCTGTTAGTAATGAGAGAAGAACCGGGAGAAATCTTCGACGACTCAACAACTATTAGAGACATTGGACGGTTTTTAAATAAGGTCGATGAACGGAGGTTCCCGAAGAAAAATACTGAATGAATGTCGTGTTTTGTATATTTTGATAAGTGTGTGGACATTGTATGATACTTTCTTTGTCATTGTTGAGTGCTCTTGGCTGAGTTTTTTCTGCATACGACTGTGCTATCTGTGCTTTATTCTTTTACATGGCTATCTACTTTTACCACCTTGTTTGGTTATTTGTTACTTTGGGGTAGTTTTGAATATTAAACCTTCTATTCCTATATTGGTCAGACACGGCATCTGCCGTTTGACCCAATTTTGTTTAATTCCTGGGCAATTCCACCGTGACGGACACCACGATTTTGTTGTTTTTTAAAGTTCAAACGAATGTTGTACTCGAGATGTTGTTTATTTATCAGCTCCAACTGTTTATTAGTCCACATTTAACCTTTCTACAGGTTGTGTGAAAATTTCAGACCCCTACCATTATTACTTTCTGAGATAGCACCCCTGTGACGGACGTGACGTAAATATGACACTTTTTTTGGGTGTCTACTCAGATGGTACCCAAATTTATCTCAAAAAGTTATCTATTGTATCTAATTTGGAATTACAATGATAGAAGAAGGTTTAGGGATTTCTGAGATGCCATTTTCTTAGAGATTGCTCAATTTTTGTTTGCGTGGCGCCATTTTCAAATTGTGACAGACGTGACTGTGACGGACACACGTTTTTTTTCAATTTTTCCAAATCTTCCACTTGACACTTTTATCTTGTTCAGTGACATCTACTCTGTATTCATGCCAATTTTTAGGCCTCAAATACCCCCAAGAGGTCTGCAACAGCCAAAATCGTCCATTTTGGGCATACGCTAGGGTATCAGTCTAGGGGCATCAATTATTTCTCTACTTGAACAAATTTATAACTCTGGTAAAACATTCATCACTGTTCAACGCATCATACTGTTGAGACCATCTCCTAAAAGTTTCATTACTTTAGTGTTTAAAATGTGGAAGATATTGAATTTTTACTTCAAAAATATGCGAAAATAGGGTTAAGTCCATTTTTTGTGCCTTTTACCTCTGAAAAAGTTGTAAGCAAATAAAATGGCAAAAAATCAGTAAATTAAATTATTGAATTACATATGATGTTATTTGATAGTCTAGTCAACATAGTCAACACAATCCAACCTTATTTGACTTCTATTTGTCTTGGTTTTAGTCAAAATAATGGAAATATGGATAAAAATGGCTAAAAGTGAGCCGTATGCCCATATATGGGCATATACAAAATTATACATAACTCGGTCATTTTCTGTCCAATTTTTGATTTGACGACATAGTTTTGTTGAGGACGGCCTCAGCTTTAAGAAAAATGCCTTTAAAGTCTGTTTAAAGATTTTTTGGAGCATTTTCAAAAAAATGTGACGGACGCGACAAGTTGGGACCCCCCTTACAAAATTTTTTTCTTAAAAGATACAAGCCTGATAATTTCTACGGTTCTCCCTTACCTTCAGAAGAGATAGGTTAAAGTGGTTTTTTGAATATAAATAGCACTATGTGGCTCTGAAAAAACTTTTTTGCTTAATTTTGTGACGGACGTGACACCATCTTTGTGGAAATTTTTTAGAAAAAGTATTTGAGTAACGGTTTTGAAACTTTGCATAGCTCTCATTCTTATGCATATGCCTAAGTGTATGGAATTTCATAGAGAAATATTGCTGCATACCCAAACTATGGCCCTTTGAAAATTTGAACGATTTTTTTCATTTCCGAGTAGTGTTCCTTTGAATGAGAAAAATCAAAAGTTAACGCAATATGAAACAAAAAACTTTTGTTGACTTGTAAGGTTAAGAGTCTAATGAACATATTTTAACCAAAATTAGGTGCCTATCTTAACATTTTTCATTTTCACCAAGTGGAACCTTACCGTGGAATTGCCCTCCTGTTTAATTCCTGTTTAATTCCTGTTTACAGATCGACGGCGACACCTCAGATGCGCGCAGAATTTTTCAAGTTCTGCACGCCTAATATAATGTAAACAATTATCACGTGCGTCAAACACCACTCTGGGATACAATAAAGTAGAACAATTACATTGTAGAATGTAGGCAGTAGGGAAATTTGATCGTGCATGGTGTTACCGCGGCGAAAATCTTGTACTTACTTTATAATATAAGGAAATTGAAAAATGAAGAAGTATAATTATTATCTCCAGGCTCTCGATAGAAGAAGACTACAGAAGATCCCAGCTCACTTCCCCAAATGTAGAGGTTGATAGTTTCCTTCAACAACAAAGCGACCAGTCTATTCTTACTCCTGATAATTTTGATTCCATTCTCGATCAGTAAGTTGATCGTGAAAGCGAAAGTGAAAGTGAAAGTTGTAGCTTCAAATTGAAAATTAAAGTGATTCAATCGTTTCTTATAGTATTACTTCGATGATCATCAGTCAAGTCTCATTTAGTGCTATGTGCCGGATTCAATTATAAATATCATTCATTTGTCCCCGATTAAATTCCAGTAATCTAGTAAAGCGCTAAAATTTCTTTAGCGGATAAATTAATATGCTAATTAAGATTAATCACTTGATTAATTAATTATTGTATCCGCAGAGTATTGTCCGAATCTAAAGTTGACACAGCATTCAGATTGAATGTGAAGAAGAAAACAACACGTCTTGCTCCGTTTGTCACCCACAATATCGAATTCCTGCTTGACAACGTCCCTGCAAATAGATAGCACGGAAATTAACGTTGAAAATTAAAACGTCTGAGAATTTTTATAAAATCACTTTCCCATTGATGTAAGGGACTTTTCTTACTTCAATAGTTTGATTCCGAGGAAACTATAAACTTTTCGTTTGGCCCTATTTTCGGAACTTTTTTTCAAGTTTTCTTATTAAGGTTTTGTTGGCGTATTGAAAAGGTTGTATTAAACATACTATCCCGAATACAATGCCATTATCAATCACAGTTATTATTAATTTATTAATCGTTTCGTACATGATTTCATATTGTGTTCAGTTGGTACAGGTCATAATATTACATCAAAGAATTCGAATCGGTGCAAAGTGTCCAGCCAGTCAACTTACTTGCAAAGTATCCAGCCAGTCAACTTAATTGCAAAGTGTCCAGCCAGTCAACTTAATTGCAAATTGTCCGGCCAGTCAACTTAATTGCAAAGTGTCCAGCCAGTCAACTTAATTGCAAAGTGTCCAGCCAGTCAACTTAATTGCAAAGTGTCCAGCCAGTCAACTTAATTGCAACGTGTCCAGCCAGTCAACTTAATTGCAAAGTGTCCAGCCAGTCAACTTAATTGCAACGTGTCCAGCCAGTCAACTTAATTGCAAAGTGTCCAGCCAGTCAACTTAATTGCAAAGTTTCCAGCCAGTCAACTTAATTGCAAAGTGTCCAGCCAGTCAACTTAATTGCAGAGTGTCCAGACTCCAGCCAGTCAACTTAATTGCAAAGTGTCTAGCCAGTCAACTTAATTACTTCCCTTATTGCTATCTGATAATCAAATATATTCGAAAACATTTGAAAGCAATAGTTAGGAAAACTGAAATAAATAGTGTATACTGATTATTGAAGCTATAATTTAGGAAAAAAGGTCTGTTTTTCAACAAACAATTTTGCGCAAAATGTGCGCACATTTATCACTTTTTCTACTGTTAATGTAACCTAATATATTGAATTCCCCCACCAGAATAGGAGGATAGGTATGTGGAAATCTATGATCAGCAGTCCCAGAGCCTCAACGTTAGTCTCCGCTATCAGACTACGTTCCCTCCAACGGACCCTCTCAGTAGTAGCTAGTGAAGAAGTGGAGACTCAAATTGTGGCAAATGAGGCAGTGGAGATAACAGAAGTGGAGTCTGAGATTGCAGAGGACACCATGTCACGTGTCAAGATGGGCATTCCTTTTTGGGTTACTAAAACATTGATTGGGGTGGGGGGTGCGAATATAAAGCAGATGAGTAGCGAGTTTAATTCCCTTATCAAGGTCTCAAAATATGGAAATAACTTCCCCGGTACCAGTGAGGCAGTGGTTTTGATTGAAGGTGAGCGAGATGACGTTATTGCAGCTGTCAACAAGACTGTTGATTTTGTCCGCTCCACAGAAATTCCAGAGGGGATAAAAGATCGAGAAAGAGCTGAAAGGAGGCAAAAATATTCTCGTTTGATAATCCCTTCGTCTTTGTCTGGTAAATTCATCGGGAAAGGAGGAGCAGTAGCAACGAAAATACGGGAACAATTTGAGCTAGAAACCTTCAGTGTTCAAGGTAGGGAATATATTCCAGAAGGGTTTGAAGAGAGGTCAATAATTATTTCAGGGGAGGAAGAAAACGTCAAAGAGGCCATGGCCCATGTGATGGAGGAGTTGCGATCTCAATCTGGACGCGCTCAGTTAGATGAAAACTTAAACTATTAGCGATATAATCCTAATTCATAGACCGAGTTGAGATTTTAATGTTGAACTGTTCCTGTTTCCATGCAATTTCTCAGCAGTTTCGGACATCACGAGAACAAAAATACTTTCCTGTACTCTCTCGTTCAGCTGAATTTGATTTGAACTTAATTTTTAGTTGAAACGGAATGTATCACAGTGATTTCTGGGAGTTATGATCGGAATCTGTATAAATAGCTCGTGTAATTTCATTTGGGATATTGTGGTATTCAAAGTTTGGTGTGTCCTGCTCAATCAGAATGGATATTATCAGCTGTACAATGACCCTTAAAAATGAAGCTTTAAAAATGAACCTTATTAAGGTTCATCATGATCTGTCATCTGCTATAATTTATTAATTTATTAATTCATTTTTCATAGCAACATGTTTTTTACTACGGTTTTATACTTCATAATTATCTGCTAAATTTACAGAACTTTCTCTTAAATTAAAAAAACTATGTGGGTTCAAATTTAACTAATTGTTTAATCATTAACTTCTTTTGAAAAATGGTTAATTATGCTGATGGTCTGGGCTGGACAGCATATTTTGAACCACAACTAAATTGTTTTTTTCAGTTTAAAGACATCCTTGAATAATGTTTGCTACGAACAATTAATGTTATATTATGTTAATTTCTATATATTACTAAAGTTAACAATTCAGGAAATGCGGTTCCAGAATGGCATCAATAGAGGACGATATAGTGATCTCGTGTATCCGGACAGTGGTGGTAAAAACATGCAGTACTGCTGCTACACTGACAAAGTTCACAGGTGAACGTCTACTTGACCTGGTTGGACTCGTGTTTAATCTAGCTGCTATTTGCACCATCGTCAGGGCTTACCCCACTGTAAAGTTGATCTGGCGGTATAGAGATGATAAAGCGTGGAGGTTCTGGGTGTGGCGGGGTGGGGGGTTACTGCAACTTGCTATCTTTATCTCTGACATTCCTTTTGCTGTCATGTTCATCCTTGAAACTGTTTTCTTCTGGAGATTAGCACTTCTGATACGCAAGAAAATAAAGAAGGATAGGAGTTGGTTTGAAAAGTATTGCTGGAAAGATTTTGGTTACATCGGATTCCAAATTCGTGCTGATATTTTCAAATCCTTTTTAGGCTTGACAACTGACATTCTTGTCATACCATTCGCAATAACTGTGTTCTCGTCGTGGCGATTTAAGCGTGCATACGATAAGTTAAAAAGTGAGGATAGGGATCTAAAACGTAAACTGATACTCCTGCAACAGTTTCTCTTGTTACTGCTCGACATTGCAGTCTTGATCATGTTTCTTATCCAGTGCCTGACATGGAGATTACCTGTTATGATCTTACACTGTAAAAAGATAGGCGAAGAATACAGTGCAACGTCCGATGCAACGACTATAGATGAGTTTGACAAGATCGACTGGGACTTTCGGCGACGGACATTCCATAATTTTTTGCGTCTCATCCTGGATATTTTAATGCTACCACTGGTCTTACTTCTCTTCTTTTCTTGGAGAGCTCCAATTCTTATTAAGAAATTTAAGAAGTTTGCAGAAAAATTGTCCGATAAAAGCAGCTCGATGTCGAGATGGGATGCCGAATCGCAGCTCAGAGGTGGAATACTAACACATTTCTGGAGGTACTGTATTGATCTGGCAACACTGGTCCCCATTCTTGTGGTGCTGTGCTCTTGGAGGTTTCCAATTCTAATCCTGAAGTTTCAGCGGTTCTTCAAGACAAAGATGAAGCGGCAAGATGAACTCAAACTTAGATATTCCATTTTCTTTCATGCTGGACAGGTTTTGATTGATCTTTTATCCATTCCACCAATGCTTATCACGATATTTTCATGGAGGTTAGTTGTCTTCGTTCAAATCTTCCCATTAGATTCGAATAAGACAGTAGCCCGAAAGTTCAAAAAAGTGAGATTGCAATTTTGGTGGGAATTCCTGTATTTTTTGTTGGACTTACCCGTTATCGTGGCCTTTTGTGGCACAACTTGTCTTAGTTGGTGCTTCCCTTGGAGACTCCTTAAAATATTCAAAGAATTTAAAGAATTCGGGGCAACATGGAAGTGGAAAACTACAGTACCAGAAGGACATGCGAATGATAATTCTAGCCTCGTTTGGTTTTACTCTTTGCGATCTTTTTACCGCCATATTTTGTGTAATAACAGTCGTAACAGGATGGAGACTTCCTTTCCTCATTAAATCAGTACAGAAAGAAAGAAACGAGCAGTCAAAAAGGAGAACCTCGTTCAGTTCGCACTTTGTTATTCACAAGGCTGTTTTTAAGCAGTTTGCGTTGCTCTTTGTCGACCTAGTAATGCTTGTGTTTCTGGCTATGATATTCGGGACCATTTGGAGAATACGACCAATGGTAAGAAAGATTCTCAAACACAGTAAATATGAGGATCCTAATAAGAAAAGTGATGATGATGATGATGATGACGATGCAGAAGATGATGAAGGTGAAGGCTTGGAAGCCAAATATACTGGTGAAACATCTGATGGTACCACAGGAACGAAGCAGCCATGAGGGCAGTGATGCCATTAAATCTCAAGAGGTTACGCAGGAAACCATCGAGTTGGGACAAGTAACGGAGTCCACTGCTATTGGAATGACTGAGGCTGATAGTGCAGCGAAACCTGAGGATAGCTCAAATATAGTGGATAAAAAGGATGAAGACCCAGTACCAAGCAATCCATCATTCTCTGACAAATTCTTCGGAGTCAGAGGCTGGAAAATCCGCAAAGCAATCTGCCTGAACATATTTGGTCTGCTGCTTGACATACCATCGTTTATAATGCTCATAATTAACTGTGCTTTTATGTACCAAATACCCTTCCTTCTACAAAGGTTTTTGGAGTGTGGTGATTTCTATCAAGAGTTTTTCTTCATCATGGTGGATGAAACCAATCATCTGCTCCAAGACATTGCCTTTTTCCTCCTGTTCCTTGTTCTCACAATCGTTCGTCCTATTTCCGTTTGGATCAACATTTTCGAAGACAACGATCACCTAAAAGCAAAGAAATCAAAAGAGTACCTAAAGAAACTTCGTCACATCATCAAGCAAAGAAAGAACATGCAGCTACGCATAGACTCTGCTTTGTCTGTTTTTGTGAAGTACAATCAGCTTTATGCTGCAAGTCCAGACTCTGTCACAAAGAGGTTCATTGACGAAGTGATGGTATACAATGACGAGATAAAGGACTCAAGAGACAAGATGCTTGACAGAGAACTAGATGATAAGCTTATCTACATTCTCGCCAACATTTACTTTTATGAGAGTAAAAAGCCATACTTATTCACACGACGATTTAAACTTGAAGAGATGTACTGCCTAAGACCTTGTGTAGCAGCAAGGGAATCAAATCTAAAGATGTGGACTGAGGAGATTAAGCTTGTTAATGATAAACTGGAAATATTTTATGAGCAAATTGTATCCTTTAAAATCAAGACGCCTCCTCTGTGGGGTGACAAAAACGGCTTCTTTTTGAGAACCAGAAAGCAAAACCAAAAAGTCATCATCCACACAATAACATCCGGCTACTTCGGGACTGTTGCCCTGTTTGTTCTGAACTCCATTTTCATATACAGGATCCCAATAATGATAAGGAACATGCTGAAGGTGTCCTACTGTCGATTCAGAGTCCGTGATGCTTGCCTGGAACAGACGAAGCAGTATCTCCTAGACTGGCTCGCAATGTTTAAAGTTCTAATCGTTGTTTTGTCATTATACCGCTGTCTTGCTCTTCTGAGTGACCTTGCTCACGATATTCTGAGCAAGAGAAGCCTCTCTGCTGCAAGAAAAACTGCTGATAAATACCCAGTAAATATACTGAAGGACCTGTTTAAACTGCTAAAACTGTTTTTCAAATGGGACACGGTCGTGTTCCTTTTTGCATCGATACTGTTTATCATCCTCATTCCACTCTCTGTTATCATCAATACCATTCGAGCAGCCAATGTAATACAGAGTATCGGAATAGTGTTCATTCTGTCTTTACCCTATTTACGGTGTAATCATGGCTGGACCGTTTGTTATCGTCCACAAAGTCTCTGATATCGTGCTGAGCAATGAAGGGATCAGCAATAACCACATCGCTATCTACATAGCAGGTTACCTTGGTATCGTGTCCCTCATTTTGGCAGCATTTGTGATGGCAAAGACCAAAGAGAAAGACGCCGTTAGCAGAAAGGTTAAGAGTATTGACTACATACGGTTCAATTGGTTCAACGCACAAGTTGTTTTCCTTGAAGTTCTAGAGCTTGTTCAGCTCCTTGCACTTGTCTTCTCCATTCGGAATCTCATCATGCCTTATGCTGAAGACATAAGAACAGTTGCACAATACATTCTACTTGATATCTACAGCTACAAGCTAAGATTCGGCTTCTCAGTTGCTTTGTTCATTATCTGGCTTGTTGTTTGCACTGTTCCTACTCTCCTGGAAGGAGTAACAAAGAAATTCAGCAAAGGACACTTCAGTGAAAGACATTTTGTGTGGCGCTCTTTTTTGAGCTTCTTTGGAATAACTCTGTTTGTCAGCCTACCCGAGATGAACATATCCCTTCTGGCATGTGATTACACTGAGTGCTCAAATTCCATTGTTTGTCCCTCACTTTTTGATGATCCCGATATAGCATGTTGGTCCGGAATACACCTCATCATAGCACCAATCAGCTTCTTTATGATGGTATGGTATCTGTTGACTTCACTGCTGTACTGTTTGCAGTACACTGATGTCGGCAACAAAAAGGTTGACTTGCAATTCTCTCCACCTTTCTCTGCGCTGGTCAATCTGTTCAAACTGGCCTTGATTATCGGTGTTGGCCTGTTCAGCGAGGAGAAGGTTGCAGTTCTTGGATTTGTAGTCGCTCTGATGGTTCTTCTCATTATTGCCTCGTTACTGTTTCCTCTTGTCACTGGAATGGAAGTCTGCAACACAAAAGCACTTCTCATTTGGAGAATCGAAACGTTTGTTGTTGTTGTTCTCGTTGCTTTGGGGATATTGGCTTTTGAAGTTATTGAGATGACAGAATCCTTTAAATCGTGGTCAGACGGAAAGTTCATATTTAACGAGACAACAAAATTTATTGATTTCGTCATTCCTCTGACAGTTCTGATATTGATTGTTATCAGTGTGATTATTTCTCTGATTCTCACCAAAATATTCAAAACAACTTCTAAAGAAGAGAAAGCAAGATCCCAATTTAAAGATATCATCAAAAAGATCGTGAAGCCTAAGATATCAGAGCACGAACCTGACTTCATCCCTCATTGGAGGAAAGTTCACAAGCCCTTCATGAGAATGCTCCAGGCTGTAAGAGTCGCCGATAAAAACGACAAAGACTTCACGTCTCCTGAGGCGGAGTACGTGCAGGTTGATGGGGTTCCTCCACCAAGTTATGACCCAGACATGATGTATCTCCCTCCCCCACCATCTTATGATAATGTTGTTGACAGCCCTGAACATGCCGTGAACTCTGTTTCTGGCCTTGAAGTTGAAATTGGTATCCCCAAACCGGGAGACGACGAGTTCTTCCTTCCTACTCCTGCAATGTATCTCAATCCTATTGGATCGTATGAGAAATATGATGCAACCTGCCTTCTCGACTCCATTACAACTAGAGATCCTAATCCAGGTGGTATTTTCAAAGCAGGTTGGGTACTGAATGAGACAGTTCCAGGAGGGAAAGAGAAGCAACTAACTGATTCACACTGCACCGGGATTGACTTGCTACTCCTACTAGAAGAACACATATATTACACCGCTTGCAGCTACGATTTTATTGTCTGCTTGCAAGGGTGGCGGGACGAGGTGAAGGAATCTAACTGGATTGGATTACGAGATTGTGCTCTGAAACTGCGTGACAATCTCACGGCCTCCTATCACAAACCCCGGGATATTGTCAAAGCTGAGGAATATGACATTCTCCCCCCTCACGTGGACCACTCTCATATTCCTGAGTATGTGGCTCTGTCTGATATCACGGCCCTGAAACTGGACCTACATCGTAGAGGAGTGGAGAAGCTAATGTCTATCTTGCCTGAACCTTGGGTTACAGTCTTCCGACGAATCATTCCCTCCTCCGACTCCGACACTCCACTCATCTATAAAGTAAGCTCGGGAAGGGAAGACAGCAGTAACATGTGGGATATAAAGGTGGAAATGTTCCAGGAGGTGGAGATTGTTATAAAGGGGATTGAAGGTGAGGGGTTCAAAGCTGCAGTGGGAGCAAGCATCGTGTTGACTAACCCTATTGTCATTTCGAGGATCCGGAAGTGGAACAAACGGATTAACTTTGGGAAACCTTACCCGTACGGCAAGAAAGGAATGTTGTCCCACAGTATCACTTCGTGTGGGTGCAAGAGGAAGAACGGGGAGTTCAGTCTGGTTGCTGCAGGGAAAAGTGTGAAACTACACAAAGTGCTGTCCAGTCTGGCTGACTTGGAGTGGAGATTCAGAGATTAAACTGGATGTTTTACTGTACTATTAAAAACAATGTAACAACTTTAATATTTGATTCTTTGTATTGCTGTTGTTTTGTTTCTTTTCCATAATGTAATATTGTATCCTTGATGATTGCCAGGATGATGTTAGTTTTAGATTTTTCATTTAAGTTTTGAATTGTTGCTGTGTTATTCAGATTAGAATCATAATATTATATAATATAGAAATTTTGATTTAAATCATAATACACTTTTATCCTTTTATCATATGAATATCTTTTGTGATTTGTTGGCAGTTTTAGTTTTAGTATTAAGTATTTGCTCCTTTTTCAACTTTGATATTAACCGGTTTTGTGTTTTCAAAATGGAACTTAATGTGTTTGTTCTGTTTTTGATATACATAATAACTATACAGTTGACATTGACGCTGTATCACCTGACATAAAATAGTACAAACACGTTGGGTTAAGTTTGCATAGCAACCTTACAGCAACAACCACGTTTTCATTTAACTTAATAAACGCATGTTTTTCTACTTTTTAACTTTTAAGAATAATGTTTCACAGGTTTTATGAACTGGTAATAAATTAAATATTATAGTGCCATGTTTTGAAATTATCAGTCATACCAATTTTTATAGATTGCTGCTTCAGTAATTGCTGAATTTTGTAATTACATGTATTTAGATCCATGTCTGTTTTGTACAATTTGAAGATAACGAATGATAAAGAATGAAGTTTTGCTGTATTATATTTGTGTTGTTCAATAGGTTGTAAAGATTGAGTTAGTTTCTGTATAGATTGCTCTTTTGCTGTTTACGATATTCTAGTTTTACTCGGTAAGATGATAACTTCAAACATAAAACACGGTTATAACTATTAAAGTAAAATAAGTAGTTGAATGGAAGTATTAAACTCACCGTACAAGATAAAGTTACTGAAAATTTAAGAACAATTTAAGTACAATTTAAGTACAATTTAAGTACAATTCAGTTACAATTTAAGTACAATTTAAGTACAAGATATAACAACACGTTATGAAAACTAACATTCCACTAACTTACACATCACACCAAGATACAATGTGAATGTAGAACAAGCTTTCTTGTGATGTCCCGGTTAAACAGAGCTACGTCTCTGTTGAAATCCTCTCTTCCTGGCAGAGCAGCTGCCGATTCTGGTTAGTTATTATTTATTGTATATCATTAATACATACTTCCAACTCTACTAACTGTCTTAAGTAATAATCTGTGCGTGCGTGCGTGCGTGCGTGCGTGCGTGCGTGCGTGAATGCGTGCGTGCGTGCGTGCGTGACGAAGCCAATAAGCAAATCTTTTAAAAATCGGCCGGTGGTAAGTGGTTTAATTGATGGTTTTGTAACACAAATGTGACATAAAGTGGCTGACTTTTTCTCCCTCCTCGCTCTCTCTCTCCCATTACTGCATATTACGCAGCGTTGGTACATGAATCATAATTAGGTTCACTGTAATGTAATACTATAAGCTTATTAGGGGAAGGCACTCATTGCAGTCTGTTTGGACTGTAGAGAGTTCATACTTTCATTATTCATACGACAATGTTATCAGTTGTGCGTGTTTTCAAATATAATAGACGGGTTTATACTGCCTATCAACTTCGATAGTTAAGTCCTGGCCGTAGGCACGGGTTACACTAGTATAGAAAATACTTTGGGTTTGATAAAATTGCGGCCACAGATAAATCAATCAAAGATATCATTCATTCCAATAAGTTGTGGTATTAATCTGTTCAACAGTCAAGCTGCTAAAAGAATTAACTAAAATCAACATATTCAATGGGGCTAGTAAACAATCGCCCAACCATTAAACTATGTACTTCTTATTTCAGCTAATTATATAACATCTCATTAATTAATTAATTTCATTAAAGGTGAAAAGAAGCCCCCTGGTAGATTGAAGCGGATGTTGCTATGGTTGTACAACCCAACTGTCCAGGCTGGTAAAGATTACAAGGATGTTGTTATTGAAACAGGTATTTTTCTCCTTTAAATTAGCAATAAACTTGATTATTTTTCATCTTCTCGTTATTTCGCCTACTTACAATACATATTTTACACGAATCTCATTTACCAAGTTATGAGGTTCGGACTGCAGCAAAATATACAAAATCTTCATAAGAATAATTTTTCAGGAAAGAAAATGATCAAGAAACCTGTGAAGTCGACCATAATATTGACTTTTCTGGGGACATGCACGTATCTGCGATATTTTAATCCAACTCTGGAGAATTACAGGGACACTTCCCTTTATAACCATCACAAACTGCTCATGCTCAGGTACGTCACTACACTCTTAATTCCACTTTCATTTTCACTTTCATTTTCACTTTCACTTTCGCTGTACTCTCACCTGAAATGGTTAACCAGTTGATTAATAAATGCAATAATTTCACTGAAATTTGTTTATCATTTTATTATTGATTTAAATTAAATTTCAATTTAAAATTGTGATAAAATGATAAATAAATAAACTAAAAACTGTAAACATTCCAGTTGGAGAGTTCGGAACAAAACCTCGGACGAGTTCGTGGACACAGTCCGTAAACTAGACCGAGAAGGTCGCCTCGGACACCAGTCCTTCTTCCTGTTCTCTGTGGTATACAGCGCGCATGTTAACACTGACTTGTGTGAGTTCAGTAAAACATACCTATCCCCTCGGTGGAGTGGGTATTTGGATAGGGTGGTGGATGTGGGGTGCCTGGGCAAGTGGTATTATATGGACAATGCTATGTTGGACTATGATATTAATCAGGATGAGTGGAAGTAGTGGGTGAAGTAGGGTGGGACTGGTTCAGTTTGTTTGATGAAGTTTTTTAAATTGATGTTTTTATATTTATTTTCGTTTCTATGTTTAAGTAGGATTTTTAGGATATAGTTGGCGATAGTAATTTATTAAGCTTTATGTATTTTTGGAAGATGTTGGAGGTTGATGTATTGTTTGAAATGATTGACCACTGACACATTTTGATTAAGTTATTGTTTGAGAAAAAGCTGAGTGCTGGGTAAAACAACTTAAGTGTATTCAATTAATAACAATGTATTGTTAGAGAAACTATTTGAAGATGAAATCCATCGAACAAAACAGTTTACAACTCAATATTTATTAGCATCGTTTTTTTTGAACATTTAATTTTCATTTTGAATATTGCTCTCTTTTGCGCTTGAAGTGGGGCCTGGATCAGGGATTTATAAGCAATGTCGGGAGATTTAAGCAACCTTACTGACTCTATACTTTTACTAGGGTGTTAGTTACTTAGTAACCTTAGTAACCCTAGTAACCTTAGTAACCTTAGTAACCATGTAACCTTAGTAACCTTAGTAACATTAGTAACCTTAGTAACCTCAGTAACCTTAGTAACCTTAGAAACCTCAGTAACCCTAGTAACCTTAGTAACCCTGTAACCTTAGTAACCCTAGTAACCTTAGTAACCTTAGTAACCATGTAACCTTAGTAACCTCAGTAACCTCAGTAACCTTAGTAACCTTAGTAACCCTGTAACCTTAGTAACCTTAGTAACCTTAGTAACCTGTACCCTTACTAGGATGTTAGTAACCTGGTGACTGTAGCTCTCCATCAGTAAGATACACTGACCAGAATGTTGCAGGACCTAGTAAAGCAGCATCTCTCCAGTGTCATTATCACTGGAGCTGTTGCTGCTATATCTGCTTACGTGCTGTGGGGAGGCGAGACTAAGAGCTGGAAAAAAGGTTTGTCAAACTGTTTCACGTTCTCTTTCCAAACTGTTTCACTTTCTTCTTCATGGGCGCTATACTATGTACGTGATGTACCACGCCCTTTAATGAAGGGTTTTAAAATACCATTTAAAAAGTGCCAGAAGTGCTGATATTACAACTTTAACACGTTATTTTGGATCCATGCATATCACGATATTAGTGATTACTCTGTATTATCATAGTGTCAAATTATTAGATAAACTTAAATAGTGTGGAGAATAAGGATATTTAATATGCTCTCTGATTCTGATTAGTTATTGATTGGTAGTATCTTTAATTAATAGTGCGTGTATTGCGATATCAGATTTCAAAACCCCCATTAATTGAACCTCTCACTTTATTGATGTCTCTATTACTGTTGATCTTTGTTTGCTCCCTGTAAAAGGTTTGTCAGTACAGTAATTTAGCAACATACTGCAAATCGTTCATGAAATTAGTTATCTTTTTGCTGAAAGCTGAACCCTGAAACTGCGGCCCTAGCTATCTTCAAATATATCGACATATTTATCTCTAATTTTTGTTTTGACTGAATTTTGGTCCTTTTAGTACCAAATTAATAATGTTTGAACTTCAAACTTTGAAGAAAAATTATCTTGAATAATTGTTTAGCTTGAACACAAGGGTCCAACATACATTTTGTACAAATTTTTTTACAAATTTTGTTAATCACATCATACAATACCAGTTCTGCTCTCCCACAAGCTACTCAACAAATAATTATCTCAAGCCCAAGTTGGTAGGCGTGAGACTGATTATATTATCTCTGAGAAGTTCAGAGGACTAATTAATCTACTCTCTCAGAAATTCACAGGGCTTGTTAAAAAACTGCCATTGAATTATAATACTTTCTAACTCTGAGAGCAGTTCTTTCTAAGTTAGGTAACACTTTCTAGTAACAACATAAACTGGTTAAAAATATACCCAACTTAAATGTTCTCGTCAAACTGTGAAACAATGACACCCTGCCTGTAATTAAAGTTAGCAAACCCAATCGACGGTGCTTTGTTATAATCTACCGGGTTATATGATCTTATGATGAAATATTTACAGTTCTACAGTATAAACCCTAAAATTATGATTGGTAAAAGTTTCTTGCAGTACTCTGTCCAAATTATTGCCTACGATCTTAAAATGTGACCGACAATTACTGATAACTGTACCATTATGCTTTATTGCTTTATTGCCGTTCAATGAAAATGTTCTGTACAAAATATGTTCGTCATTAATAACTCAACAAATACTCAGTTTAAATTCATAACCCATATTACCATACCATCTACCTCTATAACACTCAGTTCGCTCTCACAGGGAGGCTGCGTCCGTCGCTAGAAAACCTGGGAAACACATGTTTCCTGAACTGTGTAACACAAGCACTCTCCTCCGTGGACAGTTTCTACGACTGGATACAAGAGATCCTGCTGGCCCAGCACAGAGAGAGTGAAGTGCAGCATGTGCAGCATGTGCAGGATGTGCAGCATGTTGAGAGTGTACCGCCGCGCTCTGAGGTGGAGATATCGGAGGAGTTAAGGAAGTCAGCTCCCATGATCTCAGCTTTGTACGAGGTGCTGACTACACTGCAGTTATCTACTGATGGTTCACAGAGTACCTCTCTTGGCAAGGTACTATTTTAATGAGAGGTTTTCACGTGATCGCGTGAGGTCACTTGATCGTTTCTTTGTTTTAATACTTGGGTTCGATTTATTCATGCTATAGAATTATCAGTCACTGTCTCGTTTCAAACTTGCACCTGCCCGCTAATTTACACTGTTATTTATAATATGTATTATGTACCGTGGAATCTTTGAAACAGTCAATTAGCTGAGTCCCCTGTTTAGTTTAAGTCAAAATCAGCCTTCTGAAGTGAACTCAAATTTAACAGGATTGGTCTGCCAATCATGCATATTTGATTCTCTCAAGGTGAGAGGATGATGTGTTTCAAGGATCGGAAACTTTTAATGTGGCTCGGAAACATATGATTGATACGATTGGAAAATAAATCTTAAATTTCATAACAACTTCTTATAATATCCACCAAGTTTCTATTTCACACTTCACAGGTGCACAGAGCTATGACAGAGCACGGTTGGGATACACTATTCACACAAGAAGACGCCTATGAAGCTTTCCAAGTCCTGATCACATCCATTGAGCGCGAAGCACATATGCTCCTCGAGTCCGACACCAACCGTCAACTAACCGCACCCGTACAAGGGAAATTCCTCATCTCCTTGGAATGCACGGAATGCCACACAGAGAGCTCCAAGAAGATTGAACCCTTTGATAACATAACCCTGCACCTGTCCCGGAAACAGAACATTAGCCTGATGAACCTGTCGTTTAACAGTCTGCGCGACATGCTCCACACTTACTTCTCCCCCGAAACCCTGTCTGATGTGGAATGTGAGGCATGCTCTGAGAAGCTGGCTATCACTACTGCCTGCGACTTTAAGAAGCAGGTGAAAATAGCTAAAGCTCCCAAGTGTTTGTGTATTCAGATCAATAGAACAGAGTACGAGAACGGGTCCATGACTAAAAACAACCAGCATGTATCATTTCCTATCGGCTCAATGGACCTGACATTGTTCGCATACCAAGCATTGCTGTTTGATAACGAGAATGAAGTAATAGAGCAGGAACCAGCTGTAAGTAGACCAGTAGACGGGTACGAGGTAGTGCGCACTTACAACATCAAGGACAAATCCCCACCCATGATGGAAGGCCTGAACTACACGTTGAAGTCTGTTATAGTGCACCATGGGACTGCTAACTCAGGTCACTATGTCACGTACAGGAGGCTGAGCAACAGCACGTGGCTTTACGCGTCTGATGATGTGGTGCGGTTAGTTACGCGCGACGAGCTCGAGCGGCAACAGATTTACCTGCTCTTCTACGAGCGCGTGTCAATGCCTGAGATACTGACTGAAAGTGCATCACGACGGGAGGTAATTACTCCGGTAACAATGCCTAAGGATGATATCCTGCCTCTAAAAGAAGACAATATGTCTGATATTTCTCAAGATAACGTCTCAGAAACTATGTCGTTAGAGCATGTGCCTCGAGATAACATGTCACCCCCGCTTATTGTGAGTGAGCCAACTAGCCCGGGTGTAATGGTTACACCCCCCTCATTCGACCTAGATATCAACCAACTTGATTCTTAGTTGGTACCTTGAAACTGAGTTTATCTTGTAGGAGTGACAAATGGGAGTGTCCTTTTCAGTCACTCATAGTTGAGTTTTCAGCGTTTATATATGAAATATTCTATGAGATATTTTACATTATGAAATAAAGTAACTTTAAAAAAGTTTGTTTTGAGCAGCATGTTTGAAGGGAAAGAAAAGTTAACAGTAATGTGATCAAAATCACACGTTACTTTTCTTCAGATTGATCAGGTCTATTTTGAGACCTTATCGATGGATGATCATGAAATAAGAATTATTTTTATCCAGCTACTTTATGATTTGATAACGTCTTAATGAGAATTTTTTTAATTTTCTGTGCGTAAGAATTTTTCCACCATGAAAAAAATGTATTTGTGAATTGTTTTACTATATTATTATAATATGTGTATCAAATATGAATCTTCTTTCGGGTCAACCGGTTTGTACCAAATTGACCGTATTTACTGTCTTGACTACAATTAATAAATTCAAATTTCCTAGATAACAAAAACATGCCATTTCGCATTTATATATTCATATATTTTACATTTGTTTTTTAGCTCAAGTTGTGAAACATTTTTGTTACTATTACTAATCTACAATTCCCACTAGCAATGTTGACAGAATGTACAATTGAACGATCAATATGGTGAGAAATATTACATTTTTGTTTAAATCCTTTGGTAAGAATGTATTGTTACTTTTAACTGTTGAAGTACATGAATGTGTTCGTTGCATTCCTCTGTAGGTATTTCATCACGTGATTTCCCAACATGTTCCCTAAAACCACGTCACATGGTTTGTAAATTCCCCAAGTTTATTTTCTGTGCCGGTATGGAAGTCCAGCGCTGGCTCCCCAAAAGAATACGGAGTCCTGTTTAGTTTAAGATGTAAGAGAGTAAAAGTACAGGCTCTCCTTGGCAGTAAGTAGTAACCTAACATAGATTAAACTATTAAAGTTGCCTGAACGTTGTAACCGATCCTATTGGCCTAGTTACTAACCGCTGTACCAAATGGTGTCCATTACTTTCTTGGCTATGAGTAGATGGCTCTGTTTGACCCTTTACTGCTCAGTTTCTGACTACATTGACACTTACTGCCGTGGTAAATGGTAGACGTTATGATGAAGTTATGAAGCTGTGCAGTAAAAGGAAAATAAGAAACTTGGTATTGTGCAGTGTGAAATCCCGACTTATTGATTCTGTTAGGGAAATTTCAATAGCAAATGTGTGCTGTGATTTTTTCCAAAACCGAAAACAATACTCAAATCCCCACGTTACAATCTAGCATTTATACTTTAAAGCATACTTTATGAAGGAAAACATCCTTTATGTGATATCCGTTCTAACTAAGAAACGATAATATTATAAAAATGTGTCTGACAATACCAACGATAACATGTTGTTAACGTGTACCAACTAACCTCTCTGTTATTTGTCTTATCTTGTGTAAACATACAATTTGCAGTTTTAACAACACACAGCACACTCGTTAGATGGGGGGTATTCATACTTCCACTGTTCAACTCATTCATTCAATGAACACAAGGTTCTGTCACAGTGGCGTAACGTTACGCCACTGTTCTGTCACCAAAACCAAGTTTACACCTCACCTCTAATCTTGGTTAGGGATAGTAAACGCGAACTGTATTATGTTGTTATTTTCTATGCGGAACCAAAAGGATAATACAAATTGTAGCATTTTATGAAATGGGTGAGCTAATTTTTTAATACATCAAACTGATGGGGATAGAGTTTGACTCAGGAGTTCGGGCTTCTATATTCTGCGCTCTAGATAAATTTAAATTTCTTTTCCACAGTTTCGTCACCACTGCGGTACCAGTTTAAAATAGCATAGTCGTTACGCGCGGTGACTTTTATTTAACCAAGTGCAATAAAACAGTGTTTTTGTTGCGCGGCTCTTATGCAATGCGCTGCGCGCAATCAGAAAATATGGTCCGGTGATGCGCATGCAGTCGATATAATATACCTGTATTTGACTGTTTAATACCAGTCTTCAGATCATATACTAGATCATCAAGGGAAATTGTATGATTTCCATTCTCTAAATTTTAATTTCAATCGTGATCCATACTCATATTTTGTGTTAACAATCTCCGAAACTTATTCCAGCCATGTCATTGACTTCTGAGACAGTTAAAAGGGGCGAGGAAGCGGCAGGAGAAGAAGAGGAAGAAGAAGAAGAAGAGGAAGAAGAGCGGTACTGTGTTTGTCGTGGACCGTACGGTAACAAGTTCATGATAGCATGTGACGGGTGCGAGGAGTGGTTCCACGGCTCATGTATCAGCATCAACAGCGATCAGGCTAAAACCGTTGACAAGTACTATTGTCCGTTTTGTAGAGGTTAGAATACAATTTATCTTGAATTAAGGGCCGATCGGTTGCTAATTAACCTTAAAATTTCTACGTTTTCGATTATTTTACCCTCACTTTACCAAATTACCCTTAAATCAATCATGCATCCATAAAAATGTCCTCAATCAAATGTTAACTATTTTGCTTTCAGAAAAAGACCCATCCTTAAAGACGGTATTCAAGACAAAAATAAAAGACAAGGAACGGGACAAGCATCGAGAGAAGAGACACAAGGAGAAGCTGAAGCGCCGTGAAGAGAAGAAGAAACGAGAAGAAAAGAGAGGCAAACATTCGTTAAACAGTGACTCGGAGGATCAGGTGCCCGTCAAGAAAGTGAAACCAGAACTATCGTTCAAGAAGAAGTCAGATACCCGTGATGCTTTGAACAAAGAGGAACACAAGAAATTGAAAAAGTCTAAAGAAGACCTTCGGATAAAACCTAAGGAAAGGGATGAATTTAAAGCGAAACAATCCGACGAATCAAAAAGTAGACAACCTCAGCCGGATGTAATCCCAAAAGTGAAGCCGGAGGAACCGGCAAAGTTTAAAATCCCGAAAGAGGCAGAATCTGTGAAAACTAAGACTGTAAAGATAAAGGATGAGAGGGAGGTTCGTGCTCCTGCTCTCGCTACATCGACAGAGGAACCTTCTAAAAAGAAGGAGAAGAAAAAGGTTGAGGTGCCAGTTAAAATAGACGAGGTGAAGGATTTTAAAAAAGATGAAGAGAAGAAAGAGAAAGCTGACGAACCAACACCGCCATCGAAGCCTTCAAAATCCGTACAATCCCCAAAACCTACCAAAGCCACACCTCCCTCAAAGCATTCGAAACCAACGCCGCCCCCAAAGCCTTCTAAACCTTCGGTATAGTAAATTTTTACAAAAATTAAAGTTGCCATTCGCATTATATTAAGTCATGCTTATATAAAAATCATACTCTTGATTTAAAATTTCAAAAACTACACGTCCTCAATATACGGAAAGTTTCATTTCTTAATTATTAGATATTAAATTGATCCCTTTTAGGAGTCGGACGACGATGATGCTGATTTTGACGTTTTCTTAAAGTAAGCGTGAATAATTTGAATAAGTCTGCATTCTGATTTTCTATAGAGTCTATATATCTAGATACTGGCATATTTTGATCGATCTGTTTTTATTCAACATGTTAATTATAATCAGCAAGTCAGCCATCGGTAAACAAACTATTCCCTCAGTGCGTTATCAAAACAATCCAAACCGAAAGACCCAGTCGTTTCAAGTTCTGAAGATGAAGATGTCGATGTAGGAATGGACGAAGTTGTGATGGACACGAACAAGAAGCTAACTAAAAGTGTAAAGGACCAGTCTGTAAGATTGGGGAAACCTGCATCCGCACAGGGCCGGAAGAAAGTGCTGAAGAAAAAGGGCAGACCAAAGAAACAGATCGGAGCTAAAAATGAAGTTGTCGGTGGTCAGAATGATAAAGGTGAGGGTGAGGGTCGATAAATCCGTTACATTCAATGTTATTCCTAATAATAATATTAATTTGGGCGACCGCAGTCGGGTAGCTGATTTACCTATCTAATAGCGTTTCGCTTTTAACGATTTTCATTATTCTTCGTTGGTAGTCTTATAAATTTTATAACCTTGTGTGATATTTCCTTGTGTTTCAGAATCGTCAGAAGAAGAAGAAAAGCAGTGTTTAGGACCAGGTTGTTGTAATGAAGCCCGACGTAGGTCTCGGTATTGCAGTGACGATTGTGGTGTCCAGCTAGCTGTGAAGAGAATCAGGTTAGTGAGTACACACTTTCTAACTGGGGGTACTGATCCTAGATAGACGGCACGTGATAGGTTCGCAATAAATTCCTGATTGAAATACAAATTGATAAAATTGTGAAATTGTCAGAACCTTCCTACCGGAGCGAAAGGAAGAGATGAAGAGAGGTGGAACAGCCAGAAGGTTCGACGAGGAAATGATCAGTGATCTGGAGAAACAACAGACTGTAATTATCATCTTGCTTTTAACTTACCTGATAATCTGTTGTAGCTGTATGGTTGTTGTCTTACTGAGATTCAAGTATTTTAATTGTTCATCCATTGCGCTGTTCTTGTTCTTTAATTTGCAGGCTTTTGATTCTTCTTGAAATGACAGCACATGATTTAAAATGACATTCCTTCTTGCAGGTGGCACATCAGAAGATATTAGAGCTGCAGAACCAGAGAATGGTGATAATGAACCTGGTAGAGAACGCACGTGCTACTATTCTAGATAATAACAGTGAGGAGGACCTAAGTGATGAGGAGATGCTGGTTAGTTCACACTATTATCCTAAAATCTAACATATCTAACATATTTAACATATTTAACATATTTAACAAATTTAACATATTTTTTTACTATCATCTGATCTGACGACTTTCTGCTCCAGTGCTTTTTGTTTCAGATATTTCAGATTCTCATTTGGGAAATTTTACCTAATCAGTGCTAACAATATCAGTGAGAGAGTTATGACTAATTTCCAGAAATTTATTAAATTGTCTAAAAGTTTATATCCTTCCCTCTTACCCAGGGTGATAATGAGGAGGTGGACTGTGTGATATGTGGCATGGCTTGCACTGACAAGAACGCTGTGAGGCACATGGAGAGGTGCTACAATAAGGTATTATATAATCTTTTCATTGATTTATGAGTGATCTTTATATATTGGTCTTGTGATTGGTTTAAAATTGTTCTATTAGGTACTGTGTGATTTACATACGGCTTGGGCTCCAGTTGACTTGTGACGAAAAAAGGTCGAGGTTGTATAAAATGTATAATGTATATCTTAATAACCTCTATATTAACGCTTCAGTTCGAGTCTAAGCTAGGACTGGGCAGCACGGTGAAATGTCACGTGACTTGGGAGAGCCCTGTGTGTGACGCTTACGACAGACAGCAGGGTACTTACTGTAAGAAACTCAGAGTTCTCTGTCCTGATCACAACAAGGACAAGGTACGTTTTGAGTTAGATAAATCTTTAGTTTATGTTTTTAAAAGTGAGGTTTTACATTTTCAAATCTCTCATAATGTACCTTTCACGTGGACCCCAATTGATCATTTAGAACAAATCATTTTGATTGTCCAGGAGGAACATGATGGGGTATGTGGTTGTCCGTTGGATCTGAGTGAAATATCCGAGAACAGCACTATTTGTCACAAGGGTAAACGAGCTTGTAACAAACACACCGGCTGGGAGAAACTCAGATTAGGTAAGTCCTTACTCCTTACCTTATTTGGGCATGTACCCTATTTGGTGAGCTGTTTATGTAAGATGTGATTTCTGGTGAATGGTTTTCCCAGCGTAACTTTATTCAGTATCACGTTTAACTTGTCTTCTTTAATTATTATTTATTATTATTACTTAACAGGATCATACCAACAAAAATGATTTAAAAGATTAAATACCTTAATCTGGTAATCTGTGCTCATAACACAAATTGTCCCAACATTTATTGCACGTAGACATTTTTAATTAATTAATTTGTCTGATCCATTTCACCTCTCCAGCCGAGATAGACATGGAGCGAGTTCTTCAGGACTTAAAACTAGAAGACAGTTTCGAGGAGATGAGGAAAGTGAAGTACAGGATGGCGTACAGAACTAACTTGCTTCAAATACTGTTAAATGGAACAATTTGCCACGGCCAAGAGAGTCGGTCTAGTGTCACGTGAGCTGTCAGGCGAGATCACATGAGCTGTCACGCGGGATCACATTTGACCATATCTGGTAAAGATCGTGTTTTAAAGTTTGTTTTTACCTTATGAACTTATGAAGTTCATTTCACATTGTGCTCTAAGATTAGCCTAATATTTTAGCGCTAAAAACTCTCGCCCTGTTGACGGAAATATTGAAATTCTACTCAGATTGTAACATTGATTTTATTTTGTGTTTGTTATATGTATTTTGTAATTATCTTTATTTATTGTACCTGCTGATATTCCTATGTATCTGGTAAAATGCCTCATTCATCAATCAGTGGACTATGAGTTTCGTTTAGATAAAATATATTCAGTAGTTGTTTTCTCTAATCTATTCCAATTATTTTAAGTTGTGTTCATTTTAGATGCTCCCTACTAAACACTGCAATCTTAAAAACTCACGCTCAACCTTACGAGATCTATAAATGGATGAAAGCATATCAATTACTATCATTGATCAATTTATTATATTATACTAGTTTCATAATAATCTAATCATATAATTAGTTCCCAGCCAAGGAATGTTTTCGCAACTCTTCAACAGCATGGCGGACATACCGTTCGAACATGACTACAAGTGTTACCCAGTTTCTTTTATGGCCGGTAAGTGTCATGTTAACCACTGAAATTGTCTTGGTAACCAGTATAGAAGTGTTGTTGTCATGGTAACCAGTATAGAAGACTAGAAGTGTTGTTGTCATGGTAACCAGTGTAGTTTTCAGGGGAAAATAGAAAAGATGTTGACACGGGAGGTAAAATAATAATGCCGCCCTCCGCGCTGGACGCAGTTACTCGACTCAACATTCCTTACCCGCTCCTCTTCTCCCTGAGGAATCCTGTAGCGGATAGGACAACTCATTGTGGTGAGAAATCACGTGATTTTTGACATTTTCATGTGCCTCACTTTGCGAATAATCATGTTTACATATTATATAGTGAACCTTGTTTGGTTTCACTTTTTCTTCACAAAGTTTAACTTTCAATTCCATTTAATTAGGAGTGTTAGAGTTTGTGGCTGAGGAGGGACGCATCTACATTCCTTACTGGATGTTCAGAAACCTTTGTTTACAAGAGGGCCAGAGAGTTACTGTCAAATCAGGGAACCTGCCCAAAGGAGACTTCGTCAAGTTTCAGCCTCAATCTCCCGAATTTATTGATATTCACAACCCAAAAGTAAGAAAATATTCATTCATACCTTACGTTTCCTTCACAGTTGCAGCTTGTTATATACATAATACATATGTATGTGTAATTTCAAATTTGTTTTAAAACAAATTAACGTTATGGCTACTTGAACCTTTTAGAACTATTTCCTTGATATTCTCCCTGATATATTTCCCTGATATTCTCAGGCTGTTCTGGAGCGAGTGTTGCGGAAGTTTGCGTGTCTCACAAAAGGGGACACAATCAGTCTCAACTATAATAACCATGAGTACGAGCTCTGCGTTCTCGAGTGCAAACCAGCAGACGTAAGTGGCTTAGTTCTATCTCTAAACTTTCTTTTAATACATAGTTTAATCAATCTCAGAATTGCCAAATAACTCGGAAAATTTATAACACAGAAATTTTAACTTTGTTTAAATAAGATGTATTCGATATAATGATGTCATATCCCCAGGCTATATCCATTATAGAATGTGATCTAAATGTAGATTTCGCCGAGCCGATAGGTTACGTACCTCCCACGAAACAGAGAGCCCCAGTTGAGGAGGACGAACCAGCCCCACTCGTGGTCGACTCTGCTTTCTCTGCATTTGCAGGTTTCTGCTCCTAAAATCTTTTGTTTCATCAAATCATTTATTTGTCGCTTACAATTTATTTCTCTTTCAATGTTTCTCTATCTGTTTTTGGGTATGTTTTAATCCCCAAACTATTTCTCCTATCCTCATTATCATTAAACTGACTGGAACCTCTTTCAGGGCAAGGTAACGTGTTAGGACGTCGCAAGAAGAAGATCACCACAGATTCAGCAGTGTCTCCAAATGTAATCATCAGAGGACCCGACCTGGACTTCAAGATCGGTAAAATTGTCTTCACACGTGCAATACCTGTTGTAGGAGGGGGTGATGGGTTTGAGGCTGGGTTCGAGGCGTTTACTGGCAGTGGCAACACTATCAAACAGAAGAGAAAGAAGTGAAACTGAAAAGAGTTGGAAGTGAAACTACCTTGAGTTTGGGTTGCAGATGAGCTAGTAGAGTCGCATAACAGCTTCGTGAATCGTGATGCTACATTGTTGAAATAAGACTGAAGTTTTCCAAAGCGGTTTATTTGGGTTGTGCTATGAAACATTGAACACGAGCAGAATATTATGGGCTTTTTGTAAAGATATATTTAACTAATTTTGATTTTGATCTGGTAATTTACCGCTCAAATTAGTGGTTATAAGGGTAATGATTCAGCGGGCCTGATAACTGGGTGAAATGATAGACGAAATTATCAGTGAGTGAAAATGATATAACTTTGAATTGCTGTTAGTGTTCGTTATTTATTGTTTTTAATTGTTGCTGAAATTGTCTCTTATCCATTATCACTGTTTTGTGTTTCGTCCATCAAAGAAGGCCAAAGGCGCAGTTTATATATCATGTATCTCCCGCGAAAGCACACTCCCCAAATTGCGCGCATTGAAGTATATAACTTCTTTCAAACTTCATGAATCGACATCAAATCTTTTGCAATGTATTTAGAATCAATATATGCACTTATATGAATCACTTGTTGAAAGATATCAACAAGCTCTATAACGATATTGACATTGTCGTAAAACGCACAATAACGTGAGTAGCTTTTGTCAAGGTGCTTCATAGGTGATTTTAAACGATTTCTCGTTTAATTTTGATCCGGTCGTAATGAACATCAACTTAGTGCAGAATAAAACAAGTTATAGAATTTATTTATGCGTATCAAATTGGATGTGCTTTCGGTGGAGATATAACTTGTCATACGTTGTACGACCCGCCGCGCATGAGTGCACGGCTCCCCTGCATATCGTAAAAACTGTACAGGTAGTGAAACGACATTGGGGGTCACGACGTGGTAAAAAAAAATACTTGTAGGTTTATAACCTGTACCTACCAAGACGCGCAAAAAACTCGATTTAGGGCCAAAAAACCACGGGTTTTGATTTGTCTATTGTTAATGGACTCGGCGCGCGCTACTTCGTAGCACTTGCATTTCGAGAAGAAAACGGCGAGCGCTACTTCGAAGAAATTTAAACGAGTAATTGTAGCGCGATGCACTACTGGCCCGCGCCGCACATCAAATAATTATTCTGATCGCAACTTACTGGTAGGGGGTGCACGATAAAAATAAACTTGCTCGGATTTTAAAAATTTTTGTACCACTGTTTTCTAGAGACTGTGAGAATTTTCACAATACCAAATTTGTCATACCTTTTTGGAAAGATCAGTGAGTTTCACCTAGGTGCCATATTTGATGGTGCGCGGCTTTTGGAGCAAAAGTAGTTGTTAAAGTCGCGTAATTTGACCAAATTCGTCCAAATTTGACCATTTTTGTCGTATTATTCGGATTTATCTCCAGTTCCTTAAATGAGATCATTCTGGAAATTGGCGACGACCTTCTAATAGAGCTTTCACAACTGTCCGAAAAATTTGGTGGATATCGGAGTTGATATAGTGATCAAAATGGGGCAAAATACGTTGCTTTTAGCTGTAACATAATGTCTGATGGTTGGATATGCTTTAAATTTTTCGGACACTTTCCTTGTAAGTATATGAGTAAGCTTAGCAATTTTTGTTGCGATTAGAGGTCGGGAAGGATACTCAATATCTATATGTTTGAAGAAAATTGTGCTGGCCGAAATTAGCGCTAAAAAACCATCCTACAGTCGGCACGCGCGGCTCACTGTCGATGGCGCACTAACTATTACTGGGCCGCGCTCAGCTTGTCATTCCGCCAAATCTTTAATGTTTATGAACATAATAGCCTGGGGTCCCCAGGTAACTCGCAACCACATATCGGCAAGATGGCCCACTGTGCCTCGCGCGCCGAGCTGCGAATGATTGAATCAAGACGAGTAACATCCGTCAAGTTTTGATCAATTTTGAACAAGCTATTAATTTTCTAGCATGTTTCTGGTATCAAACTTGTAGCGCGATGCACTACTGGGTTTCACATAGCCATGTGCCTACGCGTACTGCGTGACGCGCTTGTTTCACAAGTAGGATAGGATCTTTGCCGCCTCCGGCGGTCGCGCGCTACTGCAAGCGAGAGGGCTCTGGTTAGAGCAACTACTGGGTCGCGCCGCGCATCAAATAATTCTTCTCGCAACCACGGTAGATCGGCAAAATGCACTACTGTGCCTCGGCCTCACCGAGCTGCAAAGGATTGACATCGTGAATCAAGTATCAAAAATTTTTTATAAAGCTGTATTTGCTCTAACCAGAGCCCTCTCGCTTGCAGTATTAAGCTCTAATCAGATCCAGAGCCCTCTCGCTTGCAGTAGCGCGCGACTGGGTTGTGAAACAAGCGCGTCACGCAGTACGCGTATACACATGGCTATGTGAAAAGCTGTATTAGTATAGACCTAATTCATAATTGTGCATAATCAATAATATCATACAGAATTATTTTATAATGTTTCATAACTTCTTTTAAAAATCTTTGGAGGACTTCGACGCGCCGCGCAAATAAGCATTCTTGCATGCTTCGCATCGAAGCAACTATCCTGACGAGATGATTGCAGAGCAATGATCTGGAAGGGTTGATATCGTCAATCAAAAAAATCTTAAAAAGTGGTCACGATTTGTTTTACTATACCTAGATTGCTAGTTCTCGTTCGGTTCCTTTTCACTTTTACATAAAACATAATGTAGAACTATTACAGCATATTATATAGCCAATCTAATGCAGTATATAATTAATGCAGTGTGGCCTTATGTTTTGTTTTGGGAAAAACATTAGGGCTAATAATAATGCAGCTGGAACTTGGAAGATGAAGCGTGACAAGCATAGTACCTCACTCCTTGACTATCATCACCAATAAGGGTCTGGTGTTGTAGGTGTGACTCAGCGGAGTGATCGATAAAACCGTGATTGTGAGTTTAGTTACTTGGGAAGTTTGATTAGGTTTAGTTATGTATAGGAGCCATGCCAAAAGATTTTGAATATTGTAAGGTCACCTTTGATCAGAAAATGGTATCTACTCATTGTCAACTTTTGGTTTTCTATATCATAAAAAGAGGCTATTTATAGTAACACCAGATGAACTATACGAGGGTGCCGAAATTTTAGATCACAAAAACCTATTTTCTGCCGTTTCTACTGTTATTTACCAAAATCTTTTTCCATCTGTCAGTCATCATGAAGAATGCTTGGTTTTCTTCTATGTTTGTACTTATTAATATTATAGATATATATATGTAGAGGTCCCTACAAGCAAATACCTACTATAAAAAAATGTTTGTAATGAATTTTATTGTCCATTGTTAATGAAATCAATTAACTTCTCAGCCAAAATAAAATTCTCAGCCAAAAACATTGGTCAAGAGACACAAACCATGTTTTTAATTGCTCAGACTTATGGCACAATTTTGTAGATAGTCACCCAATTTCATGTTTAAATGACCAAGCTAATGGTAAACTAAGTTTAAAACAACAACAAATATATGTGCTAAACAGTGACTCTCCTCTGATTGCTGGTTTTAATGAATTGATAAAATGCTCAAATCCTAATTGCACAGTTTACATTCGTTTTATCTTTAGTGAATTTAAATTATTAACAATTGCAGGATGTACAGATGTTTGAGGAAGTTGAAAAATGTGGGTCTTCGTCAAATTGCTCAGAGAAGATGCTTGTACACTGCTGGAGAAAAGTTACACGGGTACACTGTGACATCTGTAGATGAAGTAGCAGACTTTAACCTCACCTCTGTTGAATTAATTCATGACAAGACGGGGGCAAGACATTGTCATGTCATTAAGGATGATTCCAACAATTGCTTCAGTGTAGGGTTTGCCACCACGCCACGTGATGATACAGGAGTTGCACACATTCTGGAACACACAGCTCTATGTGGCTCTCACAAGTATCCTGTAAGAGATCCCTTCTTTAAAATGTTAACTCGTTCTTTTTCTACCTTCATGAACGCATTTACTGGACCAGACTTTACGATGTATCCCTTCTCCACACAGAATGAGCAGGATTTTTATAATCTACTGTCCGTTTACTGTGATGCAGCTCTTTTTCCGAACCTTAACAAGTTGGATTTCTTGCAAGAGGGCTGGAGACTAGAGCATTCTGATGCACAGGACATCACATCTGACATTGTGTTTAAGGGGGTAGTTTTCAATGAAATGAAGGGTTATACCAACAATACAGGATACATATTTGGGCAGAGTGTACTCAACGGACTACTTCCTAGTCATACATATGGTAGTTGTAGTGGGGGAGATCCGCTAGCAATTCCCAGTCTCTCACATGATCAGCTAGTGAACTTCCACAGCTCACACTACCATCCCAGCAATGCTACTTTCTATACTTATGGCGATCTGCCCCTCGAAAAACACTTAGAAAAAATTGGGGAAGTGGTCAGTAAGTTTGAGCCAATTTCTCCCAACACCCTTGTTCCATCTGAGCAGAGCTGGTCTGATCCCAGAGAGATAACTGTGAGAGGACCCCACGACCCTAGTGTGTCTGATAATGAGAATAATCTAACTGTTGCTGTAAGTTACAAGTTGCCTACTCTCAATGATAGGTATAACAATACTGCTTTGTCAGTTGTGACAGATGTGCTAACTTCAGGAACGCAGAGCAAGTTTTACGAAGCTCTGATAATCTCAGGACTAGGGAGTGATTTTGCTCCAGGAACTGGTCTTCACTCCTACACTAAAGACAGCTACTTTACAATAGGTGTGAAGGGAGTGGCTAAAGATCAGGTGGAAAAGGTGTTGCAAGCCATTGAAGAGGTATGGAATGAGGTCGTTGAGGAGGGGTGTGATGAGGTACAAGTTGCTGCCATCCTCCATCAGATAGAAATCTCCAAGAAACATCAGACGACCTCATTTGGACTGAATCTGGGTGTTGGAGTGCTAGCGGCCTGGTTACACGGTGCAAAACCTGCTGATTACATCCAGCTGAACACTCATCTCGATCGGTTCAAAGAGCTGGAGAGTTGTGGGAATCACATAAAGGATCTTGTAAAGGAGCATTTTGTGGACAACCAGCACAAACTAACCGTTACATTAGTTCCAGATGAAGAGTATGGGAAAAAGCTAGGAGAAAGAGAAGAGGAGATGTTAAGAGAGAAAACATCTCAACTTAGCCAAACAGACAAGGAGGAGCTACAGAAACAGGCATCAGAACTGAAATCTGCTCAGGATACTGTGCAGGATATGTCATGTTTACCATGTATCCAGCTGGGTGACGTACCACTTACATCCCTACACTACCCGGTACACAGTACCAGTATTGAGGGGGTACCTGTTCAGATATACACAGGACCTACCAATGGTATTTCATACTTCAGATGTCTCATTTCAGATTGTGATCTGGCTGATGAACAGGAATCAGTGCTACCTTTGTACAGTAGTATTTTGAGTGAGGTGGGTGCCGGTGGGAGGACTTATCAGGATTGTGACTTACAGAAAATGCTGAGGACAGGAAAATTCTCATGTTCAACCCACACTGCTGCGGACAAAGATCAAATAGATAAATACAAGTTGGGGACTCTACTGAGTTCATTTTGCTTGAATGATAACCTCCCTTACATGTACTCTCTGTGGCAGGAGTTGCTGTCTAAGCCACACTTCAACGAAACAGACAGGATCAAAGCTCTTCTGGATGCTGACGTAGCAGGACAAAAGGACCACATAACTGGTTCAGGTCACCAGTTTGCTCTCACAAGATCACGCTCACACATATCACCTCTGGGAGAGCTCAGTGAGCAGATGGGTGGCTTCAAACAGGCCCAAACAGTACAGCAGTTCCACTCAGGTGACATACAGAAGCTTGTAAGTGAGGTGGCGGGTACACACGTGTCACACCAAGACAGGTCACTGTTCAGCATGGCCCTCAATACTACTCCAGATAAAGTGGATGAGAACTTGGAGGCTCTCTCTCAGCTGCTGAGAGGAGTTCCTGATATTAAATCCGGCAAGGACTACGGTATAATTTCTAGAGATATTGTTTCAGTGGACAGTGTGAACGAGTTTATTGAGATCAGTAACTTGGGAGTGAACTTCTGCGCCAGGTCGTACCGGGCAGTACCGGCCGCTCACCCGGACTCTCCTACACTAACCCTCCTCGGTTCTTTACTCTCCTCCAAGTTCCTTCACCGAGAGATCAGAGAGAAGGGCGGAGCGTATGGCAGCGGTGCTATGATGCAACAGCAAGCCTTCTCTTTCTTCTCCTATAGAGATCCAAATAACTTATCCACTTTATCTGTATTCGATCAAGCTATCACGTGGGCCACTCAGGGATCTTTCAGTGACGAGCAGCTTCAAGAAGCTAAGATATCAGTGATAGGGAAACTAGACGCTCCTATAGCCCCAGGATCTAGAGGTCTTTCTGAATTCTCTGGTGGTTTAAACTTTGATCAGAGACAGGCTTTTAGGACGGGTATATTAAATGCGTCCCGGTCTGACTTGCAGCAAGTTGCTGGTCTGTATTTATCAGGGGATAGTCCCCATGGTAATGTGGTAGTTGGTGCTGAAACTGAGACTGCTAAATTCAGAGATTTGGGGTATCGTATTGATACTTTTGGCCAAAACAACTGAGCACAAGATTTCAATAATGCTGTTTTCTATTAGAATTGCCGTGACCTGCTTATTTTTGATTGATAACTTTTTATTGCTTTCATGGTTTAATTTATTATGTTGATTAGTACACTGTCAAATCATCTGCTCTTTTACATCTAGGCCGAGTCGATAGTGACAGGAGATCTTGTTTTATTGGGAGCTGGAAACAACAAAATAATTAATTGAAATTAAAATTTAATAATTAAGTTTTAGTTGTATTGTCAAGAAGGTTGAGTTAAGATGATGATATTTATATTAAGATCAGTATGATTACACTTTTCTAATTCATTAACTATGCGATAAGGTCATTATGGGTAAAGATTACTACCAAGTTCTCGGAGTGAATAAAGGAGCAAGTGCTGAGGAGATCAAGAAAGCTTACAGAAAATCAGCACTGAAATTTCATCCTGACAAAAATAAAAATCCTGGAGCAGAGGATAAGTTTAAAGAAATCGCTGAGGCATTCGAAGTGAGGCTCTTACCGTGGTGGATACAGTTATTTCGATTTTTCACTTCAGAATATGTATTTTAAATTTACCTAGATCTTGTCTGTTCCTGAATTTATCTGATGTCACGTGATAATTGGAACTAATTAACTAATTAACCTAATTAAACCATGCTCCAGGTATTAAGTGATCCGGATAAGAAGGAGACGTATGACCGGTATGGGGAGGAGGGATTGAAGGGAGGTATGGGAGGAGGACCTGGTCCTGGAGGCGCTAAAAACTTTCACAACTATCAATTTCACGGCGATCCTTTTGCTACTTTCTCTTCTTTCTTCGGAGATGAAGACCCTTTCAAAGACTTGTTTGGAGACAATGGCGGATTCGGTGGCTTCGGTCAAGTTAGTCTTTATTATATACTTTCAAATAGTGTTTACTGTGTGTGTTAATTTTTTACTTTCAGGATTGATTTTAGAGTGTGATAATTTTGTAACAAAATCTTGCAAATAATAATTGTACGTGATTAATAGTTGGTAGGGGTTTTCACAGAGCAAATTAATGACAATAAAGGATAAAAAATACCAAAGTTTTAGCCCTAAAAGGAATGATTGTTATGAGATGCTACCAACATGACCGTCTATCATTAGTTCACCCGTTATTGGCCCTATTATTTATGTACATTGTACAACCTATAAATAAACCTTGACACATTTTCAGCGAATGGGTGGTGGAATGCCTGGAGGAATGGGAGGATTTGGAGGGATGGGTGGAATGCCTAGTGGTATGGGTGGAATGCCCGGTGGTATGGGTGGTGGTATGCCAGGTGGGTCTGGTATGTTTGGAATGCCTGGAGGATTTGGAGGAGGTTCTCCAAAGCAAGCAGCTATTGAGAAGGTGAGTTGTAGAAATTAGAATTCTTTAAAGAAGTCATATTATAATATTTTGTAAATGTGTTAAAATCTAACTGTTGCTTCGCCTTCCTGTGCAAACTGTATTATATCAGTACATGGTGTAATTGTAAAGGTACCAGAAGGCAGTAATGCATAACTTGTATTATATCAGTTTCACAGTAATACTCCAATATTCCTCAGACTATACCGTTATCTCTTGAGGAACTGTACGAGGGATGCTCTAAGAAGATGAAGATAACACGAACAATCCATCAGAATAATGGTACATCATCGCAGGTAAACTGTTTTCAGGGTACATCACTGACAGTTAAAGTGATGTTAGCATGAACATACTACTACTTCCATGTAAGATAATGTTAATTGCTTCATCGCCTTGTGTGTTTATAATTGTTACGGACATGAAGGGAAACACACAAATGAGGCTTGAAATCTTCGTTTAAAAACATCATGAGAGCCTCAAATAATAGATTTGAGGTGTTGTAAGGTAATTTAACCACGTGATCTAACCACGTGATCTAATTTAACCACGTGATCTAACTGATACTATAATGTCAACAGGATGAGAACATCTTGACTCTGAACATTAAACCCGGATGGAAAGCTGGAACTAAGTTAACATTCCCTAATGAGGTAGAACATTTTAACAGATCTATTACTAGGTTTAGTAATAAGGTTAATGGTTATTGGGTTTCATAAATGGCTAGAAATGAGCATTTTAATAATTTCCATACAACTTTACGACGCTCAAATACCACAATTTAGTGTATATTTTGACCTTAATCATCCAAATAAATAATAATTTAAAAAGGGTCCCGACACTCGTATCCACGCAACCCTGCTCAAATGGTGTAAAATCTAGCCAGAAGTATTAAATATGTTTCCATTTAGGGCGACGTGTATCCAGGTAAGAAAGCTCAGGACGTTGTATTCATAATTGCAGAAAAACCTCATTCTTTCTTCAAACGAGAAGGTAATTGGTTTAATAAGATAATTAGTTAATTATTAATGTCTTTACATTGGTTTCCGGAGATAAGGTGAATTAGTATATATATATATATATATAAATTGTATAAAGATTGCGGCTTTATACAAGTCAATTTACCATTCAATAATAAGATAAAAACTATTTAACATTTTGAAAACTTACTCCAAATACTCCTCCTGTGCGTGTGTTTGTTAATAAAATAATATGACTGCCAGGTAATAACATTTATCGTAAGATTAAAAACCAGATAAGATACTTACAACAGGTAATTATTCCAGGTAACGATCTCCACTACACAGCTCAGATATCCTTAGTGGAGGCGCTGTGTGGTAACATGGAGCTAGTTGTTCCTGCCATCACACAAGAGGTAATTACATCTCACTTACAGTTACTTACAGTTACTTATATGTTAATTATTTAATTATCTGTTAATTACATGTTATTTATTTGTGAGGTTCTTCATCAAGAACGCTGTTACTAAGTACCTAGTTACTAGAGTAGTTACTAAGTAGTTACTAAGTACCTAGTTACTAGAGTAGTTACTAAGTAGTTACTAAAGTAGTTACTAAGTAGTTACTAAAGTAGTTACTAAGTAGTTACTAAAGTAGTTACTAAGTAGTTACTAAAGTAGTTACTAAGTAGTTACTAAGTAGTTACTAAGTAGTTACTAAAGTAGTTACTAAGTAGTTACTAAAGTAGTTACTAAGTAGTTACTAAAGTAGTTACTAAGTAGTTACTAAAGTAGTTACTAAGTAGTTACTAAAGTAGTTACTAAGTAGTTACTAAAGTAGTTACTAAGTAGTTACTAAAGTAGTTACTAAGTAGTTACTAAAAGTTCACCCTCAGACAGTTTTTGCTCATATTTATTTCTTGTCTGAGATACACATAACAAGATAACAGATATATACTGTAGTCGCAGATCAAAGGGTTTTTAGTTAAGCTATATATATATATATAGAAATATAAGGGTTATATATAACCCTTATATTTCTCATGCTTCAAGTAAACAAGTAAACAAGGTTAACCACTTAAAATAGCAAATTCACCATAATAAACCCTCCAATTATTACATTACGTCCATATAATAGGGTGTTACTTGAGACTCGTGTCCAAATCTTGAATGGCTCTCAAAATCTAATTTTTGTTTTAAATTGTAGACAAATTATTACATTTTGAAATACATAATACACATGTATAATGTATAATGTATATATACATCTATACTATAATTTAAACTTGACGAAATTTCCCCGGCAACGGGGACATAGAAGAAAAAACACCGAAAATCGACCTCAAAATGACCCTCTGGTGAAATCAAACCCAGCTCGCAAATGGAGTTGAAACCTCGCCATTTTTAGCAGGGTTGTAGAAAAAGGATAGGAATAGGCTATAGCATTCTTAGAATTTTGATTTAGGCTTTAGATTTTTTATAATTAACGTCGGAAGTGAGGTAAAATAACCCTTAGAATAATGTCGTTATTTTAGCAAAGGTTTACTGCGCTGTTGCGTAGCAACGTTAAAATGCACGTGCGCGAGCAAGAACATCTTAACTACGCGCGTTGTTATGCTGTATGCTACGTCATAATTTCAAAACTAGCTCACATTTACGCTCACGCTATGATTTATATTCATAACTTTGGTTGTGATTGGTATTTTTTGATGCGGTAAAAGGTATCGTTTTGGGAATCCGAATACTAACAACGCTGTCGCCATTGTTAGATAAATTCCATTATGTCTACAGTATAACAGAGCTATATGATGAAGAGAAATTAAAACATAACTGATTTTTAAAATTTCCTCGAACAAAGCTTTCGACTAGCGGGTTTCTAGTGTATAATAATGTATAATGTATATGGAATAAGTAACAATTATCATCTCCTCAGAAAGTGCCTATACCACTAGGAAACAACACAATCAAACCTGGCTCTAAACGCAAGATAAAAGGGTACGGAATGCCAATCAGCAAGCAACTGGGACAATACGGCGACATGTTGGTCACAATTAATGTGGATTTTCCTATGTCACTGTCAGATCAGCAGAAATCTGAAGTGAGGAGGATCTTCAGTTGAGTCACGTGATCTTATGTACAGTTTTGGGAGTGTTTATAAGACTGTTTATAAGCGGGAGTGTTTCCGGGAGAATTTCCACTCTAATAGATTGTGGTATGTAGCTACAAGTGAACTGTTACTTGTGAGGTTATTACAAGTAAGACATTCAGAACTGAGCTGCGAGTACTGATTCTGGGCCAAAATTATTGTACAATTTTAATTAAATATGGCTTGTTTACTTCATAGATTTTTGGGTTCTTACTTCTAACTAATTTCGAAAAGATTGTTTTAAAAATTTGTTTGTTAACAATTAAATGTTCTACATTCATGTAGTAAACCACTGTACCACGGAAAAGCTTATAAAATTGGGTCATCTACTTCTGAAACGCCGCATAGCATGTTTGAAACGTTTATTATACTTCGCCACCGGTTACAAAATACAATCATGAATAATTTTATTGTTCATTATAGTAATGGAAATAGATGACCTTCAGGAACAGCGAACTAGCTATTATCAATTATTGTCAGATGAAGATATATGAGACGTACAAGTTTAAGATATCAACGCATGAAAGCATGATTTAGCGTAAATATTTTTATACTTCGAAAGAATTTACGTTTACATTGAATATTTATTGTAAAACTGTACTGTTCTACTGTTAAATTGTGATTTTACAAAATGTACAGGGTGGGCCAAAAGTCAGTGTGCAAACGTTGGCCTTAATAGCTCAGTCACTGAGTGCCCAATTGAAATACTTCCTTCTGGTATGACTTAGTACCACCACTGGTTCGAGGAATTGTCAACTCGAAAAATATTCGCGTTCATTTTTTTCAAATGGATGTTCATTTTCACATTTATTTGATAGTTTGGATAGTCGGATCAAGCTAAATGTTATTGAATTGTGTTTGGCCATTCGAATTACGTTTGTCCTGAAAGAATTAGAACTGTAGCTTCTCAGATGACCGAGATTTGAAGCATAACGAGTATATTCATTACGTGTGATCAGGTGATTGGTTTACCTAATCACGTGATAAGGTGACCCCGTTAACGACCCCGTTAAACATTATGGGAATTGTTAAGGGTGCCCAATTAAGGTGTCGTGTCACGGTGTCACATAATCACCCAGTCAATTTTGTTAACGAGATACACAAAATGCTTGATAACTTCGTCATTTCTAATCCGTTTTGCCTCATGTTTTCAGATCATATGCAACATTTGATAATCTACAGTCTCTAAAAAAAATTAGGCGTTCAGCATGTTCAGAGAAAACAATATAGGTGTTTTAATATTGAATGGGCGTGGTCTAAAATATTCGAATTTTCAAATTTTGACGACGGAATCCTCGAACCAGTAAGTACAGTATGCCATCTGCAAAGCAACAGCTCTCAAATATAAAACACGGCGGAGGTATAAGACCCAACGTTTGCACACTGACTTTTGGCCCACCCTGTATATTTCCGTTTAAATTTCATTCTAGCTTATTTGGTAAAAACTAAAAGATCTGATTTGTATATTTACAAAAAATAGTATTTATAAATACAGTTTTGTTGATCATTGCTTTTTGGGACCACTTCAATATCGTTTATTCTCTGTGTTTTAAGGAACAATTCCTCGCGATTCTTCTTTACTCAGATTTAATAATTGTATGTAGAAGTTACAAAGTACAGAACTGTAGATTATTATCGGCCAACATACATGATTTGTTTTTGATGATAAGTTGATCGAAAAAGGAGAAAGCCAACTTATAGGGAATCAAAATTATTTCATTAATTTATCATGGGTTAAACGCACTAAAAACCACACCTTATATTTTTCATTTATTATATTTTTTAAAGTTCACATAAAAGTATATTGAATCAAATTTTCCGCCAATTCACGGTTGAAAATAATGCCCAGGATTAATTCTGCCAGATCAAGGCAATCAACAAAACCAGTACTTTCATTAGCACCACTCTTTTGTTTGAAACGATGCGACATTGCTATTGGTCGATACTGTTAACTTAAATGTCATACTTGTGCCATCTCTCTCTGATTGTCGTCATCTGTTTATCTATTGACAATGAACTGTCCGACCTGCACTACGTTGCAGCTCTCTGCCAGAGTCAAATATTTCGGAGACATTTAGACACGCATCATCCGTCAATCATATATTCACTAAAATTCGAATCTTAATTCTTAAATGATATTAAACTTCAAGCTCTCCTAAATCTATTGTTAATAATGCTCCATGTGTTTTTTAGCTCCCTTGTCAGCTTTCTTATCTTTTAAAAAAAAATCAACAGCATTCGTTGTCGACAGATTTATATCATTTAGTTTTCAAGGACAATTGATAACATGTAATTAACATGTAATTAACATGTAATTAACATGTAATTAACATGTAATTAACATGTAACAAACCAAAGTGAAAATTACTTATAATCACGAGACAATATGGGGAGTTTAGTCACTATTATCGTATTATCATCGGCAGCTTACACTCTCAATAAATATTCAAGCTGAAAAACAGAAAATGATGCATACTTGGCTAAATGAATTTCAGAAAATTACCCCTCACAGAAATTAGAGAGGCTACCACGTGGCAACTGTATAACAAAGGAGTAAGCGTCGTGGTTGTAATTTATTCAACGTGTTTCCCAATCCCCGTAATTTTGTTGCCGTTTTGTTTCTCACGCATTTTGAATAATTACTCATAGCCGGCTGCTATTCTATATGTTCACTCGGTAGAATAAATATTCGTGAAAATTGATTAATATGTCTACAGTAACAGTGACACTATTGCACAGTAACAGTGACACTATTGCACAGTAACAGTGACACTATTGCACAGTAACAGTGACACTATTGCACAGTAACAGTAACACTATTGCACAGTAACGGGGGGGTACCAATGGCATAAATGGCATAATGGAGAATTGGCCAATAAAAATTTCCATTTATGCCATAAAACGTATGCCATTTATGCCATTTTTGATATAATACATTTCTATTTTCTTTATTTGTCATATGAATCTTTAACGATCATTCCAAGCGTTATAAAGCATGAAACATGTCTTTTATTCAAGTACTAATAATAATTTGCGAATTTAAAGTCAAATATGAAGACCTAAATTCATGGCATAAATGGAGAATTGGCCAATCAAAATTTCCATTTATGCCATAAAACGTATGCCATTTATGCCATTTTATGCCATTGGTACCCCCCACAGTAACAGTGACACTATTGCACAGTAACAGTAACACTATTGCACAGTAACAGTGACACTATTGCACAGTAACAGTAACACTATTGCACAGTAACAGTGAGACTATTGCACAGTAACAGTGACACTATTGCACAGTAACAGTGACACTATTGCACAGTAACAGTGACACTATTGCACAGTAACAGTAACACTATTGCACAGTAACAGTGACACTATTGCACAGTAACAGTGACACTATTGCACAGTAACAGTGACACTATTGCACAGTAACAGTGACACTATTGCACAGTAACAGTGACACTATTGCACAGTAACAGTGACACTATTGCACAGTAACAGTGACACTATTGCACAGTAACAGTGACACTATTGCACAGTAACAGTGACACTATTGCACAGTAACAGTGACACTATTGCACAGTAACAGTGACACTATTGCACAGTAACAGTGACACTATTGCACAGTAACATTGACACTATTGCACAGTAACAGTGACACTATTGCACAGTAACAGTGACACTATTGCACAGTAACAGTGACACTATTGCACAGTAACAGTGACACTATTGCACAGTAACAGTGACACTATTGCACAGTAACAGTGACACTATTGCACAGTAACAGTGACACTATTGCACAGTAACAGTGACACTATTGCACAGTAACAGTGACACTATTGCACAGTAACAGTGACACTATTGCACAGTAACAGTGACACTATTGCACAGTAACAGTGACACTATTGCACAGTAACAGTGACACTATTGCACAGTAACAGTGACACTATTGCACAGTAACAGTGACACTATTGCACAGTAACAGTGACACTATTGCACAGTAACAGTGACACTATTGCACAGTAACAGTGACACTATTGCACAGTAACAGTGACACTATTGAACAGTAACAGTGACACTATTGCACAGTAACAGTGACACTATTGCACACGGTGCTGGTTTCGTGGTGACCTCATCAGGTTTATACTCTTGTTTGTTGAGATGTTAGGGAGCTGCTGGATGGTGGTTGATATCACCCTCCTCTCTACTTCCACCCTCCTCTGCTACCTAGGCTACAGTTTCATCTTCAACATGTTCAGAAACAAGCCTAGTCTGGGTGTGGCCAGGACGGAGAAATACTGGGGGTTCTCCCTTGGAGTGTCAGATATTATCGCTGCTTCCATTACTGTTCCTATCTTTATCAGCGGTCTTATCATTCAGAGAGAGTTCCTACCTTGGTGGATCTGTTACTTTGCTGGGTTTGTGGCTAATTTCTATATTTTGTCCTTTATAAACTGTAAGGAAGTTAAAAACAAAGTAAGATAATATGGCTAGTATGTTTGTGTTTCACTGATTTGTAAACTGAAGACGTAAATAAAGATTAAAGTGGGAGTTATTAGGTGAACATGCTTATTAGGTGAACATACTATTAGGTGAACATACTATTAGGTGAACATACTATTAGGTGAACATACTATTAGGTGAACATACTATTAGGTGAACATACTATTAGGTGAACATACTATTAGGTGAACATACTATTAGGTGAACATACTATTAGGTGAACATACTATTAGGTGAACATACTATTAGGTGAACATACTATTAGGTGAACATACTATTAGGTGAACATACTATTAGGTGAACATACTATTGGGTGAACATACTATTGGGTGAACATATTATTGGGTGAACATACTATTGGGTGAACATACTATTGGGTGAACATACTATTAGGTGAACATACTATTAGGTGAACATACTATTGGGTGAACATACTATTAGGTGAACATACTATTAGGTGAACATACTATTAGGTGAACATACTATTAGGTGAACATACTATTGGGTGAACATACTATTGGGTGAACATATTATTGGGTGAACATACTATTGGGTGAACATACTATTGGGTGAACATACTATTAGGTGAACATACTATTAGGTGAACTTACTATTGGGTGAACATACTATTGGGTGAACATACTATTAGGTGAACATACTATTAGGTGAACATACTATTGGGTGAACATACTATTAGGTGAACATACTATTGGGTGAACATACTATTAGGTGAACATACTATTAGGTGTACATACTTCAAATTCCTAACACCCATCTTCCCTGAAGGTTTGTAGACAATATCTACCTCATCTCCTCAGTGTGGAGTATAGTTATGTGGAGTTTGTGTAGACTGCTCCACCTGACCCACCCCCTCTCCCCACACCACCACCTCATCACCCACATCAACGTGGTGGCAGTGTGGGTGGTAGCGGTAGTGGTAGCTCTACTTCCCATCCCTCTCGCCTCCTACCACTTCTCCTCTCACTCTCTGTCTTGTAGTTGTAGCAGTTTACAGTTCAACATGGCCCTGGGTTTGCTGGCTATTGTTATACCTCTCATTATCACAGCTGTTTCCTTCTCCTGGACACTGTACATTGCTAGACACGTGGATAAGGTGAAGAGGAGGAGAAGTACGGCGGATACTCTGTACCCACAACTAGATAAGAATTGTAGGGGATCTAAGAAGAAAGTAACAGAGGGAAGTAATGATGTGTATAGGAAGTGTGGTGGTGGTGGTGATGGTTATGGTAGTTGTGTTGGTTTTAATGGAACAGAACGAGATAGTGATAATACTATATGTGGGGGCGAGTCTCGGCAACTACGTTATAGTGACGGTGAGATGAAAGGAGGAAGTGAAAAGACTCCTCTGCCTCCTGCAACTCCAACAAGAGGAGAAGACATGCACACTAAAAGAAGAAAGATAAAAAACCAGTTTTGGGTGGTAGCAGGAGAACTATCTTTGTCTTATCCTGTCTGTTCATCACACAAGTCATGTCCACTTTACCTATATTCTTGTTGTTTCTTTTAGTTTACTTTAGTGAAAACACAAACTTAATCCCTTCTCTTGAAACCACCACTTTCCTGACAACTTTACTGGTTTGTAACACTGGTATTAACCCTGTTATCAGGATTTTCATTAGACCGGATTATAATAATATGTTAATTAAGGGTTTATTAGATGTCTGGTGTAGACTTCGTGCTATGATGGTTCTGTTTATTTCTTTCGCGTGATTCGTGATCTGGAATTTTGGGTGTAAGAAATGTATTTGGTATTTATTTAACTTGCGAACTAGTTAACGAGAAAGGTGTTCTTATGAACTTTTAAGTACAGTAGATTTATTTGTACTTTGGTATTTAGATAAACTTATCACTGCTAAACAGATAAGATAGTCGTCTAAACCGACTGACGGATGTGTCCCTGCTGGAATTTATATGTTTTATTTTGTTCTGATGGAACAAATAACTGTTGTGTCTGACCTCTGGGTTATTCAAATTCTGTTTCTTGAAGTGAATGGTTGTAGTTTTGTTTTTAGTATCGTGATAATCATTGTAATTCGATAACATGACTTGCTCACACGCTTAATGTAGACCTACATAAATCACAAAAATACCGTACTTCTTGTTATTATTGTTCTCTTGAGGTTCTTGTAATTTCATTCAAGATTACTTCTAAAATATGGTGGTAATGTAACTTACCTTGAAAATATGATTCTTCTAGCATCCGACAGTACAAAATTGTACAAACAATAATGAATAATGGCAAATTTAGCGCACTCGCATTTATAAAACGATTGACGAAAGTTGCGTCGCGCAACATTTACAGCAGTCACATTGCCAGTCTTTCTGGAACGTTCTGGCACAATCTCAAATTTAGGAAAACAATAAAAAATCCTCGAAATGTACGGTTACGTAACCAGTGACTTCGGCATCGGCTGCAGCATGCAATTCAACTATTATATCATCGGAAAATAGCGTCTATGTCTTATCACCGAATTTCGTACAAAAGTGCTGGCGCATAATTTGCGCCAATTTCTTAAAATAAAAACGTCTACAACTATTTCTTATTCCTGTCATCTTTGACATTGATTTAGGGGTCGTTCACGTATAACTGTCACCAAGATGTAAATCAGATCGAACGAGAAATTAGATCGAACGAGAAATTAGATCGAACGGCGTCTCAATTCGATCTGATTTACATCTTGGTCACAGTAACGTGACAGTAACGTCCGCGTCATCACTTTTTGGACAATTTTTAACCCCCCCCCCTCCGTAATCAGTTTTACACATAGCTAGTGTGTCAAAATTACACTAGCGTAATCATTTGAAACCCCCTCGGCTGACTACGTAATATCAAACATGTGAACGACCCCGGACCCCTTATAATGTTTTGAACTTAAAATATGCCTGCTGAACCATGAACGACTTCTGATGAGTCTTATTCTTAATGCCTGGAAAACAGTAATATAAAGGGGGTATAATAATATAAAATGAGGTATAATAGTGTTAGTATAATGAGGGCGACGGTCGTGCTTGCCACATGCCATTAACTACATATACCTCCGATGAATTCCTACTGATCGGCAATAGGATATGTCAATTCCGAGAGGTGATAGGATTTGCTCTCGGACCAGATCACAGATAGGAAATTAAAAACCTATCGAATCCGAGCGCTAATCCTAGCGGAGATCAGAGATAGAATTTACAATTTAACAATTCCGAGTGCCGCGCCGATAGGATTTGCTCTCGGACCCGATAGGATACTTAAATCTTATAGGATTCGAGAGGCTAATCGAATCCGAGCGCTAATCCTAGCGGAGATCAGAGATAGAATTTATGATTTAACAATTCCGAGTGCCGCGCCGATAGGATTTGCTCTCGGACCCGATAGGATACTTAAATCTTATAGGATTCGAGAGGCGATACAATTTCAAATATTGCGGGACCGATATCAGATATAATTGGAAGACGACGCATATCTAACTTTAGGTCAACTTCATGCTTTCTGTCAGTTAACTTCGGCTCTTAAAGCAATAAAGCGTCTTCAAAAACAAAACTGATCCCCAGAGGCAGGCAAGGGGCTGTTAAGATGCGTACTCGGGTTTTCGCACGACAACTTACTTAACGGCCTATTTACTGCTCCAATTTTCCATGACTTCTAGAGATTATTTATTTATTATATTTCATTAAATTGTGATGGTATTAATTTAACTACGTATAATGGGCTCCTTTTAACTAGAGTATGGATATTCAGGTTCCGATATTATGGAATACCTCCCGGTTTGAGACTCACTCAGGGCATAGTTCAACCCCAAACTCTCAGTGTACAATGGTAGATTTATGACAGGAATTTATGTTATAATTATGGACTTCGAACTTTTAGGGGAAATTATGTCTAGAGTTTTAACTTCGAACTTTTAGATGAATTTATATCTGGAAGATAACCAATTAAAACAAGTTAATAAGAATTGTAAAATAATGCAAGACCAATCCAATCGTACATAAAATAAGTGTTCAATCTCATGGTAAAGTCCGTTACCCTAAATCAGTTGGGTAGCTGGGTGATCAATGGGAACTGGTGTGTATTATAACGGGCTGGCTGACTCTCTCTCTGGACGATGGACAGGTAGCTGCTATATCATGGCTACGTTCCTTCAATGCTGCCAACGAGGGCAGAATCCGTGGGAGGGGAATGTCCTAGAAAGGGACAAATTATTAGCAAATGACGGATCAATTAAAGACAATAATATACTAACTAGGATAAAATTAAACAAGATAAAGTTAAATTAGAATGAACTGTAGAATACTAAATATGTAAGAACTTATCAATAAATGCTCAAATGACTTACGAGGTAATAATGTAGGTGCTGCTAAGGTTAGGACAAGCAACCAGGTAGGATAGGCTCACCACAATATTACCTAGGAAGGTATAAACCTATTAGAATTTAATTACTAACCAATCGGGAATGACTTTAGTATTACGAACAATGTGAATCAATAATTGGAATTAACATTGCAATGAACAACATCTAATTAATAGTTTAATAATTATAAAAGCTCTACCTCGAGGAACAAACTTCCTAGCCTATTATGAATTCAACAGAAGCGACGGGAACCAATTGCTATTATCTGGCATGACGTTAGGAAAATCCTGGTGAGAGCAACGGATAGTATTTTACCTCGCAATTATATACAGAACTTGAACTCGTGACTTAATCTTAACCAAATTATGCATGATATTGATACGTCTTAGGAACAAAATACTAAGGTCAATCATTTACAATAAAGGATTACAAACCTATTATGAAACTAGTGACATGGGAGAGAGCGCAGCATACTAACACCAACCCGCCGTGAGGAAAACCAATACGTCGATAAGAGAGGCGTTCGGAAAAGGCTAAAGGCAGACGGCCTGAGAATCTTGTGTGTTCATCTTTTGTATCTAGGTGTTCTGTGGAAGAGGACGCCATGGAAAGACGGCCACGCGTTATCCAGGAGGTGGCAAACAAACAGGATATTGCAAACAAGGTTATTGCAAACAAAACAGGTTTAATAATACAAATTACAGGTTTTCAAAACTGGTTAAAATATTGTTCCACTAATTGATGAATACATTACTCTATTAATTCAAATAATTCTTTTGTAAATAATTTCTAATAACACTAAATGTTCCTTTCTGACCGAATGGCTGCAGTGTACAGCAAACCTCTCGAATCATATCTTAAATCATAAAGTGATCACTTAATTTCATCTTTATGAAACACTAATGCCAAGGATTTAAACTGGAATTAAACGCAGCATACTGGGGTTCAACTTAACTTCTAGTTCTGAGGTACTACACACGTCCCTAACAGGGGCCATCTCCTTAAGACGACCGGGCAAATAGGGAGGGGGATTGTTTTGGAATTTCGGACAAATCCGAACAGGGGGAGGGGGGTTAACGGGTGATACTCGTAAAATATTTGTTCCAAATATTTACGAGTATCACCCGTTATTAAACTGGAGCATGTTTGATGTTTTGAGGAGAGGCTGCAGGCCTTGGTGGCCCACAAAAGGATACCATGTGGATGCTTTGCTTAACGGGTGATACTGATACTGATAGTGATACTCGTAAAATATTTATTAATTCAATTTCAAGACCGTCCGCGCATCGAGTCCAACTCGGCGCGCGTCTTGGTAAGTTATAAATCTGCAAATGCTTGGCTTGCCGCTGGGGATTCATTTTGTTTGAAGACGCTTTTAATTGACATGTCAATTCATGGCATCTCGGCGCGGCACAGTAGCGCATTTTTCGCCCGATCTAGCCAGAAAAGCCTCATGAGTCGCGGCGCGCACAGTAACGCATGCATCGCGCTACAAAAGTCGCTTTATCACACTTGCCCCTTGGGGGTCAAGCATAACCGATGCCCTTATATTCACAACCTATTTACCCCCTATAACTATTATAACCCCTTTATTGTTGTCCCGGCATTAAGACTCAATCGAAAGTAGTTTCAGCAGGTATATTTTAGTTCAAACATTCTAATTCAATGTAAAGATGACAGGACTAAAAAAATAGTTATATGAGTAAATTTTAAGAATTTGCGCAAATACGCGCCAGCATGTTATACGAAATTAGTAAAATAACCCAAAATCCCATATTCAAGTGCCTTAAAAAACCATTTAAAATGAAGTTAGAGATCTGAAACTTTGCAGGCACTAGACCACGTCCCAAAACGACGTAAAACAAGAATTTCGCCGCGGTTACACCACGCCGAATTAATTTCCCTCATTAACTGTTAATTAAATATTGCAACGTAAATATATAATTTTAAACGATTAATTAAAATTAGTTATTGGTAATTATTTTGTTGTTAAAAAGTTTGCAATCTATTCCATCGTAATTTGTTATTGCCGCGCGTCAAGTGATTGTATTGCATGTAGTATTAATCGAATATTTAGTACGCCTCGCGCAATATTATTGGGACTATTTTAATTTTGAACGGCCTCGTTGACAATTGAAATTCGCGTTGATACTACTGCAATAACTAACCCATGCCGATCGCCGCGCGCAGCATAACAAGACGCTTCCTATACACTAATTATAGGGGAGTGGTCTATATTTGGCGACGGAGCAACGTTTTCATCACCGCAGTCACGTGATAGCTCCATATAACCAACCCGAATTACTTATTCCCACGCTCTTTTTGCCTTCGGCAGAGCAGGAAAAAAATTTCATGTGTTCAGAGTATCGGAAGTGGAGTTTTCTGGAAACCCCATGTTTTACAACAGATTTGTCGTGAGGATAATATAATATATATGTATAGACCTTTTTGCAGTCAAATGTAGCCTACTACAATTAGAGTGTCCGTAGATTCAAAAGTATAAAAGAAACAGTCCAAATCGAACCACAAGTTTTAAAGATAATCGTTTATATCATTAGTTTTACTTTATATTTAAAAATAAATTTGACGTCAATAAACACCCCTAGATGACGTCATCAAGTTAACCCGTTTTTAAACTGATTTCGACAAAGTTAAAACTTTTAAAAACTGATTTTACACCATCAAGAAGTAATTTTATCAAAATCTGAGGAAATTTTTACCTTAGATAATTGTTTTAAGCATCTGAAAATCTAACGAAAGTTATTCTTATCTTACGCCTTCATAAAGATATTCGCTATTGAAGTTAGTGCTTTTTTTGAAGAATAATTTTTAATAAACACAAAAGTTGTGAATTAGTATTCTCTTTTGGTCCATTGTTGGGTTTGTGGAGCTCAATTTTGCTTCTTCAAGGTCTAAATCTGTGTTATAGGCTAGTTTAAAAGTTAAAAATCGAAAAGTTGCAGACGTGGGGGACACGCAAATTGAATTAAAATACTAAAATCACTGAAAATTGTTATTTTCACATATTTTTAATCAACATTGGGAGTCCCCGTTGTGATTCAAGTTCTTTTTGAAGAATCTCGAAACTTTGCATGCTTATCAAACTATAATATATTTAAAACCACTATGCGCAAAAATTTATGTGATCAATAGTTTATGCGCACGCACAACGTACACTCAAAGTTTGCACGTGCGAAAGGTGAGAATATTGCTCATTATTCGTGATTTCGAATATATTCTGCTTTCCACATATTAAAATGGCATTATATCTGAATTAAAATGCCAACTTGAATGAGTAAAAAGTGCCATATTCAGACTGTATCGACAGATAAACCTACCTGAACACATGGAAACGTTTTCCAAAGGTAAAAATTTACAAATTGTTGAAATTACCTTCCATATTAATGAAGTTTCGACTGTGAAAATTATTCTGACATTATAAATCAAAAAAGAAGATGAATATTTGACCAAAAAACCCATAATCTGGTAGAGTGAACCGCTGCCAGTGTCCTCACTTTTCAAAAAAAGGAAATGATATAAAATTTAGAACCGTCCCGCCATTCAGGAGTCTCGCTATCTTTGATCCCGAAATGAAATCGGTCTCTACGCTTTTCCTTCCCAATCTTCACGCCTTACGAATATGTAACCAAACAAGCTGTCATTGATTCATGGAGCTCAAAGCTATCGCCCGAATTATCATCTCTGTATCAATTTAGCATTTGCGGGGACTGGATACCTCACATATATCATTTCCTTTTTTTTAAAAAGATAGTACACTGGCAGCGGTAGCACACAACCCATGATTAATGGTTTGGTCAAATAATATTACTACATATATATAAACTATTAAAATTTATTTTATTTAAAATAATAATATAAAAGTTTAATTAACCATTTCACCTCGTAGATGGACAAGTCCTACTGCAAACAAAGGAAAAAATATTTCACATTCGTAGTGGTAAACATTGATTGACCATAGCATGCGGAGAGTGGTTTTCCATTTATGCGCGGGTTTAGTGCCGGTAGATTTTCGTCCAGTGCCTGTCTTTAAAATAGGAATACATATGAAAACTTCCTAAAAATCTTTGTGTAACAAATAATTTACTTTTCAATATGAAATAAATTCACAAAAAATACCATGAAAACAAGAAATACCAATCAATAAAAAAATCCATTTATCATCTTTTAATTTTAAGCTGCTAAATAATAATGATCATAGAGAGAAGTCACACGAATTTTCAACATTGATCACTCATCTGATTTGGTATGAATTCTAAAAACATCTCAGGCACGTACCTTTTGAAGAATTGTGAGAAAAATGGACGCGAGGCGAGAATTTGCTTCCAACCAAACCCATAGTGCAATTCTCATTGTTTTCAACTTATCACCGTCCTCTTGTCCACCTTCTCAGACACCACTTCCGACGATCAAAGAGGGAGAGCTAAATAAGATAGTCAGCCGAAGAGCCAGGGAGGACCGGAGTATCTGGCTACGTTCCACTGTTGCATATACTATCTGATTTAACCGTCAATCTCTACGGCAACATAACATTGATTTTTAAGTGCCGCCGTGCAGGAGAGTGTTCTGTGTTAGACGGAGTTTATTAGAGATTGAGAAGACGTCTGTTGAAGAAGTGGGCTCAGAAAAACCTTTCACTCACAAACGCACAGTCATACAGTGACCGAAGTTATCAATCTATCGTCTTGGAGGAGCGTAGCCAGGAGAGGAGGATTGGCAAAATCAAAGTTCAACACGTCCGCCCTAACTGGTTTACAACATAAAACACCATGTGAGTCGTATTCCAGTGAGCATTACCAACCACAGGGTATAAAATGGCTGCATCACGCTCTGCTGTAACGTACAGCGATCTAGACTATGTGCTGAGATTCCTACATCTCGGGGGTGGATCTCATGTAGGAGCAGCCTGGCACGACTTCATTAAACGAAAGGCCAAACAATGACGCCCCTGTTCATTCCCCGGCTCGTTCCTCCAAAGCTGCTTTTAAGGCCGTGTAAATGAGAATCTGTTGAAACACCAGAGCCTGGTTTAGTTGGGACAGATAGACCAGAGTCTCTCCTGAGAGACTGGTCATGTGCTCTCCTAGATTCTGGAACATTCTGTCTATCTGGTCGTACAAGAGACGGTACCATTCACCAGTGCTCATGGCGTTGACACGCAACTGTAGTGTTCTCATCAAAACGTTAAACTTTGTGGAATGAGACGCTTTCCCAAAGTTTTGTAGAGAGGGGAAATAGTCTGTTGAACCCGAAACTCAGATTCTAATC